TTCATACACCTAATATTATTCGTGTGAAACTGTGAAGGATAAAAAAAAGGAAATTAAATAAAATAAAATAAAATTCTTCGAACGGCACTTTTTACTTGGGGATGATGAGAAACTACATAATATTTTGTAAAATTTATTATTTCATCATGATTATGATATATTTAACATATAGTCAACAAAAAGTGAGTTTATAACTTTATGACTTGATAAATTATAATTAATTATGATGTGTGATCGTTAAGACACAATATCCTTATTAATTCTGTAATAATCCTAAGTTCCGAGATGAGAGAATGATTATAATACTTTTATTGAGCTTCCTTGTTAGAAATAGCACCCGTTTTACTACTGGAAAGCTATCGATGATGATCAAAGATGCGTCCAGGATTTAATCGGAATTATTGTGAAATTTACATACAATGATCGGTCAATCTTCAATAGAATTAAGATTTAAATTAAGGAAGTCCGGATAAGAAACTTCTAGCTTCTTCATATCATATAGAATCAATCTCCTTTTAATCAGCCCATAAAGCAGTTTTTTGAATAATCATTCAATTAAACCAGTGAATTCCAAACTTTGTGTCGCGACACACTATTGGAAAATCTCACGAACCGAAGCCATAAAATCATAATTCAAATCCAAATTACCTTTAAATGATCACATTTTCTGCATAATTGTGAAAATCACACAGCACTTAATGAATCAACAAAAACATTTTCATCCACATGATCTTATTCCAAAAACTAGGTTAAACAAATCTTTCAAAAAGTATTCAAAAATTTCTCAGAATTTTTTACCTCATGCCTTTTAATTTTCAACTTTTAATCAAATAATTGTGCAATTTAAAAGCTGGAAAAATCGAATTCTTGTTCCTAGAAATGTTTTCGGGTACACAATTCACAAAAATTATTTCCAGTTAAATGTTTTTCTCTAAAATCATCCCATAAATATTTATTTGAATCTAATAAATCCATAATTCTATAGAAATTTATAATTTAAAGTTTCAAAAAAAAATACATTTGTCTCCAGTGCATCAGCCATTATGTAAATTTCAGCTCTATTGTGCAGCCGTGAAAGGTTTGAAGGGAATTAACTCTTCTTATTTATTATTATTGATCCTTCTAATTGGTTATCATGATAATTTATTATATCAAGTTAACTTCTATTGAAACAGGACCTCGATGCCATGCATAAGAAAGTTTTTAATAATTTATTAGCCTTTTTCTGTCAATTTGAGGATCAAGGAAAGAAGAAATAATAATTCCAACATATTTTTTAATTCTCCTTTTCGGAGATGCTTCAACACATTTTTCTCTTCTGGTTATTTTATTTTATATATTTTTGTTACCTATCGATTTCTCTCCATCTCCTGATGCATGCCGCAGCCACAAAACAGTTTCAGGCCAATTTCAGTTGACACTGTTAACAAGCCAGAATGAAAATGAATAAAGTGTGCAGTCAGACCACCCATTTTAATTTATTTAGATGATGATTAATTTGGTGAGAAGTTCAGGTGACAATAATAAAATTGGAAATGTATTGTGGTTCGGTTAAGGGTTGTAAGTGGCGCTTTTCTGAAATTTTAACCAAATTTTAGAATTTAAATTTTTCAATTTTGCATTGTTTGAAATGAACTGAAATGAAATGAACTAATTTGAATTACTGAATGATTATTCACAACATATTTAACTTTATTTTACATTTTTTGCCTTAATTAAGTTAATTAAATATTCAGAAACTACTTAATATCTTTTAAAAATCCAGCACAAACATAAAGTATTAAGTATAAACATTATAGCACCCTAATTCAACGATATAACTTCCAGTAAATTACTCACAATAAAACTTAATATCAACAATACGTTCAGTAAGTCATTGACACCAAAAGTGAGGATAATAACACATTAATTCGGCAGAAAAGGCTCTAAAAAGGCATTCAAAGTGTTATAATGCTCATGACACGAACTTTAGAAAATTCTTGGAAATGCTTCTTTATTTCTTACTTTTAATCATCCATCCATTTCGGTTCTATTTTTTCCTACCTTCTTTATTTATAAAATATATGTGCGTTCTTTTACGATTATTGAATTTATAAATTCATAAAAAAAATGTTGTGTGTAGTAAAAAATTAGATCATCATATTTTATATTTCTATTACGGCTGTCGAAAGCCATGAAAAGTTGTTTGAGAAAAAAGAAGATTTTAGAGTGAAGAAAAATCAGCAAAGTCATATCATGCAAATGAAAGAGCGCTGTCCTGTGTGCTGAAAATGTTTATGCTGAAAAGTTTGAGGCAACGAATAAAAAAAACACACAGAAAAGAAAAAGAAATTCTTTGCACAACATCATCTCGCACATACATAGATTTTTCATGGAAATGAACGAAAAAAAAATCGCTTGGCAACTTCCAGCAAAGGAGAAAACGAGAGAGTGAGATGGATAGCAAAGAGTGAAAAATTCGTATTGAGGAGGAGGAGTAGAGGGAAAATTTTTTGTCGCCGTCTAGCCTTAACGAATTTGGCGCCTATCATTCTGATTAGATTCTTTATTCTCTCATGTTCTGTTCCTCCTTTCGAGTTAACAATATCTGTTTTTGCAACCATATCATATCATAAGGCACGGTGATGGCATTTTATTGCCTCTTTATCTTTGTGATCCTTTTTATGCCATTTTTCTTACATTTCCGTCCATCAATTTATGACATTGTCGACATGATTATCATAATAAAATACAATTTCTTTCGTCCTTACTCACTAGACTTTTTGATATATGTGCTTGTGATTTTTATTTGTTGCAAACTTTTTTCATATCCCTCATACATCATTCAAATTTGATCATATTTATGTAAGTTATGCTTAATATGTACACTGTGTTGTGTAGACTCAAGGAAGAGAAATACATAAGAATGGGGAAAATGAACATTCAGAAGTGTAGAAAGGCTCACAAAATTTTATGTTGTGGAAGAGGAAACTGTTGAATCTTTGAATGTTAAATTCTTTATTCTTTCGTTGGAAATATTAACATGCGATGAGCATAGTTTGTATGTAGACATAACGATGATGATATATATCTATGATGAATGGTGAACGCACATTCGAATAATATTTTCATTATGTTCCCGGTCAGTACAGTGTGATCTTAGATGTTTGGGGTGGTAAGTTTGAAATAAGATTTAAGTTGGCTTGAATACTGATGCATTTTTAAGGATTAGTTCATTGTTTAGGCTCTAGTTTATTATTTAAATGGTTTAAAAAATGTTGTTCATTCTTTATCTCGTTTTGCTATGGTTTGTATTATGTTGGATCAGATCAAATGTGAAGACTCAATAGCGCAAGATCAAATACAAGAGTTTAGTTCAGTTCAAGAGTGAGGCTTAAGATATTTATCAATAAGTAAGCAAATCTGCCATTTGGAAAGTAAGGCTTTGTTGCCGAGTGTTTAGGCAACAGATCAAAAGTCCGTTAAGTTCTGTTTCGCAAAACCCTGGGTTCGAATCCTAATAGAAACCAATATTCTTATTCACAACAACAAGTTTTGTCCATTAATAGTTTAGTCTAAAGAGGAAGCTCTTGTCTTCTTCATCAAGCTGAAAGTCAAAAGCTATCAACCGATTCAGGAGTTGATTTATTTATGATCACTGGATTAGTATCCAAAGAGAATAGATTAATAGCTGAATGTTGTTGCTTGACAAATATTAAAGTCTTTAAAAATACAAAAATTAACAAGTACATTCATCCAAGCTATTCTTTTCATCTACAAGCTTATGCCAGTTGAACAATTAAGAGTATTATCCACTAAACCCGACTGTAAGTCAAGCAAAAACAACCTTTAACATCCATGTGCATATCGGGCGTGTTATTCACCCAAAAGGGTAATGAATGAATTACCTCATTTAAAAAAATTATTCAAATATCTTTAAAATTTTTGAGGAAGGAATACAAAAGAAAATGGGAAGTTTTAAATAAAAAGAAAATTAAATCATATAAAATTATATCTTTTTTGTGTCCAATGTCCAATGTTAATGAAAATAGAGAGAATTAATTATTAATGTATGTAGCGAAAAACGCTTTAATGCATTTAAAATGGTCATGGTTTCTTTAGTTTTCTTAATCCTTCCTTAAAAAATGAAGAAGTTACTTACTCTTTTGTAATGCCTAACAAAAAGTAATTAATATTGCTTAATTTACATAAAATTTCAATAATTCAAATGTATGTAATTAAGTTATAAAATATCTAAAAGGTTTTGCTTGAGAGGAACATATTAATTTGATGTATAAAATAAATTTTATTTGGTTCCTCTCTAAGGTGGCGATAACCATCATCAAGTTCATTTTTTTGATGAATTTTATGGCCACATTGAGAGAAAAAAAAACTTTTTTTTTTGGAGTTTTGCACGCGCGCCTTGTAATTGTCATGAAATAGCGAATAGCAGCAGTAGAATTAACTTTTTATTTCTGTGCTGAATAAATTTCGCAATAGTGATGAGAAACAACATTTTATGGAACCAGAAATGCTAGCAAATTTCGGTTGTTTCATGAATGAGAATGAGAGGAAGTTATAAAAAATTGGACAATATTCAGAAGAAGAAGATGGTATTGTGTGTGAAAGATTGCAATCTATATATTTCTCTTCCCTTGCTATAAACATTCAGCTCTCGTGAGTCTCATTAAAATTGTAATTTATTTCATTTCAACTTTAACTTTTCGAAACGGTTTTCCTGTTTTTGAAGATATTTCATGACTTAAAAGAGGTTTTAATTTTTGAAAGGTTGCACTATATTTAGATTACAATCTGATGATGAGGTTTTGAAAAATACGATTGAAAATCTTTAGTCTTATCCCATAAATCATGAACTGTTGAAAATTAATTACTCCTTAAAGCAGAATTCGTTTCTTTACGCAACAAAAAAATATCCATAGATTTTATTTCCAAAAACATATCTTCATAACTGACTTTACAACTTGAAACAAAGTTTCCTACACAAAATGATTTTCTTACATAAACATTAACTCAAGATCGAACCCTGCCACACATAAAAGTCATATATTTGTTTTCATCAACAACAGTGTGATTTAATTTCTAATATTCTCAAATTTATTAATTAATCTTCCATTCAACAGCACAAATTGAACATGATTAATGCAATTGTTGTTTTTAATAATTACGGAAAGCCAAGACTATCAAAATTTTATCAGTATTTTGTGAGTAAATCGCAATAGAAAGTTTAAAAAAAGTAGAGCAAGAAGAAATTTACATCATAATTTATTTACAGACGAATGAGGAGCAGCAACAAATCATTAACGAGACCTTTCACCTTGTAGCCAAACGTGACGATCAAACATGTAATTTTCTAGAACTTCCATCGACATCCTTACTGTGCACAAAATCGACTGAAAATTGCAAGCTCATATATAGACATTATGCCACATTATACTTTGTATTTTGTGTTGATGCAGCTGAAAGTGAATTAGGAATTTTGGACTTAATACAAGTTTTTGTTGAATCTTTAGATCGCTCATTTTCAAATGTCTGTGAATTAGACTTAATATTCAATAGTGATAGCATTCACTGGCTGTTAGACGAAATCGTTCAAAGTGGAATGGTTTTAGAAACAAACATTAATAATATTATAATGAAATTTGAGGAACAAAATAAGATTGCTAAGGTAGAGACATCGCCAGCAAGTGCGAAAGCCAATTCAGCTGTTTCAGCTATCAAGAACATTAATCTACCTCAGCTGAAGGAGAAAGTCAGAGATTTGCCTAATTCATTTAAAGACTTGAAATTTTGATTGTGTCAAATTTTATTAATTATACTGATTGATGAGCTCTATATTATTCATGTTGCATGTTGCATTTATTGAATTTTTAATGTTAAAATGTATCTTAATTTCTAAAACAAATCAAACAATTGTCATGTGATTCATATTAAACGATTCTATTCGCTTCTACTCGCCTCATTGAATCTTAATCTTTTTTTTTTTGCATTTTTAAACTTTATCAATCACTTTCAGGTTCTAATGACGTCTGTGTCTTAAAGCTTCATATGCTTCATACGCTTTAAAAGCCTCTCTAGCAAAAGCTCTAATATCTTTAATTTCCCGCCTTGACTTTAATTGTCAACTCAAAGTAATTTGATCACCCCAAAAGATTTTATCTTCTGGAAGTTCAAATCGAACTATTGTAGGATAATCCTTGAATATAACTGTCAACGGTTGACTTCTCAATGAAATGTCTTGAAACGTTGTCATGATTCTGTCAAAGTCTTTTTTGGAGACATCAATTGTGAGATGTTTAAGGTTCTCTATGCTGCTTATTGCATTAACAATTGGCGGACTTATACCATCATCATTTCCAATCGTTAATTTTTCCAAGCTTTTTGAATGACGATCAATAAACATCTTAAAACCATCTCTATTCAAGGAGAATGTGTGTACAGACAATTCCTTGAGATTTGAGAAAGTTATAGAAGTTGTTACTTTGTCGAAATTGAAGATTGCCAATGATTCTAATTTCTGTTTTGTAGCTTCATATTCAAGAAGTCCAATAGCTTTACAGAAACATGATTTAATAGACAAATGCTTCATTTTAGGGAGCATGTCAACAAGTTGCTTATTATCTTCCAAAGAATAGAAAATATCAGCATATCCAAATCTTTCCAGTTTATCAAACGAATCTAATTTCTTTGGTAGGATTTGAACTCTTTCAGTATTGCCATTATATACTGTATCCAATTCTAATTCGTTTAGATTCAAAACGTTTTTCTTGACATATTTAAGAATTGCTCGAATTGCATCTTTAGATTGTTCAAATGAATACATTTGAATCTTTAAAGAGTTTAAAGAATGCTTGTGTGGCTCCAAAAAAAGAATGAATGATTCGTAATTCATAAAATTGGCGTTTGAATAGAACGTAAAGCTTTTCAATTTGAATTCATAATTCAAACTTATAAAATGAACAAAAAAATCATTTGGATAGTTTAAAGAGAGATTTTCCAGTTCCTTTTGTTGGCTTACAAACTCACATACCTTCAATTTTCTTTCGATTGGCAAGTTACAATGCCATCTTAAATTCAGGTTTTTTAATGTTAAGCATTCAAGCAGATGAAGCAGTTCCGAATTACAATTCAGTTCTATCAGATTAAATTTGATTTTCTCAAAATCTGCCATATTCTTGATATCTTCTATAAAATTCATATCACAAACATGCAATATCTTCAGATTTGGAACCAAACGTAAGACTTGAGCCAAATGAGACAGTTCTAATTCATATTCACATTGACTTAAGTCAATTTTTAGCGAGTAGAGATTGGGGAGATGATTGAAAACATCCGGAGATAATTGACAATCATCCAATACCACAACATATTTTGGTTTTTTCCTCAACTCAGCAATGTTCTTGCAACCTTCATAAGTTCTTAATACTGTTTGATAATTTTCAAAGAAGTTTTGATGCTTGCTGATCAACTCATCCCATCTAAAATGTTTAAAAGAATAAATTAAGATCAAAATTAGATTCAATAATATTGAACTTACCTTTTGCAGACCAATCTACAGTTCTTCAACATCCGTAGACCAAGATTCCCAAATACTTCAATCAAAATCTCGTCAAAAAAATAATTCATATCCAATCCTACATGCTCTTGACTTTCCACAGGTGTTTCCATTTTTCAAAACTATGTTAATACTTATTTAAACTTTTGGATTTAATCAAATTCAATTTTTTCGAAAGTTTTGTTGAATTAAATTTAAGTTTATTAATTTTTTATAAGTCGATTTTTTTGATGCTTGCTTCAGACAAATTGTCCTTAAACTGAGTAGATGATTAACATGTTCCTTTATTTTAAATGCAAATATTTATTACCTGAATTGAAAAATCCGAAACTTTTGCTACCTATGAAATAACTGAAATTTTAATATTTCAGAAACTTGTAGTTTTCAGTTCCTTGGACGAAGGGGTCTTTCGCTTACGACACCTAGAAAAGGTGAACAAGGAAACATGGAAAATGGATTGAAACCAAGCAATGTGGCTGTTCTTTCTTCTTCTTTGAAAGAATGGACAGATTAGCACAATGTTTCTCCATCGAGCATTTCAGTTGATCGAGAAAAAAGATGTTTTGAAAAGTTTGAAGAACACTCGAATAATAAGGAAATTAACTTCAAATGATTTCTCATTTTTCATAAATTTACAACTTAAAATAATAAAATACTCAAAATTACAATTTTATTTTTTTTATTGGTTTAAAATTTAGTACAGAACTTAAGCAAATATCTTTAAACCTATAAACACGTCATCAATTCCTTTATCTAATTCAATCTTATTTGTTTCTTCCAAATGATCTTATCTTCCGGTAGCATAAATGTCTTTATTGATGGATAATCTTTAAATATTATTTTCAAAGGCTTGTCTCTGTTCAAAATTCCAAGAAAAGTTTTCATGACTAATCTTAAATTGTTATTAGTAACATTAACTGTAAGACATTTTAGATTTTCACACTTGCTAATTGCATTAACAGCCTGTTGACATATATTGGCAGCATCTCCAATATTTATTCTTTCTAAGCTTTTTGAATTGCGAGCAAGAAAGGAACTTAAAGCTTGAATGCTCGTAGAAAATGTGTGAACGGAAAATTCTTTAAGATTTGTAAATTTTATAGCCGAATCAACGCAGTCAAAATTATAAACTTGTAATGATTCCAACTGTGGTTTGGTATTAGCTACATATTCGAGGAGTTCTACTACTTTACAGAAGCATGATTTTATTGATAGATGCTTCATATTTGGAAGTAAATCAATTAGTTGCTTATTATCATCCATAGAATAAAATATGTCATTAAATCCAAATCTTTCAATTGTATTCGAAGAAAAATTGTTTAATTGCAGTGGAAGAACTTCAATTTTTCTGATAGTTCCTTTAAAAACTGTATCTAATTCCAATTCTTTTAAATTAGACAAATTTCTCATAATAAACTTAAAAATTTCTTCAATTGCAACTTTGGATTGCTCAAATGAAAACATCTGAATGTTTAATGATTGTAACGAATGCTTATGTGGTTCCAAATATCTAATAAAAGATTTATGGTCCGAAAAGTTGCAATTCGAAAAGAATGTAAAGCTTTTTAATTGAAATTCATAGTTAAAATGTTGGAAGTGGTCATAAAAGTAATTTCGACAATTTAAAGTCAGATCTTCAAGTTTCTTTTGTTGGCTCAAAAAGTTGATTACATTTGTCTTTCTATCCTCAGGCAAGTTCCAATGCCACCTTAAATCTAAAATTTTCAGCGTTGTACACTTTAGTATGTTAATCAATTCCGAATTACAACGCAGTTCAGTGAGATTTAAATTAATTTTTTCACATTCCTTCATATTTTGAATATCTCCATTAAAATTAAGATCACTGGCATACAATATCTTTAGATTAGTAGCAGAACTTAAGATTTCTTTAAAATGAGATGGTTCTAAGTATGCTTGACACGGACGCAAGTCAATTATCAAAGAATGTAAATTATGAAGATGATCAAAAACATTCATACTAAATCCTTGATCATCCAGTATGATAACATCTTTCGGCATCCTTCTGATTTCTGAAAACTTCTTAATATCCTTAGATGTTCTTAACACCACTTGAAGATTTTTCAATAAATGTTTATTATTGATGATTAGCTGATCCCATCTGTAAATGTTTATAAGGATTAAAATTTGATTTAATTTCGAAATTGTAGAATTTTAAAATCATTCATCCAATATTTGAAGAATCTTTAAAATAAATTTTAGTAAAACAATTAACTTACCTTTTGCAGACCAATCGACAATTCTTAAGCATCTGTAGACTTAAATTTCCAAATATTTCAATTAAAATCTCGTCGAAGAAATAATTCATGTTTAATTTCGCAGGATCAAAGCTTCTCATTTCTGATTCTTGATTGACAATTGATTTAAAATGACTTTTTGATGATTACTCAAAGAAAATTAATTTCAGTCTTGAAGCATGCTTGAAAAGATTATCATTTTAAATACTAAATTGATTTGAAAACTTCAAATTACCTGTTTTTTGTCTAGTTTCATGTTTTAAAATAGAATAGAATGTTAAAGTTTCTGAATTAGAATCAAGACTAGATGACGTTAGAGCTTGGAACTTCCCTGTAAAAGAATTAAAGAAAAGCCAGACTCCCAAGTTGACTTGAAGTCAATTTCGAGCTCCAAAGAAAACAAATATTTTTTACTCAAAACGTAATTTAATTTTCAAAACATAAAGAAACATAAAAATTAAAATTATGTGCTATATTTTATGCTACCCAGCCCACATAACATTTTTAAAACCTAAAAAAGTTCTTATAGTACGCAAAGTCTAATTCATCTGAATCGGATGTTCATTTAACTCATATTTATTAAGTATATGTGTAAATGGTTTTCAAAGGACTTAATGCTTATTAATTAGCAGTTGATCAAACTTGGAATAAGAATTTTAAATTGAATCAATATTAAAAATTTGTAGCATTATCAATCGATTGTTCTGTCTTGTCAGTATGACTATTCTCAGTTCATATATTTAATATCTAAATCAAGTGAGAAAGCAAGCTACAAACTCCTGTGTCTATAACCTTTCTCCCACGTCATTCTGTATAATTTAATAATTAGAGACCATATTTCACGTTATACCCAGCGAAAAAATAAAATGACAACATCATAAATTATTCAAATTAACTACGTTTTCCAACACCATGTGCTAATCTCCTTTGTTGCATCGATCGGAATATTATTGCAACTACCACAGGCCATAAAATTGTAAATGCAAAAAATGAAGGCGACACGTCCTCAAAAGGCCACCAACTAGGATGTTTTCGTCGTTGCTGCTGTTCTTTCTCTTTCAGCATCTAAAAAATTTAAGGATTTGGAAATAGTTTTGTTCTGTTTTACTTTTTTTTTGGGAATGTAAGTTTTATTATGTAAAAATTTTGTAAAAGTGTAAAATATAAAATTGGAACTGGTGCAAAAATGAATATTAATGGTTCTGTTGGCTGGCTTCTTTCTGTTGAACACATTTGAGTGGATTCTCAGTATCAAAAGTTTGATTGGAATTTTTGAGAGGTTTTGCTTTAAATTTAAAGAAAATGATTTAAATCACATTTGATATTAAGTTTGTCTGAGTCATTTGATAAGAATTCATAGCCAAATTTGCCTCTTTGTATCATCATTTCCTTCTATCAATCTCAAAACAAACCTCGATTTTATCTAAAGAATATTTTTTGAAGAATTTTATCCAGAAAGGAGCCAGAGTAACTAAGAAACAGGTATTTTGTTCATACACACTTAAAAATAATACAAATAAGGTACATTCTCATAGATACAAGTAAATATTATGTGCCAATTGTGTGCAAAAAAATGTAAAAATGTCTTAAAAGTATTAAACATGACAATTGGAAATGATTAAAGCTTAATGGACATGTGTAAAGGTTGAGGAAACAATACAAAAACATAAAAATAATAATTTATTTATAGCCAGAAAGCATAGCCACGGAAAAAGGATAATATCGAGCATGTTCTAAGAACGAATTTTCTGCGGAAAGAGAAAAAAAAAGATAAAGAAAAAATAATTAAATTAAGAAACAGAAATTGCATAAAAATTATAAAGATCAAAAAAGTGATTCAAACTCCAAAAAGTGTCAAATTTTAAGGATCTGTTGTTAAAAGGAATGGAATTTTTAACCAATTCATAAAGTTATCAAATGAGATTTTTAATCAATTTTTGTCATATTCAAATTGATTTTAGATGATTTATTGTCCTTTACTTAAATCTTGACTTTATTCTCAACAAATTATTCAGTGCTTCTCATGAGTTTGAGACTTATACCGTGATGCAATTGCAAAACTATCATAAAAACTTAAATAATTCGTTCTTACTTTAAGAAATTGTTATCTTATGTTAAATAAATCAACGAAAACATGACTTTCGAGATTTCTTCAATTTGTGTTTGATCTGAATTAAGAGTGAGCTGAAGTGGCTCGGTGGCGGAATGGTTTAGTACTTCGGTGCCTAATTATTGCAATACCGACACAGCGATCATGGGTTCGAGACTGGGTATGGGAAATTTTTCACTTGTTCTTTTTCGAATCATATGTACTGGAAATGAGGCTCACAGCCTTCCTTTGTAGGCTACAGACAGAAATGTCATCAAAGGAGTGGTTCGGATCCCACTATAAATTGTAGGTCTAGGTTTGAGTGCAGTGGTTTGGCGCATCCTCACTCGTTAAACTCTCATTAGCTGCGAATCGCCCTAGCGCACCTCTGGATCACAATTGATCTGAATAGGTAAAGGTTTTTTTTTTTTTTTTTTTTTTTTTTTTTTTTTTTTTTTTTTCTGAATTAAGAAATCACTTCAAATCAAACACAAATTGATTCCTTCTTTATTGTGAAAAGATTTACTTGTTCAATTGAAAAATTTTGGTTTATTTTACAATAAGAAGATTTGCCTTTAGTTTCATGTTGAACTGTTATAAACTTTAAATCCTCTGCATTCAAAAGTTTTAAACCTAAGACCGGTTTATAAACTTAACGCTGAATTCGGACTACTTTAAATCTCACTAATATCCAACAAATCAAATTATCAACATATAAAATCTTAATAAGTTGTGAATTGACACAAATTTATCGTTAACTAAGAAAAAACATACAAGAAACAGCAAACAGAAGTAGATGGAACAGATTAGTCGTGATTCATAAGTTTGTGCAAACAAAGAAAACATAAATGAATGAGAATGATGATTTTTTGCATAACATGAACTCCATAATTGTCAACAATCGTGTGTTCTTCATCGAACAATTGAAAAAATTTACAAAATCAAAAATAAGCATAAACAAAACACCTGTTAGTTTATTTTTTGGAACTTGTAAGAACTCCATAGTGGTTTAAACTCATGAATTATGTGAATTTTAATTAAAAAGTTTATTTACCTTTTGTTCAAGTACATTCAACCGGGTATTAACTTGCTGCAAATCTGCCTTCATATTATCCGTTATACTCTGCACGAGGTGTGTCATTAATGATGGATCAATATTAAGCTTATTTGTCACTTCTGTCGTTGGCTGAAAATGAGGAAGTTTGTGACTATTTCCTTTTAAATTTCCTTGATTGTAATTTACCTTTTTATGTGCTATTCCACCATTATGATGTGCATAGTTTACTGTTGGGCGGGATTCTGCTATGACTATCTCATCCTGTTAAAGAAATTTAAATGACCTTTGTTAATTGGTTGGTCAACAAATCAATAGCTTCGTTTGCACTGCTATTGGCTCAACTTAATGAAGTAATTCAAGACTTGGGCGGAAGTTATATTAAAATTTCATATTATTACGATTATTACAATATTGAAAAATTCATGTTAACCCGAGCATCAAAAGAAAATGTAACTCCAATAAAACATAAGACATTAACACACCTCGTAGCTTTTTAAGAGTCATGAAAGCATTTCATCATAAAATATTGGTTTTGGCGCGTATATTTTTAATGTTGTGAAAAAACCTCAAATTTTATTTGATCTTAAATGAACCAATAGCCGGAATGCAAAGGGTCACGACTGAGAAAAAAAATCAGAACCCTTTTGACATGTCAAAAAATGTAAGATAACAATAAACTAACCTCGACTGTATCAATATATTCCTCATCATCGTCTGTCGAAGTCTCTGAAGGACTACTACTGTATGTCCTAGCATTTTGTCGTCCATTGCTGGCTGCAGTATAAGTGGCATTTGGAATGTCATTAATATCACGAATTGTTTCAGCTAAATTGCGTTCACGGAACGGTGAATTCGACTGTGATTTACTTCGCATAAATTCTGGTGCAACAAGTTCTAAATCGCCAACACTAATATTATCTAACTCACTTAAAGACTCATAGAAGTCAGCAACATTATCTGTGAATGACATTGTCTCAACAATCTTTTTAAGTTCTTCTACATATGATTCCATAGCTTTTTCTTTTGGCATCTCGCCTAATCTCTTCCATGCATCATATTTGGCTTTACCGACAATATCCCAAAATGCCGGACGACGTGATTTACAAGGTCCTTCCGTTGCTTGTTTAAAATATGAATAAAAACGTAACATCATGTCATAGCTGGGTTGGTAAGCCCCTAAAAATTTAAATAAAAAATGGAAATGACAAAAATGCATACGTGATGAATTTATTGCAACAGAATGGCAGGGCAGCATAAAATTGGTCATTAATGATATTTTGAAAATATAAAGGTATAAAATGTCTTTCCACGTTTCTTATTAACCTACATAATTTGGTCAGCAATACATCTTCTCATTCATTCACGTGTTATCTGTGTACAGACGAAATCATGGTCAAGAGAAACTCATTTATTATTGCATAATGCATAGCAAAAGTCATTTATTGCCTGTTCGAGTCTGTCAAGTGTTATATTTACTTTACAATTAGCAGGTCATGAGAGATATTGAACTCAATTTCATGTGTCGTTGTACGAATCAGTTTCAAGTTTGCAAGAAATTTCACACAAACAAAAAATCAATCAAGTTGGAACAAGGCATAAGAAGGAACGACCGTTAATAATAAAAATCAAACCGGAGAATAACAGATGAAATCGAAAGTTTCATGTTTTGGATATGTCATGTCATAACTTTCTATAATCAAATTATTCAAAAGTGTTATGAATCGTAGCGCCTGTCTAGTTCATTAGCCCTAATAGCAAACACTGAATAATCCGGTAAGAGACTGTTGTTGTGCTATCTTACAAATTAGTGCCAGCTCGCATATGCTCTTTTTTGGTAGATTCTTGGAACCCTCAGAGTTGCAATAGACATCATAAGCAAACAATCCCCGCAATTATTCAACAAATGACGCAGTGGGACACAGTCGTTGACAAAATATTTTTCTTGCAGATCGTCATTAGTCCAGCTATTATAATCTCATGAGATTTATAGCCAATAGCTTCAGATAAATGTCGAAGTAAATTAAAGAAACTTGCAGGCACTTTAAGTTTTTTCATTCAATACCTTAAAAATCCATAACCAATTGCTTTGACCTTTACATACTTTTGAGTCCATACAGAAATTCATTTGAAATGTTAATTACGTTTTTATTTTTATAGCCGATAGATTTTTTTTTTCTTCGCTTATTTTTAAAAGCTTGCAAAACTTCACAAATAATTTTTTTTGTCGATTCTCACTCACAGCAAATAGTAATTGAGCAATAAGCAGGTTGGAAAAAATTGAAAATAAAGCAGCAGAAAATAATTTCTTTAATCGATTAACATGCTTATTGTGTCAAGACTAGATATAGAAACTTTATAATCTGGATTAAAAGGTTTGTTGAACTCTAACTTGATGGGATGTTAAACAGCATCTGAAGTCAGTGGCAATGAATAAAATGAAAGAATTTTGTGTCATGTTGGAAATTTTATGATGCATGTTTGGACTTTCTGTCTCATTTGATGATCAATAAGTATAATAGCAAGACCTTGATATCAAGTTTGCTTCAAATCATCGATTATTTTTGGGGAATTCCCTGAATATTTGGCGCTGCACATCTATTGAATATTGTCTGTAGGAACTCAAGAATCTTTGTTTTCTTTGAATGTTTTAAGAAACGGAATCACCACAAATGCGTCCATTTTACAGTCTACCTACATTTTCTTAGCTTTCATTTTATAAGATATTTTTATAAGATTGCAACAGCAGAACTTCCGCGTAATATCCCAACTTTATGAAGCTGTTTCTACTAGGAAGTCATTGAAGATGTTACTTAAACTATGTCAACTGATGTGAACCATTTAAAAATAATTTTATAGCTTAGTTGTAAGAACAATTTGAATTCAAAATTCTTTAAATCATGTCTAGTTAGCGGGTAGTAAATACTATAAACCCAAAGCATCATTAGAAACCACAAATCACGCTCTATACAATGTTGTTATCCATTTTAATACCAATGGCCAATTACTGCTCAATTAAGCTGTTCATTAATCATTAACTGCAGCACTTGACATAGAGTAAAATTTCGATCAAGAACAAATGTTTTTATTAAAGTTCAAGAACGGTTGAAAAAGCAATAACCGCGGCACCGAAGCTTTTCAAAAATGCAATGTCATGAAAATATTCAGGTTTTAATGCAGAACTAGTGGGAATGTTTTTAAATTTAATTGTGAGAATAAAAGAATTTGCTTTTAATACCTAGAAGAATAGACTATAAATCAATTCAGACAAGTTTACATTTGCAATTCTGTAACGTCCAATGTAGAAGAAGTGCGTAGCAAAAAGACGTTAGAGATGCAATTAATAATTACCGCTATGATGAATTATGTGAACTTAATCATGGTACCGACAAGATTTATGATATGTGTGCGGCATTAAATAGTTAATTTAGCTATTAAACATTTCATAAGAGCATTAATAATTGAGAATTGAAATGGCGCAGCTACTCGTGAAATTCGATGAATATTTTTTTTTGTAAAATGCACTCATTAATTATGCAATTATTTTATAGTTGTATAAATGAGTAGGATAATGTTTTCAAAAACTCTATTTTCTGAATAATCAGGTCATCAGCTAAGCAGCACTTATTGCACTTTTGTCTACGCAAATTGTTTGCAATATTAATTGATGAAATAAAGCTTTCTAGAATAAATATGATGAAAATCAAGCATGTTTATTCATCGATTATTCTCACTTGTCATGAAAAGCTTTTTTAAACAGCAAAAAATCCATTGAAATCAGTTCTTAATAATGGATATCGGAAATTTGGCGGGAAAACAAGATTTCTTCAAAATACTCAAATATCAAACTTTGCAATCGGGCAGATTCTTATACTAGCACTAAGTCAAGCAGATTAAAGCAGTCAATGCATTAACTCCACATCTTGAACTTTAGCATTAATCTCAGATTTACTTCAAATTACCTCAAAAAATACTTTTTTATGACAATAAGCTGCTCAGTAATGATCACATTTTTAACATAACTTATGCTTTAAGCGATTGTGTACTTAATTTATTAGTAAACCCTTCATAAATCTATTGACACGTGATTTCTGATGTCTCACAAATTTTAAGGTCACTGCTGCCAAACTTCCTTGTTTGATTTAATTTTTAGGAAATTCTTTTCGGTTTCATTGGTTCCAAAAATGGCATCAGGAAAGAGATCTTCAAAAACATCACATTTTCTTGATTAATGGCCAATTAGATACATATCTTGCACGTGACACAACTAGGAATTTAAAGCAGTTTTAGCAAAGAAGCAAAGAAGTAGCTTGAACAATTAGAATATTCGCGAAAACAATTCTTCAAGGTCTAAAGTCGTATACGTAGTTTCCCCGAGTATTTCTGCATCACAGTTCGCAGTTTCTCTAGCTGTATTCATAATATTGATAAGAGAAGAAAGAGATGCAGAGCTATTTGCCAACAGTAAGCTTAATAATCTCTTCTTTTTGTTCATCACACGTCTGCTATGAAAATAATGAACAATCCAGTGCATATGCTTGAAATAATAATGATTCGATTCATGAAAATTTTCAATTCTTTTACAGTAATGGAAATTAACCATATCCTTCAACTTAAGTGTTGTTCTTACAGAGTTGTTGTGTTGGAAAGTGATGAATTTTTGGTAATTTAGATTATTTAGAGAATATAGCGCTGATTCAGTAGTTTTTATGAACAAAATTTGTTCCTTTATTTCAAAATCATGTCATTTGTTTGTGCCAAGAGTTAAAGACAGGATTTGTTAAACTTAAGGTTTCTTAAAATTGGCAAAAATCTTCAAGGAATTTCCTTTGCATTGAACTTTGTTAATTGAACTGTTCCTTTTGAATCCGAGTGCAGTTTTCAGTCAAAACAGCTTTTACATGCTGGAACATGATTAGTCTTAAAGAATGATAAAAATGCTTGATGTTTATTGTCCGAATTCTAGTCAATGACTGAAGATTTGGATAAAACAGGGCAATCAACTATACTGCAACAAATATTATTTAAATCTCAAAAGAATGGAATGACAGCAGATAACTTGGAAACCATCCCTGAATCTAATCAACCACAATTTGTAATGCTTTGAAGAAAACATTTTCCTATCCTATTATTATTATTAGTAGAGCCTACGAATTGAAGAAACTCAAGTACGAGCATCGGTTTGTGCAATTTGAATAATAGCGGTGAATTATCTTAGATATTTGAAATAGACATGTCTTAACCGTATCCATATATATAAGATATACCCTTGAAAATAAGTAAAGTTATGAGAGATGATGATGATTTTTGTGGTACACAACTCGTAAGCCTAGTATTGTAGTGAAATGTATGTATTTTGGAAAGTTGGAGTTTCGTAAAAATTGTACATTGTATATGCATTGCATGGATTATTTAATAATTGACCTTCATTTGTTTTTTTTTTCTCACTCGAGATATGAAAGAAAGAAAAAAGTATTTCATGTACTCAAACAAAAAATAGACTTACAGATTAAAAATTACGTTGACCGATATTCAGTGTGTCTATTGTAAAATGTGTGAAGGGTCGTTAATTGTATTGGGGCTATGAATAGCTTAATTTATGTCATAACTCGTTTGAAATTAAAGGGAAAAATAGTCACCTAGGCAACAAATTAATTTGAATGAATGTAGGCATGTGTTGGGCACCTTTCTCTTAAAAATACATAGTTATATCCAGTGACATAACTTGATGTGGATTGCGGATGGTCATTTTTATGAGATGAAATTTGAATATTTGATTTCACTGTGCTCAAGACTTTATGCATTCATGCTGCATATCGTATGATACATCTACAAGATCGGATGACTTGCAAACGACATAATTAATTTTTTGTCATGTAAATGTCAAGAGTCTCTTTATACTGACTGACCCGGTTTGTTGTTCTTTTCATTCTCGTCTGACTATTTTATGCTTGCCTGTGCTAATCGATTGCCATTTCTTCTTTGCCTTCTTATCAATAAAATATTTCATTTTTTTTCTATACCTTTTGGTGGCAATCCTTTAATAACATTAACTGCTGCTTTAAATCTCTCCTCCATTGACATCTTATTAACACTTTAAATTTAGCGACCTTTGATTGCACAAAAATATCTTCTTGATAAGCTTTAAATTCTATTTACTATCCCGAATCTTATCAGAAAATTCTTTCGAATTCTTCTTATTTTCGTTAAAATCTATAAAAATACACTATTTAAACTAGATAAAATGCGGGAGCTTTTTGAGTTACGTTGTTATCCATTAAATGCTCAACACTAACTAGCTATTTAAGCTTTATTCAATGAATTATTTTTTTAAAACTTGTTTTTACACAAATGTTTTTTTAACAGACTTGGGACACTGTGAAATTTAAGTAATAGATAGGTACTTAATGAAAAACATATTCACACCAAGTATAATCAATTTCGTATGTTGCAATTTTCTATGAAAAGCATCAACTTATTAGAATTCTGTTTTTTGCATAGAAATGAGAATATCGAGTTCAATTTTTGTTATCTTGATCATGTTAAGTCAATTTGCTTTGTTTCCTCTCAAAATGCTAGAAACTGATTTTCCCAATCAAAGCATGGTTAATCATTCACACGTGTGCGGTGTGAATATGGAAAACCGTTAAAATTTATTTTGAATTTATTGGAAAACATTTGAATTGAATTTAATCGTTACTCTTTTTTTTAATTTTAATGTTTTAAGCTATTCCAATGATGAATTATATCAATATTATTATTGAAATCTTTATATATTATTATTATTATTATTATTATTATTTATTGATTACTTCTTTTCATTACAAAGGAAAAGCCACTTCAAATAGAATATTCACTAATGAAATTAAAGATCACAATGAAGAAAGTAAAAAATGATAATTTCGATGACTATTTGGGTCAATCCAAGTTCATTATGTTATTTTTCCATGAAAATTTGCAAGGGGTGTTAACAAAAATTTCAAAAAAACTGTAAACAAAAACATGTGAAAATCGTGATTGAAACACAAAAATTCTTAAAACTAGTGTAATTAATAGAATTAACACAAGATGAATTTTGGCAAGAAGATTATGGAGAGATATGGGTACAAGGAAGGAGATGGTAATCAAATTAACATGACGTTTCTATAGAAAATTCATTAAAACTTAATTTATAAGGTCTCGGAAAAAATCAGAATGGAATTGTTGAGCCGATTAAGGCAAATTTTAAATTTGATAACACTGGATTAGGCGATAAAGGTCCAGTAAAGGAGGATCATTGGTGGGAACGAGTTTTTAATGAAGCAAGTACAAATGTCAATGTCACTAAATCAGAAAAGGGTGAAATTGGCATAGATTTGACTGATAAAGACGGTGTAGAAATCACAAATAAAAGCTATTCCTTGAAGAAACTCAAAAATGCAAATTCCAAACTACAGTACGGTAATTTCCTTAAGTCTGCGACACTTCTAGCTAATAAAGGAGAAGAAAAGGAAATTGAAGGACATTTAAAGACCGAGGATATAGAAATTAAGCCATTTCAAGTGCTATCCGATGCAGAATTGCTTAAAGCATGCGAATTTAGAACAGCACATAAAGGTAAACAATCAATTTCAATCACGATTTCATTTAGAATTATTGCTCAACGGAAAAATTAAATTTGAAATTCACTAACACTATCTTACAACCCATCAAAAATTAAATTCCCAAATATCTTAATTATTCAATCATTATTCCCAAATATTATGATATGATTACGAAAAGTAAATATTACATTAGCTATTCTGCCTATTTTAAGAGCTTTAACATCATTATTGAGTGATATTTTCATGATTTTTTAAATTTCATTTCAATTTTTGTTTGTAAACAAACAATTCACGACAGAAAAAATTCAAAAACTTTAAAACCGTTAAAAAAAATTTAACTTAATTTTGTCCATTAAAGTATGTTTCCGGGACAATTTATTACTTTTTTTGAAGCCAAACTAAAGAGAATAAAATATCTGATCTACAAAAATACATTTGAAGATGTATCAATGAAAACTGTCAAAGTTATGGCAAAATTCCCAAAAACTATTCGTGAGTGACGCTTAATTAAAGTGATTTTCTGAAGCAACTGCTTAATTTTATTAAGTGAGTTGTATATCAAAAGATGGGGATTGTTTTTTCCTACAGGATAAAATAACTTTGAAATTTGTCACTTATTTAAGGTTTAAAGCGTCACTCACGAATAATTTTTTTTCGCCGTATAGCCTAGTTACAATATATTTATAGGCGCACGTCATGGATTAAAATTGAGTGGAAAGCTGCAGCGAATAGCTGAACAGGAAAAAGTTTTACTGGAAAAAATGAAGACTAATCGCAGTGAAGTATTTAAGCAACCATCAGAGACCAGTACAAGTACTAAGGCAAGGAAAAGGGGATTCGATTTGAATAGCTCAAAAGATGACAGCAGTGATGATGAAAAGAAGCTCCCTATTAATTTAGACAGAAATATTGCAGTATCAAAGACAAAAAAGAAAAAGGAAAGGAAAACTGTCAATGAATTAGCAGATCAAATATTGTCATTTGCATTAGACAAAAGTCAGTCACAAGAAAGTATCCAAACTAGCACTAAAAATCAATCGATTGTCCATCAAGACACACCAATTAAAAAGAGAAAGAAGGAATTAAGATCCAGTAAGAAAGAATCTAATGATTTAAACAAGATTGTCGAAGATATTGAACAGATAGACGAGGCAAGGCTCAAAAGAAAGAAGAAAAAAAAGTCCAAAAAGGAAAATAATCTCCTTGATGATGACGAGACTATGTCTGATGTCGCAAAAGAAAGTATCATTAAGCCTAAACGTGTAAAAATTAATGATGATTCAGCTGCGGAAGCAAGTATAAGTTCAGATGATGATATCGATAAAATTAATGAAATACATCACATACATTTGAATAACAGCAAAGTCAGTTCCAATGAACTGCGAAATAAAAATTATGAAAGCAGTAGCAGAAAAAAGAAAAAGAAGAAAGTTAAAACTAAGGCTTCATTAATTAGTGACGATAGCTGGAAGATTACACATAAGAAAATGGATAAATATGAAGCAAAGAAATTGAAGCTTAAAAGTAAGCAAGAGAAATTAGCTAAAGAGGAACCTAAGATGCTGTCTAAAAAGGCAAAAAAGAAGCAACTTAAGGCAGCCAAAAAGGAATTTGCACTGCTGACAGATACCGTCATTACAGAAATGAGTTCTGTTCTGTGAACTATGTTAAATTGAATTTTATTGAATTCTGTCTCTTCAATTTATATACATGAATAAAATCTAATTGGATTAATTTTGTTAACTTTGTGCCTTAAATTTATGATTGCACTCTTTTTATTTCTTACAAAACTTTAAGATTTTAACGGACCAAATATTTTCAAATTTTTTTTGTTGTTAAATTTCAAATTTAAATTTTGAAAAGCCGTTAAATTTTAAAGCCAAAGAAGCCGTTAATTATATTTCAGTCATTAATTTCGACAAAATTTGTGAATTGGATACATACAGCATGTAAATCTCTTGCGATGGATATCTCGATGGATAGAAACTGTCGATATATTTTTGATTAGCCTTTAGTAACAGCTTCAAGTCCTTTTTATTCATTTTGTTCATATTTTCGATTTGATTTCCAGCATTTTCAAGCACATGTTGTTGATAAACTTTCATGCCATTAAAAAGTGGATATTGATTTAAACATGCAACACATTTGCAGTCATATTCGTAGCATTTTCTAGCCGTTAGCTTGCGAATATCATAAGAAGATTCCTCGAAATTAAAGATGTGATTGTAAAACAGAGTATCGCCCTTCTTTAGTGGATATTTTGTGAAGTAATGAAGCTGTCCATCGATTAAGATTGAAAATATGTTGCTGGCACATGAATGATCCATAAAATTATAAATAAAATTTACGCTTAAAGCAGTTGGAACGCCTAATAAATGGTCATAATGTACAATAAAGTCAAGTGAACTTTGCATGACCAAGAAATCAATCAGAAACTCGATTTGACTCTCGGTCGCAAATAATTCAACAATCTTTGGATAAATAGGCAGCACCTTCTTAATAGTCTGTGTCAATTCATCGTAGCAGTCATATGTTGAAAAATGTTTTAAGGAAATCATTACAGCATGTTTTTCAATATTAGCTGGTAAAGTTGGGTCAATCTCAAAAATTGTCTTTGTGCTCATCTTACAGTTTCGTACGAAATCAATCATATCCTGAACAGATCCATTAAAGTGACTTAAAATCTCAAAGCATGAACGAAGACCAACTTGAATACCTCCAAAGTTAAACGGGACTTTTGCAATTTGAGTAGCTTCACATTCGTACTCATGATGAAATTTGGCACCATTAAGGCAGTCTTTGGAACAGAACATTGCTAAATTAAATAAAATAAGATGAAGAACAAATGTGACCATGAAATTATAAACTATATGTGGTCTATGTTTACCTAATTGACAATTGAGACATGGAATCAAATTCAAGTTGTTACTTTTTAAGCAGTTCTTGCATCGTCGATAAAAGGCACTTTCAGCCACAATTCCGCAAAATGGATCTTCAGATGCGATTAATGATGCTGACTTTATTGGCTTTATGGTTACTAATTTATTATCATCAGACATGCTTAGTGAGTTCAATACATTTGGAAGATGTGGATGTGAATTGTCTCGCAACTTCTTTTTGATACTTTCCGTTGAATACTTCCTATTCAAGATTGGAGTCAGTTCTTGCATGTCTTGTAAGATTTCCTGTATCCAAACCTCATTATCACTGCACTGCTTAAAATATTTCAAGTCAGCATAGATCTTAACACGCTTTTTGAAGATATCCAGTAAGATTGACTGCGATTGAGCGTTGCAAAGCGCTGTGTTGTAATGAATTAGCTTGTTTTCTATTGAATCAATACTTTCGGCTTTAAGCATGTAGAATTTTGCTGTTATATCGCATTTTCTATTAATCATCACTTGACTTACAGCACTGCTAACGACTATAGGCATCTTATTACTGTTTATTTCTGGTCTTTTTAAGATCTTGCAAAAAATTTAATAACGTGCTTGTTAAACGTGTAAATGAAATTTGAATCTCGGCTGAACGTAAGCTGAGTTTGAAAACTGATTCGATTGTTTTACAGCGCATTCACTATCTTTAATGAATATAAGAAGTTCCAAAAACTTTTACCTGACATAGACAAGCAGACAAAATGTCAACACTGAACATTCTTCACTTCATTTCAAGCTAAACCCACGTGTGGCACGAATAAAGTAAACAAAAAAGTAAAATAATTAAATTACATCAAAAGTACAGCATTTAACACATTGATTTAATTTCAGAATGAAACCCAAACTCAATAAATTCAGGAAGCAGAAGCCCAAACAGAAAACACGCAAGGATTTAAGGAAGGAAAAGCGTAATCAAAAAAAGTCAAACCGATTCAATTATCATAACACAAAAAAAGGTAAAAATGGAACTTCCAAGGACAATCAGCAAGTTAAAAAGAAGAATAAGGATGAATTCGATAGTGAAATAGAGTTTGACAAGAGTGACAATGAGAATTTCGATGAAATGGACGAGGAAATTCCATCAAGTGACGATGAAGTTGTACAACCGGTTAAATCAAAGATTGATGGCAAGGAGAATCAGCTACAAAAGTTTATTGATCGTCAAAAGAAAGAACAAGATGAGTATTTCAATGAAATCAAGTCATCTAGAGTAGAACAGCTACAACAAGCTAACGAGGACGAAGACAAGCTTATTGGAAAGTATGAAAAATTATTAAAACTCAATAAAAAGAAACGCAAAGACGGTGGCATTTCTAAATTCAATGATGGACTGGATTACTTGCTTGAGTTATGTACAGACGATAGCATACAGAAAATGTATAAAGCAGCAAAAGAAGCGGCAGATTTCGAAGATCCAGACGAGTCACTTCCTAAAAAACCTCCCAAAAAGAAGAGAAAGAAGAATGTCCAAGAATCTGATGATGAGCCTGATCCCGAAGAGGTAAAGGAACTGACCAAAAAAGCCGAAAAGCTCAAAAAATTCGAGGAAAAGTATTTTGGCGACGACGAAGATTTCTTTAAGAACAATCCCGAAATAGATAGCTGCGATGGAAGTGATTCTGAATTGGAAGGCGATGAACATGAGAGTAATAAGAGTTTTGGAAGTGATAATAATGATTCAGAAAGTGACAATGAAGATCCAGTAGGTTCAGAAAGCGACAATGAAGATCCAGAAGGTTCAGGAAGCGACAATGAAGATCTAGAAGGTTCAGGAAGCGACAATGAAGATCTAGAAGGTTCAGGAAGTAACAATGAGTCAGAAGAGGAAGTCAAAGAGGATATTTATGGACGAAAAATCGACAAAAAGGGTAAATTGATCCAAGAAGACAAGTCAAAGTATGTCCCACCGCATTTAAGAAAGTCACTAAAGTCTATAGATGCAGAAAGTGATCCAAAACGAAGAGAAAAGCTGCAAAATCTGAAAAGACAAATTAATGGATTTGTCAATCGTCTTGCAGAAGCGAATCTTCATAGGATTTCTATCGATATTGAGAATCTGTATAGTTCAAATGCTCGAAATGACATGAACACAGTACTTACAGAAGTCATTCAGAACTCACTTATTTCTAATGTTTTGGCTAGAGATCGAGCTGTGCTAGAAAATACATTATTAATTGCAGTTCTTCATGCTAATATTGGAAGTGAAATTGGCGCTTTTTTCCTACAAATACTCGTTGAACGATTTGATAGACTATTTAAAATGATTGATGCCACAGAAGTTGAAAATAAGGAACTTGACAATGTTATCTTTGTGATTTGTCATTTGTATACTTACAAGCTGTTCAAGCACAACATAATTTATGAGATATTAGAAAAGTTGTGTTCTAAACTGACAGAAAAGAGAATCGAATGCATTCTTTTGGTATTGAAATCTATTGGCTTTATTTTAAGGAAAGACGATCCAGTGGCATTAAAGGAATTCATCCTTAAAGCTCAAAAAATGTTAAATTCAAAAGAAGTTGAAAGCAACACAAGAATCACGTACATGCTGGATGTTTTAATGGCTATAAAGAACAATAATGTTACCAAAATCCCTCAATATGACGCAACGATAGTCGATCACTTCCGTAAACTTCTCAAACAGTTTATTAGATCTGGAAAGTATGTTACAACATTAGCAATAACTTTAGATGACTTGTTGAATGCTGAAGAGAGAGGAAAATGGTGGCTTGTTGGATCTGCTTGGTCTGGAAACGATACACAAGATAGAAACAAGAAAAGTGACTTTCAGGAAGAGACAACGAATGATGAACATAGAAATAAAATAATGGCACTAGCTAAAAAGCAGAGAATGAACACAGATGCAAAAAGAAATGTCTTTTATGTTCTTATGACAGCTGAGGATTATGTCGATGCATTCGAGAAGATTTTATCGTCTACAAATGATGAACGGACCATTATTTCCGTTATCCTGCATTGCTGTTTATCTGAAAAGGAATACAATGAATATTATAGTGTGCTGGCTCAAAAGTTTTGTGAACATAATCGTAAGTACTTGTTAGCTATTCAATTTGCTGTGTGGGATAAGATAAAGGAACTGGATAATTTGAATGTTAAGCATATAAATAATTTATCAAGGTTCTTGATATTTTTAATAGAAAATGATAATTTGCCATTGTCGGTGCTGAAAGTCGTTGAGTTTGCACAAATTGAAAAGTCAGCACTAAGACTCGTTCGTCAAGTCATGCTTGGACTTTTGTTGGCTAAAGAAGAAAATTTTGAACGAACTTTTGAAAGAATTGAGCCAAGCATGAAACTTAATGCATTTAAGGATCAATTAAGGTTATTCCTCAAAGTCTTTCTGCTTAAAGACAACACATTAAAGATTAATGAGGAACAAATGATGAAATTGCAAGCGAGAATTGAAAAGGCTGAAAAGTTCCTGTCTTCCAGTCACATGTAAATACTTTTGAATTATTTAAGATTTTTTTTTTTTTTATTAATTATTTTAATCACATTCTGAATTATAAGAAAATAAATTTTATCATTAATTAGTTTAATTAATTACGAATAGATATCTACTTATTACATTTAAATTGTCGTCCTGTTTGGACCTTAATCTTGAGATTAGTTGACGGATTAACTTCTAAATCCACTGGATTTAATTTTTAAATCTCGAGATTTAGCTTTTTTCAAATATTTTGCTACCGTTATTTTTCAAATATTTTTTGTTCGTTAATTTTTGAAACTAATTGAAGAATTTAAATCTCAAGATTAATTTCCAAAGCATAAAACGATGTTCTTCATTTTGACATGGAAGATTCACGATTCAATATTTTGGATATTGTTCTTAACATTAAAGGAAACAGTTGGGACACTTTGATAAAGTTTCATTGGAATTATATATGACTGAATGTCTCTCATTCCACCTTCATCCCCTTCTTTAAAGCTTCCAACATCCATTAAAATATATAAAGCAGTTCCAGCTAAAATCAATCCAGTACCAACTTTTGTGGGCGATGCCGAATCAAATGAGAATGGATATTTCATAATACCAATAATCATGACTGCTAAACTTAATGCAATCATTCGAAACATGGAATCAGCAACCTTGATTACAAACAGCTCCATCATGTTACATGCAACAATAAATATGATAAAGAACCACGCAATAATGTTAAAATTATCAAAAAAGCCACCGCGCGTTTCCATATCGTTAATGTAGTAATTTCCAAAACATATAAACAATGACATAGGCACTACAAATAAGTTCAATTGTATTCCACGTATCCACAATGAGACATCAGATGCCTTCAAATTACTCTCTAATATAGCATAGCTTAATCCATAGCAGCAAATGGAAGCAATAATTAAAATGTAAGCAAAAAGCTCTTGGTCTTTAAAGATATTCGGTAGTAATGTTGACATGATTTGATGTTCTTGTGGGAAATATGTAAGTCCCATAGAAATGAATAGTATGGCCAATATTTGTGTCAACATGAACTTTTTCTTAATCAATAATAAGCAAAAGATTGCAACTCCCACGATATAAAAAGAATTGGCTGACTTTGCCTCATTTGGTAGCATTTCGTTGGCAAATTCTGTTGATAAAATTAGAAATGCGGGCGGTAATGCCATTTTGAATGTACTTTTGTAGTCATTAAAAATATGTTTTGTTAAGCTGCTAAATAAATTCGATAGACTGCCTTCTTCCATTAGCAGAAATATTAGGAACAAAATTATTTGCAGCATTCCGGCAAAGATGTTGACTGAAAAGTAAATATGTAAATCATTAGTATGGATAACGAGGGAGTTTAAAGCTTGTCAAAATTGTGAGCATTGAGTGCGAAACCTTATGACATGCTTGAGCAGTACTTTATAAACCGAGCTCTTGTCAAGCATCTTCAGACTTAACTGTCTCCGATACATAGCTCAACACACTTGAACCCACTCAACAACCAAGACATCAATCAGCCAATGTTCAATACTTACTCTTTGGTAGCAAAAATTGCGTACTTATGTCCACTGAAAAGGCTTGTACTTGTAAATATAGGAACGTAAGTATGACAAAACTGAAATATCGCAAAAGTGTTCCATATTTTTGCAATTTTCCTTGAATCCGCAGAAATTCTATAGAAAGTATAAAAAAAAATAATCAATATTTCATGTATATGCGGACTATAAGCTATTTATGTATTACTTTCACGATCCATTATCGCTTCTTAAAATAAAATAATTTTTTTATATACGTCAGGATTAGCAAATTTTTATTTTCTATGACGAAACTTGATTCTTGGAATTTGAAGAAAGGAAAAAAATAAGAGACGGTGTTGCGTATTTATGCAAGAAAGTCCATTGATTTCAACTATACAGCACTACATTTACACTAATTGTAGCTATTTTACTTCCATCAATCTTATAAAAATTAATTAATTCATCATTTTCAAGTGAAAATGAATATTTTTGGAACTAATGTTAGGCTGTGTGCGAACTAAAGTGATTTTATAAAAACATAAAACTGCATAATAAGTTGGGCAAACACTAAGCGTTTAGCAGATGTACCAGATTTTTTTGGTAGCTAGTTTCGTGTTTCTTATGGATTAAATCTTTTTGGGGTTGCAAAAAAAATTTAAGTCATTTATCTCTTAAAACTGTTCAAATGTTTGATATTGTGATTCAAAACCGTTAAATTTCTTATTTGGGTTTAAAAACCTTACAAATGTTTTAATTTATGCTTTAAAACCATACAACAGAATTCTTTAGAATTGTTAAATTCTGTAAAACCATTCAAATTTTTTGTTTTAAAACCACACAAATTCCTGATAAATTCTTTCAAAACCGCACAAATGTTTGAAAATTCAAATTTATTTAACCCTTAAATTTGGAATAAGCTATAAAATGACACCAATTCAGCCGGTTGCACAAACAAAAATTCATTTCAACAATACAAAATAATCCGCTCGACTCATCCATTCCCTCACATCCCAAGTCGCCTAGAATCGATTTTCAAACAGCATAAGAACGAATTTAACGAGAACATATTATTTTAGAACACATCAAACTTTAGTTTCGCATATGTTACAAGCTACTTCGGAGTGATTTAAAAATATTTTATGCAATTATTTAAAGGAATTTAGTGAGATATGATGATGAAATAGAGTATTTAAGAGTGTAAAGCATAAGAATTTAATTATAGTGATAAGCATAAAATAGTTAACAATGAGCCATTATTCTAGAAAATTGGAGCAGCAAGTAAAGACCTTTTTTTTAAAAAAATAAAACTCATTTTTTTGTTATTTTTTCTCATACCTTTTTTTTTGTATGTTGTTTTTTGAGTACATACTCAATATGATATTTTTTGAGGGACGAAGTTTTTATTGGTGGTTTTTCCATAGTGAAGCACATAGAAACTATATAATAATAAGGAGGTAGAAAGTAGAGAAAAAAAAAAATCGAAATTGAAAACGACCTTTTGTCGCGGTGTTGCTGAATAATTTATTATTACTTCCAAAATAGAAACGATGTGTGATACAAGATTATGGAACCATGGAAGCAATTATTGACACAGCTATTGATTCACATTATTAACTTCTTATTTTCTTGTTTTTTGTTTCATTTTCGGATCTGATTATGTCCAAACAAAATTTGGATATGTCCAACATATAAAAAAAAGAGGTCAATTCTGGAGCAACAAATTAAAACAAAAAGACTTCAAGCGCCTCATATACGTGCTTCAGATTTACAAATTATGCGTAGTGATGGAAATAAAGACGGAATACTGGCATATAATGGTAATGCTATTCAATTATTCATTGGTAACCCACTCGATTTTCTCCTTTTGAGGATTTTTATAGAGAGTGGTGGTGCTCATACTTATAATATGTATATTATTGTGTATCATCGTCGTGTTCTTTGTTTATTCTGTTTTTTTTTTTTGGGAAATTTTTATACAAAAAGTACATTTGTTTCATGACTTTTTATTTTATTTTGTTTATAGACATGCATATACATAACTTTTATGTATGCATACAAATAATATGATATTCCTTTGAGTTTTAGCGCATTTTTGCTATTGTGCTCACTTGTCGCACGGCTGGCTAGAATGCTCGATCCTTGAATCGAAATTCTTCTTTTTAAAATTTCTTTCTTTTGTAGATTTGGCTTTAATTTCTTGTAATTTGATGTCTGAACTATGATTAAGTTGTCATTTTGATTTATAAATTATTGCTGCTATCATGCAAGGATCATGCTTTGTTCTTATAAGCCGTTATTTTTTGAACTTTTCAAATTTTAATTTTACAAAACCGTTACTTTTTGAATTTTACAAAACCGTTACTTTTTGAATTTTACAAAACCTTTAATTTTTGAATTTTACAAAACCGTTTTAATTTGAATTTTACAAAACCGTTACTTTTTGAATTTTGCAAAACCGCTACTTTTGAATTTTACAAAACCGTTACTTTTTGAATTTTACAAAACCGTTACTTTTTGAATTTTACAAAACCGTTACTTTTTGAATTTTACAAAACCGTTACTTTTTGAATTTTACAAAACCGTTTTAATTTGAATTTTACCAAACCGTTACTTTTTGAATTTTACAAAACCGTTACTTTTTGAATTTTGCAAAACCGTTACTTTTTGAATTTTACAAAACCGTTACTTTTTGAATTTTACAAAACCGTTTTAATTTGAATTTTGCAAAACCGCTACTTTTGAATTTTACAAAACCGTTACTTTTTGAATTTTGCAAAACCTTTAATTTTTGAATTTTACAAAACCGTTATAATTTGAATTTTGCAAAACCTTTAATTTTTGAATTTTACAAAACCGTTATAATTTGAATTTCGCAAAACCTTTAAATCCACCGAGTCACATCTGATCTCAACGGAACAATCATGCAAAGCAGCAAAAATGCGCCTTAATTCATCAATTTTACCCCTCACCGAGAGAGAGATTTTTGAGTTTTGTTGTATATACAATATTTTTTGGACTTATTTTCAGGGCCTATGAATTTTTTTAATAGTGATCCTGACCACATAGAAGTATTGGAATCAAAAACCACATCGAATAGTACAACAGAGGTGTATTCATTTAATGGTAAAATTTCATTATTATATTCATGTCAGATTTTATTTTTGCATGACAATATCAATTAACAGTAATAGTCTAGAATATATCATAATTCATAATTGTATTACACCATTGGCTGGCTTTTATAGTAAATGTTTACACTTAGAGGTTTATGATGACTGGTTTCTATTCTGTATATTACGTAGATTTTATTCTATTCCTATAATTATTTTAATTATGACATTTTTCCATTATTTTTCCCGTTTCCATTAATAATGCATGCACACACAATAGATAACAATGTTTCCTTAAATCATTCTGCACATACGCGACGTGATAGCGAAGACGAAGAAAGTTCACCGATCATACCAGAACATGGAGTTCTGCAAGCAGATTATGCGTCAATTGATAATCGCACGGAATCAACAAGCAGTACTAGTCGAAATAATTCAGCATTTAGTGGAACTGAAGTTGAAGGTGATATAACTGGCAATGTTGAGCATTGGGTTCTGTCGCCTGGTAAACAAGGTGTTCTTTATAAATGTCGTATCACTCGAGATCGTAAAGGAATGGATAAAGGCCTTTTTCCTATCTATTATTTACATTTGGAACGAGATACTGGCAAAAAAGTGTTCTTACTTGCTGGTAAGTCAATTCTACTTAATGATGATCCAAAAAATAATTGAAAAATAACAGTCAAAAAATATTTGAAATCTTTCGTTAAAAAGTTTGACGAAGACTTTTTGAATTCAAATATTTTTTAAACGGAAATTTCCAAAATTTAATTTCTAGCTACTTACTTTAAAGACAGTGACCGAACAAAAAGATAATTTTGTTGTCATTCAAGCCTGTGGGAAAATGCGCTAGAAAAGAAAATTGGAAATAAGAATTGTTTCATTATTTTTTAAAATCCGTTTCATTTCATTGTTAATCACAGACTTAATTCCTTTCCTTTCTTTCTTTTTTTATTTGCTCTACATTCTGCTTCAGGGCGAAAGAGAAAAAAGAGTAAAACCTCGAACTACGTCATCAGCTGTGATCCGACTGACTTGAGTCGGCAAACGGATGGATATGTTGGAAAATTACGCTCAAATGTCCTTGGGACAACTTTCTTTATGTACGATAATGGCTCAAAAAGTAATAAGGGCGAATCATCTCCTCGATTGGATCTTGGAATTGTTATTTATGTATGTAGTCACGTACTTACTTTCTATTGTTTGCTTTTTTATGTGCTGTGTTCTTTGTTGGTCATGATTTTTGGGGATAATTGTTGGAACTGAATAGTTGGATTTATGTTAAATCAATTTTAAATCCATCGGATTTATTTTTAATCCAAAGATCCAAGAATCATGTCTAAAGCATTCTAAGCAAAAGAAATAAACAATAATTATTGTCCTTACTAATCCTCACCTTCCTCTTACAGGACACAAACATATTGGGATTCAAAGGTCCTCGAAGTATGACTGGTAAGCAAATTGACTTAATTAATGCTAATTTATTCATGCCTGATCACGTTTCTCCTTCCATTGCAGTTTTAATACCTGGCCTGGATGACAGCGACGAACGTGTCAAGATTATTTCATCTGACGACTCACAGCAGGGCATTCTGGATAGTTGGAAAACAAAGGTGAGTTCCTTAAATATTCCGTTTGACAATCAAGTCATTAATCATGCTTTATGTCTGACTTTTTAGAACATGGACAGTCTTGTTGAATTGAGGAATAAAACGCCGGTCTGGAATGATGAAACACAATCATATGTACTTAATTTTCATGGACGTGTGACAAAGGCATCAGTAAAGAACTTTCAGCTTATTCACGAAAGCGATCCAGAATATATAGTAATGCAATTTGGACGAACTGCCGATGACGTTTTTACAATGGATTTCAGATATCCGTTATGTGCACTGCAGGCATTTCAAATAGCTCTCAGCAGCTTCGATGGAAAACTCGCGTGTGAATAATTTACTTTATCATTTTTTTTCTTTCACATTCTGTCACTTTTTCTCAGTATTTATCGTATTTATGAAACATAATTAGTTCCATTCTCATCTATCCATCACATCCTCATCATCTTGAGCGAGAGAGATTTTATGTAAATTTTGTTTTTGTGTTGAACCAAAATTGAATTCTCATCATACGTATTAGTTTAGCTTTGATTATTATTAGATATTACTTATTTAAGTAGAAACTGAAGTATTGAGATTTTATTAATTACTCTCTTTTATTTTCGATTTGATTCTCATGTTAATTATAATACAACGATTTTACAATTTAAGTTTCATCATTAGACTGTGTGAAAAAAGACAAGAAAAACTTATTAATTAAAATTTTTGATGATAATGATAATAACGAGAAAAGCAATACAATAAAGATGATTGCATTGTGCACACATATAATTTAATTAATTTATGCATTTTTCCGTTAATTTTAAGATTATTTGAATTTCAGAGCATTACAACAGCAACATTTGAGGGGTTTTCAATGATTTTTAAAACATTTGTAAGGTTTTCAGCTTCATTTAAATTTTAAAAAAACGGTAATGTTTCAAAATTTACAATATGAACAACAAGTAGCAGATATTAAGCTTTAGGACCGATTCCCAACTCTGGGAAAATTCCCTGATTCACAATTGTAAACAAAATCATATGATTGTTATACATTCAGCATAAAATGATGTCACATGACGAGAATATATAAATATAATAAATAATAAATCATAGCATGTTCAAATTATTAACTCAAATAGAGTTTCTACATTTAAACAATAGTTTGAGGAAGTCTTAGAAGAAAATAAAAAACAATTATGTTGTTAAGATTATAAGCTTTGTGACGTTATTGACGATAATTCCATGATTTTTAAAAAATCGATAATTTTTTTGTGTGTGAAAAAGTTAAATTTCTTCAATATTTTGAGGATTTAGGCAGTTTAAAAGGACTTAAAAATTGAAATTAAATAAAGAAGCTGTTAATCGTGTTAATTACTTGATGAAATGTAAGTTAATAAGCTAGTCACGACATTTATGATTAATTTGACGAAAGAAAAAAAAATTATATTTTTAGAAGTTTATAAAATTGCAAGAAAAAAAAGATGTTGGCTACAAATCTAGTCGTTCCTGTTGTTTTATGGGGACCAAATACACCAACACACTGCGTTTCGAGTGTTTTCTTATCTCGAGATCAACGAACATTAGCTACTGGATGTTATGATGGACAAATTTGTTTGTGGCAAATTGATTCAGACTCAAATAAGAGCTTTGATATGACGCCTCGGTGCTTATTGCGTAAGAAAAAATTAATAAACAACATTAATGTACATTATATTAATGTTCAAAAATTTTAGTTGGACATACAGCTCCCGTTCTGTGCTTATCGAGAGCCTCAATAATTCAAGACAATAATTTCCTTGTCAGTTCCTCTGAAAATGGCGAGATGTGTACATGGGATTTGATAGACGGCAAATGTCGAGAGAGCGTGAAGCTTCCACAAGTTCATACATACATTCAGGCTTATCACATGTCAAATTGTGATGATATCAGACTCTTCTGTATTGGCTACTACGCAGAAATTATGGTGATGGATCCATTTAGTTTAGAAGTATTATTTTGTCTATCATCTAAAGTCAATCCTGATTGGATATCAGCAATGCATGTCTTACGACCTGCAAAAAGGAAAGATGATGTCGTCTTGGCAATCACAACGACGGGAACTGTTAAAGTCTGGACATTACTTGGCAACGAAAATAAGTATTCTGAACCGATTTATGAGAATGAGTCTAAGCAAATTCGATGCTTAAATGCAATCACGATGGCATGTTGTGCCCAAAACCAGCGAACTGTGCTTATTGTCTGCGCAAAATACTGGCAAATTTATGATGCTGGTGATTTTACCGTTTTATGCTCAGTTATCTCACCACGTTGTGAGCGCTGGCTTGGTGGTGATTTCTTACTTTCGAGTGATCGTGTCATTCTCTGGTCAGACGAGGGAAAAGGATACATGTACCGTCTGCCTGCAAAGTAAGTCACCAGCTGCCCAGTTTAAGTCCTTAAAATTAATAATTAATATTCTTTTAGTTCCATTCCTGACAACAAAGAATTTCACGGTCCTTCAGTCGGTAAAGATTCGCCATTTCTGTATTGCATATTGACTAATAAGGAAGAGAAACCATTGTCATGTCCACCGTCTATGAAATTAGTTCAAACGACTCGTGGAGGCAAAACCCAAAAGTATTTATTGAGAGGTGATTCCGAAGGATTTATCACTATGTGGGCTGTGCCTGATTTCTCGCTAGAAGAGATCAAGTTGCTCCAAACATCCAATGCAACTGCTAAAAGTGAGTCATATTTTTAACGTCTTTTTAGTATTTAAAAAATTTGTTCGGTACAAGCAGGTACGAGTTTGAATTTGATACTACCCACTGCTACCCACTATGGGCCAGAAATCGAAAACTTTTCCGAAAATTATTTTTTTGGTCTAAATGATAGCTCTTTCATTCCCATTTATGAAACTACTTACAAAAGTGACCAATTCGTCCAAAGTTTTGAGATATGGCTTTTCAAAGTTTCGATGAAGAGTATTTTCTCGCCCCACAAAAACTATCACCACAATTCACTGGATTGATGAAACTCTTTCAAATTTTTTTTTATTTTGTAGCTTTAAACAAGAGCTTTATTTTAAGATAATGAACATTTAAGTATGCATCTTTTAACTTTATGAATTTTAAGGTTTTTCCAAAAAGCACGTGTTCAGTATGATAACGTTCGTCTAGGACTTCACTCTTAAAACAAATCGTGCTGAATCTTTTTTTATATTGTAGATCAGAAATACATTTCAAAACAAAAAAAAAGTTTTTTGCTTTAGATCAATAGATCTCATCAAGGCGCACATTTTGAGTATAAATATGTCATGGTTTGAACAATTTTTTACTCAAATTTCAACAAAATCATTTTCATACATTTTTTCAACCAATTTTACTTATTTTTCTATTATTTTAAATCAAAACTTTTTTTTAAATCTTCTGATTTTGATATTTTTTGAAATTTCTATGTTTTTATGTTAAAATGTCACTCCTAGAGCAACAATTTATTAAATTTTTTTTACTTTAAGGTAATTTTTTATAATTTTTTGCAAATTACACTCATTTTTACCTTTAATTTTTCATACCAATTAACGTATGAATAAAGCTGGAATATCAAAGCTTTGATATGTTCCTTTAATCTGAAGGCAATTCTCCTTTCGATTCAGAACATATAAGCATCCAATCAACTTTTTTTAAAAAAATTTCGGTATATATACTTATTTCCATACAATTGTAAAGCATAAACTATCACCACGAATTATTAAAATTAAGGACCAATAATGAAAATAATTTTAAAAAGGAAAACGCTATCAACCTTTTTCTAATCTATCAAATTTATTTTGACAATTTTTATCCAATGTTGAATGGTTCCTTTTAGTATTTTTTGCCATATTTCATTGAGTTTTCCAATTTTTACTGATCTGTGGGCGCAACGTGATACATTTCAGATCCGTTCTTACAATTTATCATTATAAGGTAATCTTGTAGCTCTCGTTCTTATTTCTCCCGCTACACTTCAAGTTCCTCATCCGTTCCTTAATCCAACGTTTCCAAATATCTTATGGCTTGATCTCGTACATTAACAGTCGAAGTATCTAAACTTCTGAAAAAGAACAAATTTGGAAATAGCTGGATTGGAACCGACGACCTTCGAGTTACCATACCAAATTTGAGCCAAGCGCCTTACTTATTTGACCAGCGAGGCACTTAAATGCTTATATATAGACAAAAATAGATTCAAGAACCATCATTTTGTTTTGATAAATTTCGAAACGATGCAAACTTTTCAAACTTTTGTATATATACTTTATATATTTCATACTGGTAAATTCCAGTCACCATTAGTGAGTCCAGTCAGATAATAAATGTGTGACATGGGTCAGCAAAAACGAGTTTCAGGTGATAGTTTATGCTTTACAATTGTATGGAAATAAGTATATATACCGAAATTTTTTTAAAAAAAGTTGATTGGATGCTTATATGTTCTGAATTGAAAGGAGAATTACCTTCAGATTAAAGGAACATATCAAAGCTTTGCATATTCCAGCTTTATTCATACGTTAATTGGATAAAATATGTTCTTTAAATATGATTTTGTTGTAATTTGAGTAAAAAATTGTTCAAACCATGACATATTTATACTCAAAATGTGCGCCTTGATGAGATCTATTGATCTAAAGCAAAAAACTAAAATTTTAAAAACGTACAAAATTTATTTTCAATTTTTTTGTTTTGAAATGTATTTCTGGTCACACTTCAAAGTCAAATTGCTCGAGATTGTCTCAGTAACCGAACTCAAGCTGCTTATATATTCTGATAGTATATCCAAAGAGCTTTCAAAGCATGTAAAAAAATTCCACTCCTATGGGCTATCCTGAAAAGTTACGGGAATTTATGTTTTTTTTGAAAAAAAGACCTAAATTCATCAGCAAAACTTTACTAAAACTTTATAGTATCTTAATAAAAGTTGTAGATCTTGTTTATATCTACAATATAAAAAAACATTCAGCATGATTTGTTTTAAGAGTGAAGTCCTAGACGAACGTTATCATACTGAACAAGTGCTTTTTGGAAAAACCTTTAAATTCATAAAGTTAAAAGATGCATACTTAAATGTTCATTATCTTAAAATAAAGCTCTTGTTTAAAGCTACAAAATAAAAAAAATTTGAAAGAGTTTCATCAATCCAGTGAATTGTGGTGATAGTTTTTGTGGGGCGAGAAAATACTCTTCATCGAAACTTTGAAAAGCCATATCTCAAAACTTTGGACGAATTAGCCACTTTTGTAAGTAGCAGTAAGTAGTTTCATAAATGGGAATGAAAGAGCTATCATTTAGACAAAAAAAAATAATTCTCTGAAAAGTTTTCGATTTATGGCTCATAGTGCTACCTCTGAAATTTTAAAATCCGTTTAATTTTCTTTTTCAAATTATTTTAGTCGTTCAGAATACAATTTCGACTAGCCTCGAAGAAGCATGGAGTAAGATGGATCCACCACCGGTTGGTATTTTGGATCAATTGAATCATCCAAATGAACAGATAATTAAGTTGACAGCAAGCATATATTTGCCACTTCAGAGTCGTTTAGTAGTTGGTAGAGAAGATGGAACGATTATTATTGTTCCTGCAACTCAGACAGTTATGCTACAACTTTTGCATGGAAAGCATCAACATTATAATGATTGGCCACCTCATCAAGTCCTTAGTGGACATAATGGACGTGTTAATTGCTTGCTATATCCATATTTAGTTCATACAAGATATGACAAGTCTCATTTATTATCCGGTGGTGTAGATTTTGCTGTATGCTTATGGGACTTGTATAGTGGCACATTACTTCATCGTTTCTGTGTTCATGCCGGCGAAGTCACTCAATTATTAGTTCCACCCGAGAACTGTAGTCCTCGTATCCAAAAATGTATTTGTTCAGTTGCATCTGATCATTCCGTGACATTGTTAAGCTTACAAGAGAGAAAATGTGTAACATTAGCAAGTCGTCACTTATTTCCAGTTGTGACAATCAAATGGCGTCCATTAGATGATTTTCTCATTGTTGGATGTTCCGATGGAACTGTTTATGTATGGCAAATGGAAACTGGACATTTAGATCGTGTTCTTCACGGCATGATTGCAGAAGAAGTGTTGAGTGCATGTGATGAGAATATTGGTGAGAATGGTGAAGTGAGTACATCGTCTGAAATCGGTATGTCAAATCCAGCTGTTCATTTCTTCCGTGGATTAAGGCATCGAAATTTAAATGCCATTCGACACGCAACCCAAAGAGGAATTCATCAATTACAGCAATTAAATGCCCATAATAACAATGACGGTAACTTTTTGATGAAGAACCGGAACAGCCCTCTTGTCATCCAGAGTTTGAGGACCAATCCGAAAGGTAAGTGCTGTGATGTATTAAATGAGAGATGAGATTTAATGGAAATGGTATAAATCGTAACGTTTTCGGTTAAATTTGAATGTTAAAATTGGTCGAGTGTCGACGAAATAAAAGTAGACGACATGAGCGACCTCCAGCGCTTTTCGACAAGTCCGCGGCATAAACTTCTTTCTTTGCCAATTTTCGATTAATTTTTTTGTAAAAAACTGTGATTTGTAGTGTTAAAAAGAGTTTAAAAAGTACGAATAAGGTCTTTTTGCGGCCTTTTTTATCACAATACAATAGTAGAGAGCAAGAAAAGCTTGTTAAATTGCTGAAAAAAGTAAAACTTTCTATTCGCGGGCAGACATTTATGAGAATCGAAAAGAGGAAAAATAAAGGAGGGTCGTGAAATAAAGAAGTGGAAAAATCGCAGCCTGCAAGATCTTGCAGCAAGCATCCTCGATACACACGATAATAAAGGTGTTATAAGAAAGAAAGAAAAAAAAAATTTAAAGCAATATAAAAAGGTACGAAGTGTGTTGTATTGTAGAAAACGAGAACAAAAAAGATGGAAACGACTGGAAATACTACACTGTATGTTGGCAATTTGGATCATTCTGTAACCGAGGAACTGATTTGTGCATTGTTTTCACAAATGGGTCCCGTTAAAAGTTGCAAAGTTATTCGCGATTCAGGCAGTGATCCCTACGCATTTGTCGAATATCATCATCATTCAGCCGCTGCGACAGCATTATCCGCTATGAATAAACGAGTCTTTTTGGAACGCGAAATGAAGGTTAATTGGGCAACTAGTAGTGCCGGAAATCAACCAAAAACTGATACGAGTCAACATCATCACATATTTGTTGGAGATCTTAGTCCTGAAATTGAGACAGATACGTTAAGGGAGGCATTCGCACCATTTGGTGAAATATCTAATTGTCGAATTGTTCGTGATCCACAAACGTTAAAGTCGAAAGGATATGCTTTTGTGTCTTTTGTGAAGAAGTCCGATGCAGAAAGTGCCATTCAGGCTATGAATGGTCAGTGGCTTGGGTCTAGAGCAATTCGTACAAATTGGTCGACACGAAAGCCTCCAGCACCAACTGGGAAAAACGTAAAAACAGCTGATTATGAAGAGATTTATAATAAGACAAGCCCAACTAATACGACTGTTTATTGTGGTGGATTCTCAGCTAATGTTCTCACTGATGATATTATCTATAAGCACTTTGGTCAATTTGGACAGATACATGACATACGAGTGTTTAAAGATAAGGGCTATGCTTTTATTAAGTTTACAACAAAGGAAGCAGCCGCTCGAGCTATTGAAGGTACAAACAATTCTGATGTTTATGGACATACGGTAAAATGTTTCTGGGGAAAAGAGAATGGTAATGGTGTTGATCAGTCACAAGCAACTGCTATGATGCAAGGACAAAGTATAATTGCAGCACCACCACCCAATAATCAATCTCAGCAACAACAACAGCAGATTTATTATCAACAAATGGGTTATTGGTACCCAACTGCTGCTGCTGCCGGATATCCTCAAATGACAGCACAAGCCGCACAATATATGCAGCAAGGATATGCTGCTGCAGCCGGTTATCCATTTGCATACGCTAGTCCTCAAAATCCTGCCGCAGCTGCAGGATATACACGATTAATTCCACCAACAGCACTTCCAGCAAATGTTGCGGCCGCATGGGGAGTTCCTCAATCAGCAGCATCATCAGGAATGGCAAATGGCAGTAGTAATAGCACTCCACAACCTCAACCAACTATGCTGTATACAATGCCACAATTCCAAACTCAATAAATTTGATTCGATCGTCATCAATCATGCAACACTATCCAGATCATGAGCAACAACAACGTATAAAAAAACAACATAAGTAATAAAAATTAAAAAAAAAATGAGAAATTAAACAAGAAGTGTTAAATTGATACACTTGACACATTGACGATTTAGTTAGGATTTTCTAGAAATTTAAGGATGAACTGAACTTTTAAGAAGATGAAAAGAGATGAAGAGGAAGAAAAAAAAATTAAAAAAATAATAATTTAAAATGCTAAAAAATTCTCAAAAAAGCAACGCTATAAAGAGTGGTAAGTTATCAAATCAATATATCGGATTCTCCCGTTTATATTGTGTCTGTTTATATTTGCGTTCGTTCACTTGTGATGTCTATTTTTATTTTTTGGGCCTGACAGTCCCTTAAAAATGGCAGGGAATTGTCAACCAATTAAGATTTTGAGTCAATTTTTGATAGTTTTGGAACCAATTAACATTTCTGCACACTAGGGAATCCTCAATCTGCATGATTGTTTGGATCTGGAGGAATCTTGTGCAAATCGAGGATCCCTTGTATCTAGGAAAATTGATTATTTTTAAAACAGTGAAGTAGTTTTTATGAACAGAAAAATTAAAATTTCTGAAATTTTTATCTCAAAAATTTCAGCAAATTTAAGAGATTTTTTCATCAAAAAAAGGTTTAGAACCTCTTACCATCTTTCAGTACTTATTTTTAAAATTCTAAGTTTTTAATTTTTGAAAATTCTAATCACATTCCAAATCGTTGAGTTTTACAACAAAATGCGACTTAATGCAACTGGAGCTAGTTTTGAAAGTTACTCGCAGTAACCTTCTATAGAAACAAAAGCACTTGCTTTCTCAAGTAGATCAAAGACCGATTCTATTTTGAATACAAGCTCGATTTTGAAGCTCAACAACTTTGAATTTCATTTAAAAACATTATGTAGGTACGAATGAAAAATAGGACTAGAAAAAAAAATCCAAAAAATATTCCCAATAGATATCAAATGTGAACGACTCGCTTATGTTTTGTATCCATTATCTTTTTTTTTCATTCATTTCCTCTTTCTTCTTCTTGTGTCATTTTAGGAAAGAGAGAAATAAAATAATAATACAAAAAAAAGTTTAAAAAAAATTAATAATTATGAACCCACGATGAAAAATGGAAAAGTCTCAATTACTTGCAAATGCAAAAAAAAAATTATGAAAAATATTTTAAGGAACCACACACGGAAAAGTAGATGAAAAACGATGATTTTCGATGATGAGAAGGAGGAGGGACGATGAAAAATCAGTTTTAACTTTTTTTGACATTTATATAAAGTATACATATTATATATGAACGATGAAAAATGATGAATGAAACTTATGCTCTTCCTTTTTTTGTTGTTTAAATTGACAAATAGACAACAAAAAAAAATTGTAAAACATTTTCGAGCGATTGAGACTTAAATAAACATCAAAAATAAAATAAAATATGAGAAAAAAAAAGATAATATATTGACAACGAAAGGAGATCTTCTAAAAATGACAGTTAGAAACTTTTTTTAATAGAGATTGATTTGATAAACCAGGGCTGATGACATGCGTCTGTTAGTGAGATATTTTGAAATTTCAATGACAGATCGCAATAAAAAAAAGGTTTAGTTTTAGATGATAATGATAAATTATTATTATTATGTTAAACAATAAAAATGAAACAAAAGCGTGAGCGAAGCGAAATAAATTTTTTTCTTAAGATGTTTTACTCTTTTTATTCCATTTCAATTGTACTTTTTTTGCATGTGCTTTTCTAGATATTCATATTCACTAATTCAAAATTTGAAGGCTTTTAAGCCTTTTTCCCTCATCGATGTTGATTGCAAACTGTGTGACAAACTTCAATCTGTCATCCAGGCAGATAAATTCACAAATTTTTAACAAAAAGTTATAAATCATTTTACATCCAGATGAATCTTAATCCTCTCAAATGACATGCTTAAAGATTTACATTTCCATGATAATCACTTTCATTATTCACAGAATGTTTTGAATAAACTTTGCAGCATTGCTATTTTCTATGACATAACAACTTTTCTTTCCATACGAATTTAGATGCAGAAAGTCACATTCTGTTCTTTGATATTGAGGGATTGATTGTGGAGTTGCATAGCGAAGAATATGCAGCAATGAGTCCAACGACTCTGGAGGTAATTTTTATACATAAAGTTAATTACTGCTTATATGATGACTTATCACTTTTTTCGATCGTATGCAGGCACAAGGTTTGATTCAGCCACAACAACCTGCTAATCCCACAACAGATGCTAGCAAGAAACTTACAGGTACGTGATAATTAATCTACGATATAATAATAATTTTAACATCAATACTCGTTGTACTGTCGATTAAATTGTAATTCCAAATTTGACTTGAAATTCACGTGACTTGCTTCATTCTTATGAAATTTTGAATGTAGCTCATTTTTCTTACGTAAATGATGGCATAACCCTTTTAATTTAATACGTAGAAATGCCTCATTGTCAATCTTTTAAGGAACACATTGTGAATAATAACGGAAACAAGGAGAAAAATGCCAAGACGCAATTCAATGACTTACAATCCAAATTTTAATTTAAAACGGAATTATATTCTCCGTTCAGTTTTATCTATTGCATTTTTGTAGTTACACGAGGCATTAAACTTGTATTTTTGCAAACCCCTAACGACGCATGTATGTGCAATAATATCTATGTACACTCAAAAACTAGTTGGAAATTTTTGCAAATTTGAATTCTTTTTTATTTGGCGAGGTTATTCACTTTTTTATGGTACAATAAATGTTTTAAGCGATGATATTGCAAATATGAGAATAGAAATTGACAGGAAATTCAAGAGAATGAAGTTTTTTTGAGGTAGAATGGCATAAAAATGACTTGCTTGATTTTGATTTCAGAACTTTACAACAGAATTTTAGATTTTCATAGCATTTGTAAGGTGGAGTTTTCTCCCAACCTCCGAATGAGGAGGTTGTGGAATTGTGAAATACTTCAAAATTAATTAATTACGCGTAGGAATAAGTCACAAACCTACGGGAACTGTCTTCAAAGTAACAAAGAACAAAGATACCAAGGAAAAAACTTAGCAAAGTCGCGATTTAATTAAATTTTGGATATAAATTGAAATTGGAAAAAAATGTGCAAATTTTGCACATAATCTAGATAAAACGGAATTGATCATCATCGGAATACCAAAGAACATTTAATTACATTGACAAATCACGATCAGCTGCAGTTGTGAGGAGAATCAACTGTTTCACGTGGGTTTTTTGTGTTTTACCAACAATCGTGGACAAGAAGGTTCTATCATAAACATAACCTGGACATATTGAATATTATTGGAATACAACGGATTATCGTCAATTGTGAGGAGAATTTGTCTCGCGATGGGTTTTGTGTGTTTCCCCATATATCGCGGGCAAGTTCTATCAATCAATTGGTGCTGACTGGATTTCAACAAATCAACATTGACAAACAGGAATCGATCATCTCGGAATACAGCAGAACTTATTAATTACATTGACAAATCACAATGGAGACATAACAAAAATTTGAATCTTCTTTGAATATCACAAGTTGAATTACAAGAAGGACTGTCAAGGGATCTAGATCATCGACAACTGAAGATGGAATTTTTTGCCTAGCGATGGTTTTTTGTTGTTTTGACTTATCGCGGGCATGTTTTCTGTCAACCATTTGGAGTTGACTGGATTTTATTGATTGTTCTTTTAAAATTAAACTACCTGGAATTGTGAACGGTCTTTAAATAGCATATGATTAAGCTGATGGGCCTTAATAAACTTAATTAAAAAGAACAATTTTAAGGCTTTAAAAAAATTTCAAAATTTTAAAATCCGTTAAAATGCAAAAATAATCACATCAGCTGGAAATTGCAGCTGACAACCATTTCTGCATTGACATTTAAATGTCATAAAAAATTGAAAAGTGCTGAACTAGATAATATCTTTTCATTCATACGAAAAAAAAGCAAACCACGTGAATTTGAAACTCATATTTGGGTCACTAACATTTATTATAAAACTTATCTTGTAAATATTGTACACAAAAATATGTTCTTTTTGGATTACGGATAACAAATATTTTTTTTTCTCTGTCAAAATTCTCTTTTTATCTCCCTTTATTTGTGTGTGTATTGGATATAAAAGATTTTCTTGGTAAGGTAAAAAATAAGGCAGGCGATGTTGAGAAAATTCTAAAGGAAAAAGATAAACATGGTGGGTTATGCTGCTTAACTTTGTAGATTTAGCACAGTTCGTAGTTGGTTTCACTTAGATGTCTTACAGATTATGCCTTATCATGTTCATTTCGTAATAAATTATATCCTTCAATTATGTAGGCATCCTGGCAAAGGTTAAGGAAGGCGCTGAACAAGTCGGTACGAAAATTCAAGCCAAAGTCGAGACAGTCGTAAAGCAAATAAATGAGACAGGCAAAGAGTCATCGGATGGTATCAAAAGAATTGCGCCAAGGATGGAAGCAACACACGTAATGGAAGTCTCTCAACTTTTATTATCGTTAATCCATTCATGGGGATTAGATCCTCATTTAGATAAAGTTTGTGAATCACAACTAGGCTTGCTTCGTCCAATGGTGCCAATTTCTTTTGGTGTCCTATCTAAAGGCGGTTACATGTCACTTTTATTACCAACATGGCAAAATACAATCAAGCAGGATACCGTTCAGAAGCTACTTCAAGGAAGTGACATGCAATTGACTAAATCACTTCCCGAGAATCTTTTGAGACAAGAAGCATTAACGAAATTGTTCTCAGCACGTCTACATTGGGAATTGAGTACAACAATCACATCTAATCATCTTTTGGGAATGGTCGCTATGTCCAATACCTTAATGTCGATGAAAATGGCAACATTTATTCCAGAATCGGAGCGTAATCGTAAATTAATGAGGCAAGGAACTAAGAATAATGTTGCATGGGCAAGCGATGATGATCATGAGGAACAGCTTGTAACAGAACAGCAAGCACAAATTAAACAAGGATGGAGTTTATTGTCTACTCATCATTGTTTCTTATTACCGGATAAAATTGATGCATTGGAACCAAAGAACTTTAAGCGTCCACAAGTTGAATTAATGGCACGTCGTTGGCAGCATCATTGTATGGAAATTCGGGAAGCAGCACAACAAATGTTACTTGGTGAACTTGGTAGAATGGGGAAAAAAGGAAGAAAGCAACTTGTTGAAAATTGGGCTCAATATCTTCCACAATATTCAGTTCAGACTGAACCGATTGTTCAACAAGCACCGTCTAGTCCCACATCTAATAGTCCAACGGCTGTCCAAAGTCCACAGCAGCCAGCTGAGCAGGAAGAGGAGGTTGAAGAGGAAGAAGAAGTTGTTCGACAAAAGCCATCAAGCTTAGCTGAACTTAAAAGGAAGCAATCGACAGCTGTTATTATTTTGGGCGTTATTGGAGCTGAATTTGGACAGGATATTTCAATTGAAACAGGCTCAAATGCTAAGAAAACGACACCAGAACAGCAACAAAGACGAAAGAGCTCAATTGTTGAAGGATTTGGAATTGGAAATAATAATTTAGCACGTTTAACTGCGATGGCATTAACACACTTATTACTTGCTCCACCGACACCAAAATTACCAGCTTACACTCCTTTAAGACGTGCTGCAATTGACTTAATTGGACGTGGATTTACTGTTTGGGAACCTTATTTGGATGTTAGCAAGGTTCTTTTAGGTCTTTTAGAGATTTCTTGTGACTCTTCACGTCTCATTCCAAGTTTGTCATATAAATTACCATTGACACCACAAGCTGATGCCTGCAGGACAGCTAGACATGCTCTTAGATTGGTAATTAGCTTTTTTTTTATAGACCAGAACATTAAAATTCATGAATTCCTTTAATTTAAGATCGCTACAGCTCGTCCAGCTGCTTTTATTACCACAATGGCACGGGAAGTAGCCAGATACAACACATTACAGCAAAATTCGCAAGCATTGAGCGTTCCATTAACACAATCAGTTCTACATCGAGCTAAAAAGGAAATTTTACAATGTGTAGAAATGCTTATCGAAAAAATGCAGTCAGATATGTCAACTTTATTAGTGGAAGTGACTGATATAACGTTACATTGCTTAGATATGTCCGATTTGAAGAATCGCCCATTGAATGAAGTTTGTCCATCGATTTGTAAATTCAATCAAGTCTCACATTGTGCATCGACGAGGAGAATCGCAGGTATTGTTCATGTTATCAATTGTTGTATTTAGGAATGTTTCGATAATTGATATATCATGTTGCCAATTTCCATAGAAACTTGATATATCGAATATTTTATAAACATAGAGAGTAATAGTGATTAATGAGAAAATCGCGTGTTGCACACTATTATTGATTGTTTCTGATTGATACTGTTGATGTTTGTCAATGAATAACAAAAATCGTGTAGCGTAAACGATATTGCGTTTTTCATTGGAAACTATTCAAGTGTTGTAGACAGTTTTTTTAGCATCATGCGACTTAATAACTTAATATGAATGGAACTAATTGAAATTTCTTGATTTTTGTTACATAACAAGTCGGAGCAAGCAATGGACATCTTGCAATCTATGAGTTGAGACAGAATAAGTGTCAAATGATCCCAGCACATACACAATCAATAACTGCTCTTGCATTTTCTCCTGATGGAAAGTATTTAGTCAGCTATTCATGCAATGAAAATCGATTGTCATTCTGGCAAACAAGCACAGGTAGCTTATTTAAATTTTTAATTCAAAGATTAATTTCTAATTCAACTCAATTTTACTACTAGGCATGTTCGGTTTGGGCCAAAGTCAAACGAGATGCATCAAAGGATATTCCACAGCACCCATTCCTGATGTTTCACGATTAAATCCCATGCGATTGGCTAAACTGATATGGATTAATAATAGAACTGTTACTTTAATGCTAGCTGATGGATCCGAGACAAGATTTAATGTCTAAAAATATTTGATTCTATTCCTATTCAACGCATCAAAACTATTCCACATAATTATTATACTTATAAAGTTAATTATCATATGTTATTTATCTGCAAAGGAAGAAGAACTTAAAGCATGACTATAAATCTATGAATGTTAATCTAGCAATACTTTTATTGAACATTATGGAAAAATAAATATTATGGTTCTGTTGCGGGCTGTAAATGCAACAGCATTAAAGGTTGTATAGAGTTATTGAAATTCGATATAGCCTTAACAATCATCTTCTCGAAATGTGTACGCTGATCCTCGGACTTTTCTTTCAGTTGCTTCCGCAATTCACTGTCGATAAAGAATAGTTTAAGGACTTCCAATTTTGGAAACCAAGCCTCATTTGATACATCTGATGGATGGAACTGTGCTACTCGTAATTCTTCGAGATTCTTTGCATTAATTGCTAATATTTCGAGTAAATATTGATTCATAAAATGAACACTGAAGCTCTTCAAACTTGCTGCTGGAAGCTCTTTTGTTCTCAAGTGCTCCAAATAGATTTCCATAATTTCGACATTATAATGAAATCCCTTGATGAATAGCTCAGTCAGATGTGGCATTCGAAATGCACTTTCTAGTTCGTCAATCTCGAGCAAAGCGTCTGTTTCAAAGCGTCGTAAATTCTTTGATTGAGATGTAAAGAAAGCATTAAAGTAGCTCAAGTTTTCATCCTCTTTTGAGCTACTTAGTATATCGTTAAATATGAATTCCTCTAATTGTGATACGCATTTCGTGGACATGTCTTTGTAGAAATTGATGTCATAAAATTTACCCCATAATGATAATTTAATTAAGTTTCGACTTTTGAGCATTAAACGTTTTAAATGTTCATCACATGCATTTCCTAATAATATCGATTCTAATTTTGGATAGCTTGCTATATAACGATTAATCCAAGGCCGACTCTCATTGTAATATTCCAGACATAGACTTTTGAGTCTTGGAAAATCATATTCTGCTGACATTGTATCATCTTCAGTGTTATCATCAACATTTTGATACTCGATAAAGTGCAGTTCTAGTTTCTCAAGCGTTAGTGACGTATTTAGCATGATTTGTTCCATTTGTTTCTTTTCACCAAAAACTGTTCGGAACATGATTAGAGAATTGAATTCGTGCAGTGGATTTGCTATGATTTCAACTATATCTTTGGCTATTGCTGTGCCATTTACCACCTTAATGTGTCTATACTTTCTTTTGCTGTTTAATAAATAAGTTAAATCTACATGAACAGCTGGATTTATCACTATTTTCTTTAATACAGTGGATCTGTTTAAATGTTGATTCCAACATCTCGAAACTTGCATTAAGCTTAATGCCTCGAGTCCACTCACATGCTGAAATATCAGATCAACTACATCAAAAGGCCAGCAATTTATAAAATCCATTTTTATTTTTAATATTTTATAAATAACACACACCAGAGTTCGACAATTGCAAACTAGATTTTGACGAGAGCAGACGTGTTTGCAAATCGCTCCGCAAATTAATCATAAAATCTCCAGAGAACCAGATCAAGGTAATCAAATTCGAAGTGTCACAAGCAGCAGTGTTTTTAACAACTGTCTACAACGTCTTCACGTATACAGCATTGTATCTTTCTGCAGAGAACTCGTCAGAGTATGTGAACCACAGGGCTCACATTGCAATATGATAGCTTTTAACTTGCTTGAAAAAAACCGAAAGCAACAAAATTTATAGAAACGTTGTACATACTCAAATTTAAATGTATATTCATAAAAAGTTTATTGAAACAATCAGAGTTCGAAGTCGATAAATGGACTGAATGACTTTTTGCTGCTTAAGTTTCTTTTCTTACTTTTTTGAGTTGTTTATTAGAAAAGGTGTTTTTTCATAACGGCTTTATAAAATTCAAATCGAGAAATTTATTTATGAAAAATTCAAATAATTTTCGGTTAAAACTTTTACTTCTTTTCTGCATTAATAATAAGCTTTCACTTAATCAATAAATGAATTAAAATTAATAAACCTCGCCTCACATGAATAAAAGAAATTGAATTATCATTACCTTTAAAACAGCTTTGTTCTCTTCTTTGTTATCTATCTTAAAGCTATATTTCCTCGTTATTTGATTGACTCCATGAATCATAATTGCTCACATTTTGTTAATTATAATCAAACAATGACAAGACGCTACTAATTTTCCTTTAAAAATAATTTTTTACATGCATAATAGGCTTATTAAAATAACTTCATTGAATCATCAATAAAATTACAAAATACTGATGAAGACGTTCACTTAAAAGGAGTCTGAAATCGTGAGTTGGCAATGTGAGTTTTTAAGGGTTTTGATAGGTTGAAACTTTTTAAAATCTGGATTTTAATGTCATCCCAGCTGAAATTAAGAAATTTGCAAGCCTTAATCTCTTTAAAACACGCTTAAGAGAACATTTGAGCCTCTACAAATAGAAATGAGAATAAAGCAAGTTATCAGACTATATTTTCTATTTCTTTGTTCAAAAGTATATCATATTATATATTTTTGAAAAAGTCTTGATTTGAGGAATACAAAAAACTTAATTATATTAACCAATTTTATCCAGGGTTGGAACACTAGTGCTCAGAATATGGTGAAAACCATACTTTTTCAACGCTCTTTTTCACCTAGTTCCAGTTGGTCAAAAATATGCTTTTATGATTTTTAAATAGATAAAATAACATACTAAAACGCAATACATAGTTTTTTAAAAAAAACAACTCTGGAAAACAGAAATATGAATTTTTCAACTCTGGCAACTTTTATATGGGATATCCACTAGAATGAGGATAACTAATCACAGGAAACGAGTTTTGAAATAATTTACACGGATTTGAATAGGTATTATAAAGTGAAATAATATAAACATAAAATATTTTGAATTAGGGTAAAACGTGTTGAAATTTGTGTGTTTTTGCACATGGAGATTTGATTTGTAAATAACTTGCTAATGACTGATGATGAAAATTTGCTAATGGGCTCAAAAGATCAATAATTGTGGAAATATTCAGTTAATAATGTTTTTTGAAGGATATGCTGCTTATGGGAAGAGATTTTTGACATTTTCGATCAAATGTTGAAATTTGTGCGGAAAATGCGTTTTTTTGATAGCAATCTTTGACATAATTGCAATTCTTAAATGTAAACAAACATTTTATTTACATATTTTTGGAACAGAAATTGATATTTTTGCTGAAGGAAGTACTTTGAATAAACTTTAAATGAAATTAAGAACTAAGCTGATTGAGTTTACAACCGTCAAAGAAACATCCATTAAATCAGCAATTCCTCCATTTTTTTGTAAATTTTATGCAGCATAGAGTTTTAACTATAAAAAGATGAGAATTAGGAAATCAAAATGTTTTTATTTAAAGATCTGAAATTAAACACTAAACAGGATATACTTTTTGAATGTATGGATATTCTTGAAGTCTTTTGCATTTTTTTATTTTTATCTAAAATTTTAAATGATCCACGTTTTTCATTTTTATCAGCTGTTATCAGTTTTTGACTTTCAGTAGTTCGATTTATGCTATTCTTCGTAAAATCCTATAAAAACATGAATTTCATACGTGTATAATATTTGTTGTTGACAAAAATTCCCATCGCTTTCTACCACAAAAAGCGCACAGATTTCAAAATTTGTAAAAAAATTTCGCACAAATTTTAACATTTACAATCAAGAAATTTTAAAATCAATATTTTAAGCACTTCAAATGATTTTTATAACTTGAATTTCTTTTGAAACAGTAAAGCAATTATCAAATTTTATATTAAAACTGTGATTTGATTACAAGCAGCACTGGTTATGTCCAAATTTTTATAAATATAAAAATCACAATTTTGTATGGGATTTTAAATTTTTCAAATTTAAAGCTGCTCCAAGCTTCAAAACTGTTCAAAATGATGTAGAAATGTTTGTACAACCATTTTACATAGAGCTGCAAACAAAACTTTGGTTTAAATGGCTTATTTGGGCTGATTTCTTTTTTATGTGATCGTACAAATTTCAACATTGCAAAAATTTTAACATGGTTTACCCTACATAATATTCAAATGTTAAAAATACGTTATATGTGATTTTCACTGATAACCACAATATAATTACCTTTTGCTTTTTTTTCTATTATTTGTGATAAATCATTAACTAGAAAAATGTTTTCAATTAAAAAAATCATAGAAAATTTGATTAAGCATCTTAGTTTTTAAAAAGTAATTATATTGTGGTTATCATTGAAAATCACATATAACGTATTTTTAACATTTGAATATTATGTAATTCAAATTATTTTATGTTTATATTATTTCACTTTATAATACCTATTCAAATCCGTGTAAATTATTTCAAAACTCGTTTCCTGTGATTAGTTATCCTCATTCTAGTGGATATCCCATATAAAAGTTGCCAGAGTTGAAAAATACATATTTCTGTTTTCCAGAGTTGTTTTTTTTAAAAAACTATGTATTTCGTTTTAGTATGTTATTTTATCTATTTAAAAATCATAAAAGCATATTTTTGACCAACTGGAACTAGGTGAAAAAGAGCGTTGAAAAAGTATGGTTTTCACCATATTCTGAGCACTAGTGTTCCAACCCTGGATAAAATTGGTTAATAAAATTAAGTTTTTTGTATCCCTATCTAATCAAGACCTTTCCAAAAATATATAATATGATATACTTTTGAACAAAGAAATAGAAAATATCGTCCGATAACTGAAAAATGCTTAATTCTCATTTCTATTTGCAGAGCCTCATTTTTATATAAAGTAATTTTGGTATGATGCATGAAAAATTAAATTCACTTTACATAAATAGTATTAATCTAATGTGGATATGAGAATTTTGAAATTTTCATCTTCGAATTTTTACAAAAAATATTTGAAAATTTTTTAAAGAAAAATCCTATAAAGCATGTCAAAATTAACTTTACTAAAGCAACAATTTTGATTAAACCTTAGCTGTAAAAATGTTTAATCTTTTGAAATCAACAGAAGCCCCATTTCTTTTAAAGTTGAGCTGAATTTGAAAGAAAACTTTCAAGTAAAAAACAAGCATTTTAAAATTTTGGTATGAAAATTCAAATTTTTGATAACTGTTGAACTTTTTAAAATGCAAATTTTTAAATTAACAAACATTTATTGTCATCCTCATTATTTAAATTATCACGCGTGCTATCAGAGTCGAAGATTACACATTAATTACGTGTTTATAAGCATGGATTTAAACAATCAATGTGGAAGCAACGAAAACAAAACCAAAGACATGCTATTTCAATTAACGCAAATCGTCAACTGAAACTTAAACATTTAATATTGAGAGAATATTGAGTATAATCCACTGAGAGCTTAAGCCGGTAGTCATCTCAATGACAAAAGAAAAGATTTTTGGCTATAAAGTTTCATGACACAATTTCTTAGCTGCAAACTCACGATGATTTCCATATTCAGCATCTGTTATGAAATGACAAACTAGTTGCGATTAAGCATGAAATCAATAAAGAGCTCTCTAAATCATAACAGCCGCGAGAGAGAGATGTGACATACATGTAAGTTAATATCTCGTGTGTCTGGTCGCTCTTCTGTTGTTATTTACTATTTTCGTTTATTGAGCAATCAACACTCTACGTTCAATTTTTTTATCCAACTTCAGTTTAAGTTAACCTTTCGACAAATATAGACGCGAAATACGGAAATCAGTAACGTGAAAAAAATTGTAGATAAATTAGTGATTTGAACTTAAACTTGAAAAAAAGGCTATTTTTCTGATTTACCGTAATCGGATTAGAACGCTTAGCTAATAGATCGGGTGTGAATTGACACAAAAATCTACTTCCATTGGCATCATAAAATGACAAAATATATTTCGTAATTAATTTGTATACAAATATTAATTATTGCACATTGTGAAAAAAATAATAAATCATCAAAAAAATAATAATGTCAAATTGGATTCTTGTCGGCCCCATTGTGGGTATTGTGCTACTAGCATCTGGATTAATTTTAGGATACCTCGTTTTTCCACCAATTGTGACCAAAACAATTGTTGAGGTAAATTTATGTCCAAAAAGGAATACTTATTATATTTTAGTTTTAAAATTTTAAACAGTTTTGAAAATAATTTGTTTACATTCTCACTTGAAGATTTTGGTCATAAATTTTGGCTCAATAAGAAGTTTATAGCTCATTGTATTGACTGAAAAGTGCATAAAAACAATGAGCAAAGCTATTAACATAGCATTTTCATAGCAATTCAGCATAGATAGCTTAAAAACTGCAAATTTAACATTTCAAGTCAGCAAAAAAATTAATGTCTTCAAAAAAAATCCATTCTACAACTCTCAATCTATTAAATTATTGCTAATAAAATTCGTATCACTGATTAAGTCCACACAAGTGTCTCGGTCAAGAAGAAAGAAAGAAAAAAGTTCATCACGCTGTGAAGAAAAATATTAAGCTTTCTATTCCTCTCAATTGGCTGCGTATTATTATGTAAGGTATCGCAATTTCTTCGTATGATCTATAAGCATGAGATGACGCAGCAGTAAAATGCAAGAAAGTGAAGTGATTGTATTACTTACTCTGCCCACATTCGATTGCAGATATAATAAATGTTGCGGGACAAGTCTTGAGTGAAATAAAAAAAGGAAGTTATTGTAAATGGATATAATTACCTGTTTCGCTAGCTGTTTATGCTGTTTGTTTAAATATTTATGCTTTAATTAACAGTTTTGCTTCCGAAAATCGGAAATGACGCGCAAATATCTAATCATAGATTTTCAAAAGATTTTAATTCTCTCGGAAGTCTTTGAAGAGCTTATTAAAAGAATCATTTACGATTAAAGCAACACAATGAGTGCTTAAATAAAGTTTTTTCAATTACATTGTAATTATTGTAAGGTCCCAAATTCATCTATTGCCAAAAAAATAAGAGAATGTATAAAAATATCATATTTCAAGACTCGTTCCTAAATATCATTCATTGACGTCAAAACATTTATTTCGAAGGCTTTTTTGCAATTATTGAATCAATCCATAAGCGTACAGTTCTGGTAATATTCGTGAATGAACGTCTTTTAGTAATACCCGAAAGAGAGAAAATGACGAGAATAAGGCAATAAGAAGAATACTTTCTTCTTCAAGAACTTGAAAAATCGCTTAGTCTTCGTCATTAAATAGACAAGATTTAGCACTGAGCAGTATTATTTGCTTGCTATTTTTGAAAGTCATGGAGATAAAATGACCTTAATTCTTTTATGCAATAGCTAAGAATTTTTGACTCTTGCTATGATGGATTCAGAGTTTAAAAAGTTTGGTACTACAAACTTGATACAGGTGATCAAAACACCTGCAGATTCAAATTACAATTCTCCGGAATTCCGTTTGAATTTTAAATTAATTTTTATTCTTGAAATATTCATTTAATTTTAATTATCTTTGAATACTAAATGACAATGTCTTCTTCTGGATCATTCATCTATGAAGTCTATAATTTTGTTGAAAAGATCATGAACTTCGAGAAATTTTCCATGCTGCAAAATATGTATTTTGAGTGAAAGATGTAAAGACGATAAAAAATTTCAATTTTAAATTGACGTCACTTATAAACTCCTCCGTATGCTAATCTTTTAGAATTTCTTAAAATTTATACCCAAAATCAAGAAATATAAATCTGCAAAATCTGTAAAAGCTCCTTAAAAACACATTTAACAATATTAATCTGAGTTATCAAAAACCAATGCTGCATACCTATGTTAATTGGTATTATTATGTCAGATATTTAATAGCTGACTAAGCTTTTATGGTAGCAAATAGAGTATACGTTTTAAAATGATAATCATACGAAGATGTTTCATAAGAAAATTGAATCTTCAACTCTACGCCGGATCCGGAATTCAGATCAGTTTGTTTTTGGGGTCGTTCATAAATAATGTTGATCAGAAAATAGAAATCCAAAGACTCTATTTTTTAAAAAATTTCTATGTTTGTGTCATTCAACTTCCCGTTCCAAAAATTAGACATCATTTGTAGACGGCTCCTTTGAGAAATTAATAAAAATTATTAAAAACAACAACCTAGCATAGCTGCATGTGAGACTTTAACCTTCAATTTGGTCAATGATGTTGATTTACAGCTTCAATTTCAACCTTCTTTTGAAATGGGTTAAGTCTGGTTAAGTATGAATATGTTCTTTTCATATCTGATATTTTCCTTTTTATTGCTGTTTTATAATTTTAACAAGAACCAGCAACAGCTTTAAAACTCTTTGTACATTGTTGAATAATAAGATAATTAGCATTTTTTTGGTTCATGATTAAATGCTGGATTTGAATCTTTTGTTGATTTTGCTCAAGTTAGATTGAATTGAAAGGATTTCGGTATAATCGGTAGAGTAAAGCAACTGACTATGAATCATCTCAAGAAATGAAGTCTTCTTAAGGATGATAATCAATATTCTTGAAATGCTCGAGGTTATTCCATACTTTGATATAAACAATAATCCACTACTTTTTCTACTTCCAAAAAACCGGCATAACTCACTTAAACAAGATTTAATTAATGCCAGAATAATATTTTGATTAATAAATGACAATTCAGTTGTCAACCATATGAACTAGCTGAAATTGTCAGGTTTAAAATTATTCAAGATTGCTGAATCATGTGGCCTTATACAAGCTCTTAGACAGTACAATTTCTTTCTAACAAAGCAAATCTTTAAGCTTAAGAGGAAAGAAAGATAAAATAACAATTGAAATTGATTCAAGACTTGGAAATTTTACGATTTCGTACTTCATAATTTTGAAGATTCTTCCTTATTGGTTGTGAGGGGTCGTTTAGGAATAGCGTAGGTTAATGGCAAGACTGGAACTGGTTAAAATTATATAAAACCAAAAATGATCAATTAGACTAAGAACAATAGATATGAAATTCTCATTCCACTCCCAATCATTAATTCCAGTGCAATTTTTAGCGTTAAAACCTTAATTCAATCTTAATGCGCAGATCAGAACCTATATCAATTTTAATCTAAAATCTCCCACATTAGAGCAAATTATAATTATTTAAGATTCTAAATATGAAAAATAATTCTAAAGTTCAATTTGTGTTAACTCATTATCCAGCATGTGACTTCAATAATTAATCATTGACGTAGTTCTTTAGTTCCCTTAGAACTTAAATATTTACCTAATCTAGCCAAACAATCCAGTGAATATTGATGGTTAAAAAGTGAAACATCAAAGAAGCATAAATAATTAGTAAACTTTTCCGCGTTTATTTGCTGTTTGCTGACTGAAGGTCATGATCAAAAAACTTCATTGAGAGCTCAATATCTTTTTTTTCACTCTACAGCAAGTGACGCATAAACTTAACTTTTTAGAGGGAAATCTCGAATGACTAGATAGAATAAATTAAGTTAAATCACAAATGGAAATGATTGAGGAGTTGTTCTTGAATGAAGTACATCAAACAAAAGATTAAAAGGTTCTTTCTCAATTATTTGCAATTTAAGGGTTTTTTGCGGCATATCGGGAACTCATCTAAAGCCTTCAATGTCATGTTTATCTAGAAAATTGGACATCTTTTACGAACAAACCCCATAAATACTCAGAGAGAAGTTGACAATGCAAAATGTGAATGTTAAGGGCTGAGATTTCTCATCGAGTCACTTATTTCAAGCATTTATAAATTGATTATTAAAAGTATCACGTCAAGTGGAACAATAGTGCAGTTCAATTAACAGCAATTAATCTTTCGAACTTTGCAAATCAATTTAGGGAAATAAAATCGCAAAGACTTAATTGAGCATGAAGTTTTTATAGCTATTTTATTAATCGTAGATTTATCAATCAACAACATTGTGATTTCTTTTGTTTTTGAGCGAAATTAAAAACCGGAAGAACTAATTGATCTTGTAGAAAGAGATTAACATTGTAAATGATCGTGTTGATGAAATTGTTATTTTTTTCTCTAGACTAGGTGACCTATACTGAACATTGCAAAATCGTGTAAATTGCATAATTATCATTTTTACTTTGATGTGATCAGAATTTAATGAAGTTACTCATAGTCATGTAACGGAATGCTTTAATTGGTATCAAATTTCTATTGGAAATTGCTGTGGTGTTGATCGTGGCATTTGGGATATAGATTGAGACATTTTTCGTGTGATTTAATGACTATGTCACTATGTTTGTAGTCTTAAGATATAAACTTTAAGTGGATTTACTGATTATTCAGATAATGTCAGATATAGCCATATGACCTGCTTTCAATTCTGAAAAATTACAATAATTAATTGAGCAAACTTCAAAGCATCTCTATTATAGCCTCAACATTCTAATTGAATTACAGTTAAACATACAGGAGATGAAATTATGCTAATTGTTTTAAAAAGGTTTGAGAATTGAATGGAAATTACCTAATTAATTGACGTGTATGCCACTTGAACTTAACCCTTGCATGCTTGTTATTCGCTGTGATATTTGATGATTCATAGAATCTTAGAAGTGACGCACAATCTTAACAATAGAAAAGTAATTAGAAAATTGGATTTTTTTGGGTAATTACAGCATTTAATTTACGCGTTGCTATGTACATTGTAGCTAAGTAAGTTTTACTGAAAATATTTGAAATCAAGGGACTAGTTGTTAATAAATTTTGTTGGATTTCATTCACCAACAAATCAATCCACCTCCGTACTTTTGAGACCTCGATTTATTTTTATGAAAAAAAATCTTGAATAATTCGATTCCATTTGTGGATATTTGTGTAAATTAATGTGAATATTCACTGCAATAATAAACAAATTGTTGCTTAGCAATTAGTCTGAAAAATAGGAATAACGAATATTCAATAAAAAGAAGAAAAATCAGGTTTTATAATTAAATTCTTCTTAATTAGAATGTACATATTCTAAGAATTCCAGGCATATAGTCCGGATATTATTGCTATTTTTAATCTCTGACGCAAGTTAATACAGCTTCATATCAAATTGCTTTTTCAAGTGGTTAATCTTTCAATTCTCAATATATGAAATTGATATTTGTTCTTTGATACTAGCTTTACCTTGTCGAAGATAAGATTAAAAGTTATAAAATTAAAACATTATCAAGTGTTTACTTTGGACCCCCAATTACCCAATTGAGATTACATCCATTAATCTTAAAAATTCATCTTTTTAAGGAAAGTTAAAATTTCTAAGTTCAAGTGGAACTGATTGCGCAAATCTAGAGATCAAGTCTCAAAACTCAAGTATCAAACAAAATGAAAATAAACAGTCTGTTGCAAATGCATCGAATCAAATCAAAGAGATATCGAACTCATATTTTGAAGTATCTGAAATTTTGTCATATGTTGTTAAGTTGAGTCTTACGACTGACTTTTTATTTTAACTCTAAGAGTACTTTACCATTTCGGTCCTGCGAATATCTTTATCAATTCTTATCAACTTTGTTAATGCAATTGCTTGACATAACTCAATAATTCTGTTGTATGGTGATTGATCGTCAATGAAGCATTGCTGCACATGAACAGATAACATATCACACCGGAAGAAAACGAAGAATATTCGATAATTAATCTCCAAAAAGTTGTTATTGAAGTGGAGCCATAATCATTTTGTATTGTATGCTAATTCCATTATTAACAACCTTTATTGTTCTTCATACCTGAAAATTCAAAAAAGGGAATCAATTGAAATGATTCATAATTGCTTTACATCAGAAACTAATATATTATTCAGCCATTAAGGGCACCTCAAATTATAAATAATCCATAGTCATTCAATTCATAGAATCAACAAATTAGTTTTATTGTGTCCTAAAATTATCATATGAATAAAAATAAATAATTGATTACCATTGAAGGATTGATAAATGTCGTCCTCAATTACGTGCAATCAAAATTAAATTGTGTGACAAATTAGATTCCTTATCTTAATGACAATTCACATTAATTTGTTTACAGTCGGTTCAAATAGTAAAGGATTCAGACCAATACGGCCGATGGAAGGAGGTGCCACAACCCTTAGACTTCAAAGTTTACATTTTCAACGTTACTAATCCACTTGAAGTGCAACAAGGTGGAACTCCAAGAGTTGAGGAAATTGGGCCATACGTTTATTTGTAAGTAAATTCACAAAAAATAATTACACATGTAATTGGGTCAAATCGCATAAATTTATGTACTTTTTTGATAATCACTCAGACAATATCGTCGGAAATACAACATTAGATTCAGTCGAGATAATGAGCAGGTATCATATTATCAACAACAGACTTTCAAATTTGACGCAGAGCGATCACATCCATATAGAGAAGATGACCCTATTGTTGTACTGAACATGCATATGAATGTGAGTATTATGAATGAGACATTAACCGAACTTCTATTAACTATTTAATCAATATTGTATATCTAAAGATGACAATTAGGAACGAAATAATTGGATTGAAATTATATTAATCGATTAACGCTTCTGTAAATATGAATTGGTCTGCATCAAAATTCTCTCGCATTTCGAAGACTAACCATGACATGAAAATTTAATTAAGCATGTTAATCCAAAATTTTCTTTTCATTTTATTATTATTTAGAGTATATTACAAATATTAGATAGGAAATCAAGAAGAATGATCACAAATGTAACACGTGGAGTTGAAAGAACTATAGATAGACTTCCAGTTATAAATATCGTTAAGAGAATGCTTGATCGTTATACTCCGCTTCAAGTAATGATTTGAGTTAATTTGTTTGAGGTTTCTTGGCAAAAAAAAAAAGTTTTCTTACTTCTATTCCTAATAATATACACGAAATATCCTTCAATCATCATCAACTCTTTATTATTATTCCTATTTTATTGTTATTGCTTCTGGTAATGGTATGCAATGAATTTTTAATTCAACAAAAAGAAAATCAATCTTCTTCAAAAATAAAGATCCACAGCAATAATAAAAATCCTCTCACTTCAACATTTCTACCGTTGCATGCTATTAATAAAAGACTTTATTGTGTAATGGTTACATAATTTTTATATTATTTTCTCATTAATTTATGGTCATTTTATGCAAGGAATGTTAAATTAAATGATGACAATTTTTGAACATATTGGTTGAGTTCATTCAGCTTTCTAATGCTCCGAAAGGTTTATTCGATTATGACGTCATTCATATTGATGATGTCTATCATTTAGAAAAGATGTGAACCGTCTAATGGTAAATGTAATAAAGCAGTACGACTTTTCTTTTAATAATTGCAATATCTGGTCTACTTTCAAAGTCTGAGCTGTCATAATCTAAGTGAATTTAAGCAGTTTCAAAGAATCCCTGCAGAGTAACACATGATTAGAAATCTGAATGACTTTTTCGGCCTCTATCTACTTTACTTTGATAACTAGTTCCAACAATTACATTTAGTAGCCAAATATCACAGCCTTCTAATCAAGTATGTAACTCAACAATGTCAATAAATATTGAAAATCCCGTATTTACTAAATACGATTACAGCAAATTCAATTGGATCCACTTGAAATGTAAAGTTTGATAGCATTAAGTTTCAAAACGCTTACTTTACTTTCTGTGCTCTTATCGCTCTTGATAAGTTTGTTTTGAAAATTTTAGAAGAGATTAAAGTGTTTTTAGCATTGCAATGCATTGATATGACATTTGATTGCTAGATTTACTATGGAAGTAGACTTGTCCTTGATTCTTCAATCTCTCATCTTGTTGCTGGAACTTCCCCATCCAAGCAACAGTCAATTTTTAACTATTTCCACAGTGTAGGAAATAGATTATTGATTCTAAGGTGGATTACTACATAGTCGAAATCAGGGGACATCAACCATGCTGACAATGTTTTTAAAAACTCATCCAAAGTTGATCATCCTTGCTTTTATAACTCTTACGTCATTATTTTTCTTAACATTCACTTCTTCATCTCTTTTGAGTTTAATTTCATTTTATTTGACTTTTTGATTTACTTATTTTTATATTTTTAACTGCTCTGCCTCAAATCATTTAAGTACACAAATAATTCATTTGGATAAAGCATCATAGAAGATGTGAATTATTTGCACAAAGCAAAAATTTTATGAATCATTCAGCTTCAGTAATTGCCTCTATGGTAATTTACCACTTTTGCTCTCAGCAAAACAAATCGATTCTTAATGCAAATCCATAGATAATAAGTTAATCCACTACTTTGGGTTTCTGGTTGAAATTATTTAATACTATTAAGTCACTTTCTACATAACAAAATACAATAGCTGTCGATAAAATAACAACAATAATTGGCGAGAAAGAAATTTTTAAGACAGATACACACATGCGAAATGCTGACAATATGTCCAACTGACGTGACAATTAATTAGTTGTTAATGCTTTCTCATCTATCATTCATTCCATAAAAAAAATAATTAATCTCATCTTCCCTCATACACAGTCCATCATTCAGACAATAGAACACGACTCTCCATTCATCTTATCAATGCTCAATGGTGAATTAAAAAATATTTTCGGACCAGACGCGACGTCAATGTTTATGACTACAACCCCAAAGAAATTCCTATTCGATGGTGTTGAATTTTGTAAAGATGCGGTTGGTGTTGCACAACTTGTTTGTATGACTGTAGAGGATCGAAAATCACAATCGATTACTAAATCTGATGACGGACGTGGATTGAAGTTTTCAATGTTCAGTCATGTAAGCTTACTCTTTTCATAGTTTCATTAAATCATTCATTCAATGCCTATTTAATGTCCAAAAACAGAAAAATGTAACACATGATGGTCTCTATGAGATTAATACAGGAATAAGAAGATTAGAAAAGCTGATGAAAATTGAGAGATGGAATGAACAGAAAACATTAAAAACTTGGAAAGCTGATAAGTTTGGAGCGCCATCTGTATGTCAATATATTAATGGAACTGATGGAAGTGCTGTTGCACCATTTAGAGAGAAGAATGATAACTTTTACATCTACAGCAGTGACATTTGCAGGTAAATTTATTTCAACTATTTAATATTAATCCAGCACTAATCAGTGCCACTTATCAGATCCGTACAGCTATTTTATCAAAGAGAAACAGAATACAAAGGAATTCCTGGATATAGATACGAAACACGCGAAAACTTTTTAACTGACATTGGACCTTGCTATGGCAATGAATGCTTCTGTATAGATAAAATCAGTGGAGCATTGAAAGAAGATAATGGATGTCTATATAGTGGTGCTATAGACCTCACAGACTGCTTAGGTGAATTTTTATAAAATCAAAAGATTTAAATGAATGGAACTTATTTAAAATTTTATATTTAGATGCTCCAATTGTTGCTACACTTCCTCATTTCTATGGAGGACATCCAACTTATGAGAAAATGATTGACGGGATTAATCCAAATCCTGAAAAGCATCAGATTTTCCTCGAAGTAGAACCAAGAACGGGAAGTCCATTGAGAGGTGGAAAGAAAGCCCAATTTAACATGTTCCTTAAAAAGATTGACTATATTAGTAAGTTAATTGATAATCTTTGATCCAGTTGAAGCTTAAACAAAGCTTTTCATTATTTTAGCTATGACCAGTAACTTTAAGACTCCAAGATTATTCCCTGTACTTTGGGTTGATGAAGGAATAGAACTGAATGATGAGATGGCTGGCTTGATAAAGAATGATCTTATCAATACATTACTTATCCTAGATATAGTTCAATGGACTTTGGGTAAGCTTTTAAAAATCATCAATAAAGCTTTAACTAATAAATCATTTTAGTTGGTGTCGGTGCCGCACTTATTGTTGGCATGCTTATATGGTTCTTCCTAGCTAAGAAGAGGATGTCAAAGACGTCTTCAACAGAGATCATCACTGATGCTTCTACATCAAAAAGTGAAGTCAATTGATCTATAAATGTGCCAATTTTTGCATTTAGGTAATTAAATGGTTGAAGACTATAAAGCAATGGAAGTTGCTCAAAATTTAGGTAATTTTTTCTAAACAATGAAAAGATGTGCAGTATTAAAGTTAATTGTATTTTTATTGACCATGTGATTTATGATTTTGAAAGCCATACAATTGATAATAAATCAAAAAGTTTTGAAAAATATAAATTTTTTGGTGGATATTTTGGTAGAGCATAGATTTACAAAGGCTTGATTGGAACTGGCTTATCGTCTGCTGGAGTATATGGAGTGAATCCAGTTTCAACATCAGAATTAACTTCCCTTTCACTTCCAGATGATGAAGCACGAATATATCTCATGTATGTCTCGGATCCTGTTGCTTCCAACAATGATGGAGTGTTGTAAGTGTATGCCTTGGAACTAGCTTCAATTGAGTTCAAGTTAACACTCAACATGTCAAATTTGGAGTCAAAGCTGCTTTGGTATTGTGAGAGTGAACTGAGTCCTGATACTTTGGTCATCAATTCACCATTAAGGATATATGAGTTTGATAGTGCTGCTTGGAACTTTGCTAATTGTCCATTAGCTCTGGCAAGTTCGGCAGTCAATTGTGCAATTAATCCTTTAGCATTTTGAAGTTGTCCTGTCATTGATTCAATTTCGTATTTATAGTTACTTAAGGTTTGTTGGAGCAATGACAACTTCTTGACTAAAAATTCGTTATCAGCATTTGCATTCTGCATCTTCTTCAAGATGCTTTCAATTTGGATCTTTTGGTGATCAATTGTGCTCTCGTATGATGTCAATTGAGACTTGAATGAATCAGTATCGGCATTAACGGTCTCAATCAAGAGCTCAAGTTCGAAGATTCTTTGTTGTTGGCTCTTGACTTTTTCTTCGAATGTCTTCATTCTTGAACCTCCATTTCCACCTGTCTGAATACTTCTAAACTTTTCAGAGTATGTCTCCAATTGATATCTTTCGGATCTCAATGTATCTTCCAAGTTTGAGACTTTCTTCAACAACAATTCATTCTCGTTGATGTAGTCTCTAAGCTTTAATTCAAGGTCATTGATCTTAGTGCTTTCAAACGAAAGTCTTTCCTCAAATGAAGAACGTTCTTGGATGATTGTCGATTTTTCAAATCTTAATCCTTGGACTTTTTCGCTCATCTCTTGAACTCTCTTTTGTTCATAAGCAATTCTAGCTTCATAATTCTTACGATCATTCTTATAGTTTGAAAGCTCAAGTTCTAATGATTGAATTCTATTTTGTAATTCCAAAAACTTCTGTTGATTAAATGAATTTTCGCGATAAATTCTCTCGCTGTACATCGATGAATCCGAACGAATGTCGTTATAAAAGTTTTCATATCTCTCCTTCGATACTTTTACGGCTTGCTGGAATCGAGTCTTATCTGAAAGAAATGATAAAAATTTTAATACCTTCCCATTAATTTATTTTATGGTATCTCTCTAACTTACTTGTTTGTGGCTTAAAAACCAAAACGTCATAGTCGCTTAAATTTAAAATTTTGCCGTAGTAAGAAGCAATCAATTGCTTGGATTCAAGATCAACTCTTCCTACGACAGTTGTTCCATCGATTTCTGCACGACCAATATAATTGTTGGATAAGAGAACAGCATCTGGTACAGCTCGTCCGTTTGATGACTTTAGCCATTCGTAACCTTCGTTGTGAAAGAGATATTCCATTCTTTCAGAGTCCTTCTCCTCACCACCTTGCTCGAAGAAAATTTTATTCTCTTCAGGAACAATTTTAGCAGGAATGAAATTTCCTTCTTCATCCTGAACCTTTCCTACATAAACACTCTTGCCATCAGATTGGTATCCAGCGAAAAGTGCATGATTAACTGCATCTTTGGCATTTGCTGTTGGGGTCCATGAGATTGTTGTCACTGGAATTATAAATTGCACTTTAGTCCTCAAATTTTTTAAGATTACTATTTCACAATGGCTTGAAAGAGGAAACAACAACGTTTATTGTCTTATGAAGTCTAAATGAGGGATATATGTCGTATATCTATGATGAGGGATATATGTCCGTATACTCATACAAAAGAGTGATCACCGACCACAAGAGCTAGATCTAGTGAATAACAGAAGCTTTTGGCTCACTTAATCTATCAAACATTTATCCTTATAAGCTTAACACTTTATATCCATATGCATTCTGAACGTCATGACTCATGAGTTATTAAGTCTTTTAACTGATATTGTATTGCACTTACATGCAGCCATTTTTATGTATCACTAAACTTCAATATTAAGGAACAAAAATTAAATTTTAAGGAACAACTTCTGTCAATGCAACGAAAGCAACTGAATATTTTTTCAAAAGTGCACGCGCTTTAATGTAAGAAATGTTTTCATTCATTATCACTTGCTTGCTTCTTTATCAGCAAAGAAAAATTTTATCAGCAGTACTTAAGTACTTTAAAGCTAAGTAGTATGAGATTATATAATGATGGAATTTATATGTGATGTCATTTTTATTTTGGTTGTTCTAACAAATGATACCGGTGTTCAAAAAATTATAATCATTCTGATAAGGTTCATTAGTAGACTTATGCTACTTGTAAAAAATTTATTAGATAGATTAAAGTTATCTAAATTAAATAGACAAAATGATGTATTTTATTGCAGGTTGACTCTTCTGTAATTTCAAGCAGTAAACAACAAGAAATTAGAAACTTTACAGCTTATAGATAACGAAATGATAAAGCTTAAAAGGTTTTTAAACTTGATTGTCTTTAAATTGATTCTTGCGAATTTTTTATTAACCAATACAATGAAAGTTTTAAAAGATAGCTTTATTTGATATAAGGTATGGAATTGCATACGTGATTTGATAATCAAAATTACAAATAAATAGCAACAAAATACTTTCGTATTCAGTAGAAATCAAAATGAATCAGTTGGTAACTAAGTTATAAGTAAACACAATCAAAGGATATCCATAATTATATTCAAAAATCTTCCTTTATGCATCACAATTTCCAATCTGATCCTTCTTGTCACTTCCACATTCAAAAACCTTGACACTTTCTGTTGAACACATTTTAAAGAATTCCTTGTAAGTATCCGACCCAACAGCTTCCAACAATGCTGGCGTACAATAAGTAAACGATTTGGCACAAGCCTGAATGGAATTTAGGTTAACACTTAAAATATCGCACTTGGATTCAAAATTACATTGATATTGGGTTAGTGAATTCATGCCTGACATCTTCGTCATCAATTCTCCATTGAGGACATACGCACTTGATAAGGCTCCTTGATATTTTGAGAGTTGAGAGCAAACTCGAGAAAGCTCAGCTGTTAGTGATGCAATCGTAGTCTTAGCATTCCCGTGTTGAACTAACATCTGCTCAATCTGTAATGTATATTTTTGTAAGGTTTGGGATAATAACGAGACTTTCTGTATTAAAAATTCATTGTCCGTATTAGCATTTTGTAATTTCTTTAAGAAGCTCTCAATCTGAATTCTCTGCTGTTCAATGGTACTCTTGTAAGTAAGACATTGACTCTTGTTTGTCTCACTATGATTCTTTGAATTTTCGACCATCAATTCAAGTTCGAAAATTCTTTCTCGTTGAGTCTTGATAGTCTCTTCAAAGTATTTTATTCTTGCAAGTTCAGTTTCTGATGACCCTTTATTACAAGTATCATGACACGATTCTATTTTAATTTTTTCAAGTCTGCATAATTCCTTTTCTAAGGTACAAACTTTTTTCAACAACATTTGGTTCTCATTAATGTAGTTCTTTAATTTTAGTTCTAAACATTCAAGATCGGTTTTTGAGGAAGTGTAGTTCTCTTTGCATTCAATAATCTTCTTCTCGTACGAGCATTTCTCTTTTTCCAATGTTTCTATTAGGAGCTTTAATCTAATAATTTCTTTCTGCTCAACTGTATACCGACTTTCAAGGCACTGACCAGTTTTGTATTTCAACAATTCTAGTTCTAAATCTTTGATTTTATTCTGCATTTCAATGAATTTCTGTTCTGTCAATTCATTGTATCGTAAGAAATTAAAATAGTCTGATTCTGCCTTCTCCCGACTAGTTGCTGTAATGCTTGACTGTCTTGTTGTTGTTATAGTGGTTGTTGTTTCCGTTTCTTTTGTTTGTTCAGTTTCTTTGGTGGTTGGTTCCCAAACTAGTTAAAAAATATTACAAAATTATAATTGATAGTTTCAGGTTCACTTACCTTCGACCTTCCCAGCCTGAGTTTTCGGTTTAGACACCAAATAATCAAATTCCTTCAACTTAATCTCTTCTCCATTTCGATAAACAACTAGTTCATTCATTACAGGATCAATTTTCCCAATTAAAATATTTCCATCAATTACAGCACGTCCAAGAGTGAAATCAGAAACAGAAATCAATTCAGAAATTTTTTGATCTGCAGACAATTTAATCCATTCGTATCCTTCGGTTTGAATTAAACATTCCATTTTTTCTGCAGACTTTTCTTCTCCATTTTCCTCATAAGTTATTTTATGTTGTGCTGGAATAATTTTAGCTGGAATGAATTCTCCTGATTCCAGTTGAACTTTTCCGATGTAGATTTCATACCCTTCCGATGTTAGACCTACAATTACACCATTTTCAATTGAATTTGAAAGGGGTTCATCAATTGTTGTTAATTTCCATGAAGTTTCTGAAACTGAAAATAAGAATCTTTGAAAGAAAAAGATTTTTAGAATTATAGTTTTATAGTTCTCACTAGTTTCCATCTCAAAGATTTATGTTGAATGTTTTTAAAAGAATGAACGAGCTCTTTAAACACAAAAAGTTTATTGAAGACATTTGTCGAACATCCATTCAATTTATTTGGATTTTTAACGCATTATTTATTGTTTTATCACTAACCAGCGTGTCTTTAATAAACAACGAAAAAAGTATTATGGATGCAATGTTATCAAAATTGGATACAAAAACTAAAATTTTCAATAACAGCTATCAATTATGATAAACAATTTAGGAACTCTCTGTGTTGTAAAATATTTGGTTCAAAGATAAGGTTCCTTTAAACGATACTTAAGTTTGAAAATAGCATATGCTTAGTTCCTCTACACGATAGATTTCTAAAGAATGATCTTAGGTTTGCCATAATTGTCATTAATGTCGGAGTATCATCTTTAATTCAATTAAGCAATAATAAAATCAAAATAGTAATCCTGTTAACAGCAGCTAGTCAGTCGACAAAAAACAAGCTTTTGTGCCAAAAAATATTGCAAAATTTTTATTGTGAACATTTTTATGACACGACTCAGATGATTACAATCAATGTTCCACGAAACATTGGTCGAAGGCAAAATTTCATATTAAGGACCAATTTAGCTTCCAAAGTAAGAATGTCATGCTTTATTTATGCACGATTCAACCGAAAAGTTTAAGAACAACTGCAATCCATCATTTATCGTTTAATATTGGGTATTGGACAATATGGATACAATTTAGATATTTACGATAGACTTACAGATAAAAAGTATGCCAAAAGTTGTGGATACCCGCTTTAATGTCCATTAAATACGAAAATAAAAATAATTTTTTAAAAGTTAAAATTATCAAGTTTTTAGTGATATTATCCGCATTAATGCAAATGGAATGTATCACATCATGTAGATGACTTCAGTAGTTCGCCAAAATTAAGCTCCGGTTTTAAAAAAATATATTCAAGGTTATATGCACAAAAATGCACCAGTTTACAAATTAAGCCTCATTTGATACATTCAAGATATCAAGCGATGACATTTGCGAATGTAAATTGACTATTTTCAAAATATTGACGATTCAAGGTTAATCTAAGCAAATTCAACATCCAATATTGGATTTTAATAGATACAGCTAGGAATAAATTCCATATTTAAATGCAGATGCGCGACATCAGGTCATGTAGGCAAATAAATTCCAAATTATGTCATCGATCATATAACAAGCGAAAGAAAGTGAAACTTATTACACATGCTCGTGATTGATGAATTTACAAGGCACAAACTTCAAATCTGAGAGAATGAACTCTTTTCTCAATTGTGACGACATTAGTGGACATAAACGATTATTAACCGGCTTTTTAGTAAACAAAATTTACATTTTTTATCACAAACGACTCAGCATCTCGCAAACTTACTATTAGCTCTCATCGTCTATTTTTGTGGAATGTTTTTTTTTTGTGTCTGATTTTTCTCATCAGTTTAGTTTTACCTCGCTTCGCGACATGTCCACATTAAAATCATTTCTGTCAATTTTGTTCATCTCACAGACAATACATGCAAGAAGCTTTAATCCGTGTGAACTTGAGAATGAGCTCACAAATATTTACAATTTAACAGCGGATGAGTCAAGGAATCTCACATGTGTAGCACAAAAATATTCTCAATTGACTACGAATATCATTAATAATGGAAGTAAGACAATATATTATGGGATATTTCAAATAGATCAAAAATGGTGTAGCATTGATAAGCCAGGTGGAAAGTGTAATATAAAATGTGAGGATCTAGTAAATGATGATATCACGGACGATATCAAATGTGCTCAAAAAGTGTTCCAAAAACTCGGCAAAAAGGCATGGAAATTAAATAAAAATTCTGGCTGCAAAAAGGAATTTAATTATCTTGATGAGTATTGCCATAAAAATGCAAATATTGATGACACATTTCAAGTTCAACCAGATTTTTGTGAATTGGCGAGAAAATTAATGACTTTATATGACATTTCCAAAATAGATGCTACGATATGGTCGTGTATCTCAGAGTATAGTAAAACTGGAAATTTGAATCTACGAGCAGAAGAAGAAAACAGACGAGATGATGAAGAATCTTGTGTCAAGACACGTGACGTTGAATGTGCTATAAAGAACAATAAACAAACTGGCATAAGCGGCTTTGCGAACTGGCCAGCATATGAGGAATATTGTAAAAATATCACAGAATCAACTTGTTTTAAGAGCACGAAGTCAGTCAATAGAAGTGACATAATAGAGCAAATTAGCAATGTTCAAAATGCGGAAACTAGCAAGAAGCCAATAATATTCACAACATCCACAGAAGTTTCAGTTTTTCTCGAAGATGATCATGGAAATTTAACTCAATATATTGGTAATGACATAACATCCGAAAGTCCTAAAGTAAGTCAACAAACTACGGAATTTTTAAGCGATACACTGGAAAAGCCTGCCTATGATGATAAGCCAACAATTGAAGGACATTCAAAAGTGCGTATAATGTCGGCCGACAAAAAGATTGTTGAATATCCAGAGATACTTGAAAGCACGTCTAAGAGTCTTGATGAAATAATGCTAATTAATAGTTCATTAGTAAAGTCAACAACGGAATTATCAAATACCGAGCACACGACTGAAAAATATTACGAAACAATTGATAAGTGTACACTTGCAAAAGACCTGTATGATTCAGGACGAATTCCACAAAATTTAATTTCAACATTTATTTGCATAGCTGAGCATGAATCAGGACTGAATGTGTCATTCATTGACTCAGATGGTCAGCAATCAAGATATGGAATTTTCCAAATTGACAATCAAATTTATTGCAGCACCAATGACAATATTAATCAGTGTAATGTGCTCTGCGCTCATTTAGTTGATGACCAATTCGACAATGATTTTGAATGTGTTCGTCATATCTACAAGAAAGAAGGTCTTAATTACTGGCCTTCGTATGAAAAGTCGTGTAAAAATATCAATTCGAATTCTTTGGATTATTGTTTTGAACAATTTTCAACGAGTCAACGACCATCTACAATTCTGAATAGAGAAGCTGAATATCATTCGACAGAAGCCACACTTAATTATTTAACTCATATGGAGATGACGACATTGATTAATGGTAAGATGCTTATATGAAAAAAGAGTTAAGAAGTTTTATTTTGTTTTGATTAATTTCAGGCATAGAATCAGCATCAAGTGATGGCTCATTGGATTTTTGTGAATTTTCACACCAACTCAAAGTAAACTTGTCTATTGGAATTTGGGAAGATTTGGTACATTACGTATGCATTGCTGATCAAATTTCACATTTAAGACCAAAGCTATTAAATGACGATAAACTAGGAATATTCAGTCTTAAAGATAACACGTGTGGAAAATTAGAAGCAGGTGGATTTTGTTCGATTTTATGTTCTAGCTTATTGAATGATGATCTAATCGATGATGCTGAATGTATGATAAAAGTCTATAAAGAACTCGGATTAAAGGAATGGAATATCAGTCAAGATAGTTGTAAAGTTTATACACCAAAGATCTTGCGTTGTATAGATGAAGGCAGGTTTTCTGTTCCTAGCGACGATGAATTAGATGAAAATATAGATTCATTTATTGGACCTGACTCTAAGAATGATGAAATTCAGAAGCATATTGAAAATAATTTGGAAATGATCTTGTCAAGAGCTAATATTGGAACTGAAAGTTTAGAAGATTTTAACAAATTAGACCAAACAACTTTGCCTTCAATTGAAGCTACTTCCGTCAAAGAGGATAGAAATGTTGATTCTGAAATCGAATTTACAACCAACAGTTCTATCCAAAAAGGACAAGACTTAGAAACTGGAGAACAAATCACAACTGAAGATCCAATTTTGACCGAAAAATCTGAAACCACTCAAAAATATTTTGAAGAAGAAGAATCGATAGCAGCGATGAAAAATCTTCTAGACGTTAACACATCTGAAGAATCAGATTCAGAATCAACAACAGTAGAACCCAAAAATAATCAGAACGATCAAACAACACCGATAGAATATGACGATAATAAATCAAATGAAAATGAAGAAGAAGCTATTGTTGAAATAAATCTCTTGACCACCACAATCGAAAGTTTATTGTCCACAGAAATTGCAGATAAAGATTTAGAGTCAAAAGAAGATTATATGCCAGTAACAACTATCAAAATTGATGAAAGAACTCATAAAGTTCCTACTGATTTAGAATTTGTAGATAAAAGTGATGAATTCGAGAATATTGAAGACATAGAACAGACTACAGCCTCATTGAATGAATCAAAAGAAACTTCATTTGAAAATGATCTAAAATACCAAGAAGACATTCGAACTGAAGAGGATATTAATTTTGAAAATGATCCTGAGGTTTTCGATATTAGTCATGAAGTGAAGAATCTTGAAATAACTACAGAATCTGTTCTACAGATTACAGATCAAGAAATAGAAGATCCAAAAACGTTAAGAATTGAGACAACAGAGCCTCAAAGACATCAAGAAATGGAGATTCAAAGGAATGAAGTATTAGGAAGTGAGGTAACAAAAACCGAGGCTGTTCCTATAACAGAGAATTACAATAATATTGAAATTGAGACTGAAAAGTTTAAAGGCAGCTTATCCACAGAAATTCACGAAATAGATGATACCACAGTACCTCAAATAACAAAAACAAGAATTTTCTCAGAAATTGACCAAAAATACATTCATGAAGAATCAACTTCAGATATTCCATGGAATTTTGATGATAAGATTTTTGAACCTGAAATATTGAATAGTGAGAGTTTCTTAGAAAATACAGAAAAATCACCTGAAGAAGAAAATACAACAAATGTTATGAATATTGGACTAATATCAACTGAATCTGCAATAAATCAAAGTGATAGTCTTACAGAAAATACTGAAAAATTTATTGAACAAGAAACAACAACAGAAAATGCACAGACTGAAAAACCAATGTATTTAAAATCAACTACTGAGTCTTCTTTTACAAGTAACATTTTTGATGATTCAAATACCACTGAAGATTCTAATGAGCAAACAACAGAATCTATAGAGCAAGATGAAACAAAATTAGAGGAAACTACAGTTGGAAATGCTTTATTACTAGTAGAATCAGATCTTATAGCCACTACAGAAGATTCTCTACCCAAACCAACAACTGAGAATCTATATTACACGAGTATCCGAGAAATTATAGAAGAATATCAAAAATCTAATGTCAAAAATATTGATAATGTTCAATCTAAACGGAATCAAAATTACTCTGGAAAGGAAACGACACTAGACGATATCTTCGAGGACTATGATGACTTTGTCGATGAATTAGAAAATTCAGATCAGTCTTTTAAATCTTTTAATAAACATACAACATTTCCATCTACAACACAATCACTGAATATCCAACAATCTTCAAGAATCAATAAATGTGAACTAGCTCGATATATGAACAATTCAGGCTTCCCAGAAAATTTAATTTCAACATTTATCTGTATTGCTGAGCACGAATCAGAATTAAGTCCACACACAGTCAAAATTAGTAGATCATACTACAAGTTTGGTCTATTTCAGATCGATGACAATATTTATTGCAGTACAGACGAAAAGATAAACGAATGTGAAATTCCATGTGAACTTTTAACTGATGATCAGTATGATAACGATTTCGAATGTGTTCGTAATATTTATAAGAAGGAAGGGTTTGATTATTGGCCTTCTTATGAAAATTCATGCGATAAAATAAGCACGAATGCATTGGATTATTGTTATGATGACAACATCACTGATGAAAATAAAGAATTACAAAAGTTCCAATCGACAACCCTAGAAATGTCTCAAATCGAAAATATTCCAGTCACAACTGATTCACCAAAAGTTAATTTCGAAGGTAAGTCTTTCCACATTATCATTATAAAATCCGCAATTTATTAATTTCCTTAAATTTTCATCCACAGCACTTTCTATAGATAACGAATCTAAATCCATTATACGAAATTTTGACTTGTGTGAGCTAACACGTGAACTTTATTCGCGAAATATTAGTATCGATGATATTCCACAATATTTGTGCATAGCTGACATCAAATCTCATTTAAAAATTAGAATACCAAATGAGAATGAACAAAGTTATGGATTATTCTTCATTAATTCAGAATTTTGTGGACAAAGCGAGTCTGATGGCATCTGTTCAATGAAATGTTCAGATTTGTGGGACAATAACATATCTGATGACGTTGATTGTGTATATAAAATCATTCAGACAAACGGCACTGATAAATGGAATCTAAATTCTGAAACCTGCCAAATCTATGACAATAAAGTTGTGGAATGTTTTGATAAAACGACAGAACTTCCAAAAATATCAGAATTAGATTTTGAGGGTGTACAAAGGAACGCGAGCGATTCGCGATATGATGTAATTACTGAAAGTATGACTGATATGATAGCTGATATGACCGATAAGACTTTAGAGGATTTAAATCAAGAAACTTCAAACCTTCGAACTTTAAATTATGACATTGAAAGTGATGAAATCACGACAGACGAGACTACAGCACAAAACGTACTTCCAATAGAGCAAACTACTTCCAAAATAATTCAAATTTTGAGCAGCACAGCATCTTCAGACATAAGTTATTCAACTTCAGATAATTTGCATTCATTCAAAGATGATAAACTAATAAAAATACTTCCATCACTAGATATTAATCTTAATGATCAAAACTTATCAAAGCATGTCGACACGCTACTTAAAAACTTTACTTTCTTTGATGTTTTGCCGAAAAATGGATCGATTATATTTAATATTTTTAACTTCAACATCTATGGTCAGGATCACGATATTAAATTTACAGTGAATCGAGGAACAGAGCTGATAGACAGAGTTGAAGACTAAGAGTCGTAAATTAAATGCCTGACTTAGATACTGCATAGGATTAAATCGTAATTTTATAAGAAGCTTTTGTCTAGTTCCAGAAAATCTCAAATAACCAACTCTGCGCTTAAAGATAATGAAAATTAATCAACAAATCTAATTTAAAGCACATAATGTATTTATTAAATATTATTTGTGTCGATAGCTTTTACATGCATGATTAAAATAAAATAAAACATTGATAAGGAACGAGTAGATGCAAAATTTATTATTTCCAATTCCAGTTGTTTCTAATCATCTGAACTGAAAAGATTATGAAATATCAATTAGTGATTTTATTAGCATCGATCTCGCTTATTCAGGCGAAAATTTATTCAGTATGTGAATTGTCATTAGAATTGTATTTAAGGCATAAGATTAACAAAATGGAAATACCATATCACATTTGCATAGCTGCAGAAAGGTCAAATTTAAACACAAGACACTCAAATGGACAGGAATATTTAGGACTTTTTAAAATTGGATCAGATTTCTGGTGTGGACGGGGATTTGCTGGAGGATATTGCAAAGTAAAATGTTCATACTTGGAAAATGATGATATTAGTGACGATGTTAAATGCGCGTCAATGATTCTACACAATCGAGGAATCACAGCTTTTGGACTGATAAACAACATATGTGATAAATACCATGAAGATGTGACTCATTGTTTCGAAAAGAGCCTTCAAAGAAGCAGTAAAAATCACGAAACACACGAAATCATTTTGTGATAGGAACAAATATTTTTGTGATAAAGTATATCCTTTAAAAGTGTTGTTATTCAAAGAATTTTTTATGACTTTATTTTCAGAGAATTTTCGTCTTAATTTCCAATTTCATCATGACTTAGAATCTCTTAGAATATTCTTAATATTTCCGGAGATGATACATTTTCGAATTTATAATTTCATTAGACAGCATTATCCAAAATCTGATTTCATTTGCTTGTTTTTCATTTGAATAAAAGAATCTTCGAAAATTAAATGTCAATAGAATCTACATATTCTTAATAGGTGTCAAAAATCAATTCTTGATTATAATAGAATTATAATTAGAATCAATATTGTTCAGAAGAAACGTAAATGATTATCCAACAACGTCAAAAATATTTGATTTTACAACCAATTTATTTTACGTTACCCGCCGTTATGTTACACACTTAACGTTCTTTTCTGTTCGCCGCATCACATTCCTTTTCAGAGTTGAAGCTTTTATTATCTTTAGTTGAGTGCTAGTTTAGAGATTTGATATATTTTTCGTAAAATATGAACTATACTTTAAAGAATAAGAGAAAAACTAGAGTTGAGATCCATAAAAACCTAGAACCTACAATATAAAGGATCCTGAAGTTTTTTAATGCATTAAAAAGTCAAAAATAAGACATAAAGTATGTGTATTGAAAATTTGGCGCCAAATTTGTTATTTCTTTGTCAATCTAAAGTAACTCAACTTTTGGACAATTTTAGAAAAAAACTAATGTAGGATTATGCTTTAACTATTAATTTAACTCTTATTTTTTTCTCATGGATGTTCGCCAACCCACTCAACAACTCTGAACTCACATCATAGAAAAAAAGAGTGTTGTTAAGCATCACATTTGATGGGAGTCAATAAACATTCATCATCTAATCTAATAACCTATTCAAGTTGAGATTTGCATACTAGATTTCTTTTACGACTTCGCTGATATTTGCTAGACATTCGCTTCTGCAGAGTACGCATCATTATTGTCAACTCGTTCTATGAAGGCATATTTAGTAAATGAAACTGAAAGTCAATGTGTGTTTTTAACTTCTTTATATTAGATGAGTCATAAAAAAGACGATAAAGCACCTGAAAATTGATCTTTAATTAAAATGAGCATCAAGAGACATATTAACTGTAAAAATGCTCTCAGATATTTAGAGATGAGTCGATGTCTTCTCAAATTTTTAATCAAAATTCACTTCTCACAACTTTTTTTGTTCATTTCGGTTGTTGTTTAGATTAATAATGGTATTAAGCACGGTTGATACATGATGATGAGATTTATCAATGAATGTTAGAATGTATATAGTCATGGAGAGAGAACAAGATGAGATGAGATTTTTCTTATTTAAACACTTATTTCAGAACAGTCAGGTGTATAATATTAATATTTTCATATTATAAAAACTTAGTTTGAGTTGAGACGTTGAGGTAAGGAGTTGTCGAATAAATATTAAGGAACAGATTCAATAATTGAATTAAAAATAAACCCCACTGCGTAATATAAAATGTTAATTATACAATTAAGTGCGGTCGTCGCACTTTTATTCCATGCAACTAATGCGAAAGTGTTTTCGAAATGTGAATTGGCGAAAGAGTTGAGTGAAAATTATGGGATTCCATCCCATCAAGTTGGCATTTATGTCTGTATCGCTGATCGTCAATCGGGATTTAATACTGAAATCGTAGGTCAAGGACTCTATTATGGGATGTATCAAATGAGTAGTGAATTTTGGTGTGACATGTATGGTCGAGGTAAAGCTTGCAATTTAAATTGCAATGATTTATTAGATGACGATATTAGCGATGATATACAGTGCATGCAAACAATTATTGAGGAACATCAACGATTATCTGGTTCGGGCTTTAATGCTTGGCCATCCGGTGCTTCATGTCAATCATTAGGAAATAGCTATTTAGAAGATTGTTCAACTCAATCCAATCAAATAAGCAGCACATATAACAACAACAACAAAAAAGCGGCAGCTACGACACAAAAGAAGAAGAAATCAGGAAAAGGCAAAGTTTACGAACGGTGTGAATTGGCAAAGGAATTAAGTGAAATCTATGGTATTCCGTCACATGAAATCGGAACTTATGTTTGCATTGCCGAACGTCAATCAGGATTAAATACACAAGCAATTGGAGATGGGCAATATTATGGAATGTATCAAATGAGCAGTGAATTTTGGTGTGAAACGTATGGCACAGGCAAAGCATGTAACATAAATTGTAATGATTTATTGGATGATGACTTGAGTGACGATTTACAATGTTTGAGAACAATAATTGAGGAACATCAACGTTGGTCTGGGAATGGATGGAGTGCATGGCCAAGCGGTGCTTCATGTCAATCACAAGGAAATAGTTACATTGCAGACTGCTCAATAGAAGAATCTAATCAAATAGGTACTTCGTATTATAACAATTACAATATTAGAAATTCAATTTCAACACAAAAGAAAACATCAGGAAATGTCGGAAAAGGCAAGGTTTATGAGCGCTGTGAATTAGCAAAAGAATTGAGATATAAGCATGACATTCCTATGGAACATATAGCAACGTGGGTTTGCATTGCAAAGCATGAATCAGGTTTTAATACATCAGCAATTGGTCGATTAAATTGGGACGGCAGTGAAGATCATGGATTATTTCAAATAAGCGATTTATTCTGGTGCGGTGAGAATGGCAAAGCATGTGGATTGACATGTGATGAGTTGAGAGATAATGATATAAAAAATGATGTTGATTGTATTAAAATAATTCATAAAGAACACACAAGATTATCTGGCGATGGATTCTCAGCATGGGCTGTTTATCCACGTTGTAAAGGTCAATCGGATAGCTTCATTAATGGATGTTTCGATGAATCGGATAATGAAATTATACCATTTAAACCACAGCCAGGAATTAAACAACCAGTTACGTCTAATTATCCTGTACATCATCATAAGTCGGCAGTTGGAAATGGAAAGGTTTATGATAGATGCGAATTGGCTAAGGAATTAAGAGACAAACATAATATTCCAATGCATCAAATTGCTACATGGTAAGTCACTCTATCTTTATTCTTAATGAAGTCATTTAAGATTTACCTAATTAATCTAGGGTGTGCATTGCTAAGCACGAGTCAAACTTTAATACATCAGCGATTGGACGACTTAATTGGGATGGAAGTGAAGATCACGGTCTGTTTCAAATTAGTGATATTTATTGGTGTGGCTCTAACGGTAAAGCCTGTAATGCACAATGTTCAGAATTTGAAGATAGCGATATATCTGATGATATAAAGTGTATTAAAAAGATTCATCAAGAACATACTGGCTTGTCTGGTGATGGATTCAATGCGTGGACAGTCTATAAACCAAAATGTAAAGGAAAATCAGAATCCTTTATAAAGGGGTGCTTTGATGATTCTTCAAATGAGATTCTACCTATTAAGCCGAAACCAGGAGTTCATCAGCATAAAGTTGAATATACTAAAACATCAGATCAGAGGAAGCACTTCGATAAAATCCCAGGTAAAGGAAAGGTCTATAATAAATGTGAATTGGCTCAAGAATTACGGTACAGACATAAAATTCCAATGGAACAAGTCGCTACATGGTAAGTTCACGAAACATTTAAGAACAATTATTGCTAATATTCTTATAAACATTAATTTTTATAATTAGGGTCTGCATAGCAAAGCACGAATCAAATTTTAATACATCAGCAATCGGTCGTTTAAATTGGGATGGAAGTGAAGATCACGGATTATTTCAAATAAGCGATATTTATTGGTGTGGTTCGGGTCAAGGAAAAGGTTGCGGACTGTCGTGTGCGGAATTAGAAGATAGCGATATAACTGATGATGTTCAGTGCATGCTTAAAATTCATGAAGAGCATACATACTTGAGTGGAGATGGGTTTACAGGTTAGTATGGACTTGAATTAGATTAATTTTGATACTTATGCTTCTTCCTGGTCATTTTCACATAGCTTGGGCAGTTTATAGACCACATTGTCAGGGAAAATCAACGAGTTACATCAATGAATGCTTTAATAAGGATGATGATAATTCTATTCCAAATATTCGTCCAGCAGTTACACAGCCTATTACAACTACCACTTACAGAACAACTAAACAACCTTCAACAACATCAACAACTAAAAAACCTACAACAACTTCAACTAAGCAGCCAACAACAACTTCAACAATCAGAGAGTCTACAACTTTAACAACTAAAATATCCACAACTTCAACAACTAAACAACCATCGACTCCTAAATCATCTACAACATCCAGACCACAAACAACTAGTACAACGAAAAAGCCATCAAGCACAAGCGTGACAACTCAAAAATCTACACAAAAAAATACCCCGACAACAGTAAAACAATATCAAGTTACAAAGAGAACCGAGCCGATTACAACAACTGAAAAAACTTATGATACAACGCTACCCGAAACAACAACGATTTCCGAGTGGGTAACAACCAATAAAATTTTTACGCAAGCTAAAACCACGCTTAGTTCCGAGAAGAAATCATCAATGCCTAAAAATGTCAACTCATTGCCAACTGTGAAGCCTTTTAACATATTCGATCTTTACTTCAAGTCCTTTACGACAAAAAATAGCAATATAACGCCGCAACAAAAGAGCATTGTTAGCAAGACATCAACTAGTAAGCCACAATCAACAAAAAGTTATGGTAGCACAACAAATAAATCGGACAATAGATTGAGTGATCAAACAACAACAAAATCATATCGAGTGCCCTCATCATCTACGGTGAAAAATGTTTATAGCACCAATTTACCGACTATTAATCTTAAAACATCAAGCACTAAAAAGCCAATAACTCAAACGACACTAACAACACAACGAAACACTGCTCAAACAAAACAAACATCTGCATCGACTGTAAGGAACTCAATTAGTCAGACAAAGCAGCAGACAATTACAACAACAACAAGAAAATCAACAAGCATTAAGCCTATTGGTTCACAATCCTCAAAAACAACAAAGGGAAGCGCGGCAAAGCCTTTTAATGTGTTTTCTTACTATTTAACAGATTATACCTCAAAAGCAACACCAATTGAGTACAAACCAATTCAGTTTAGTGACAAATCGACAGTAATTTTTAAGAAACCTGATAACTTCCTTACACAATTTGACAGCGATTCTGATGTTTTGTCAGTGAGAAATGATTTCAAGGCTTCAACAGAATCTCCTAAATCTTACGCATCAACTAAATCTCCGTCATTCTTCAACAACTTTCCCTCATATTATTTTAATAGTGGCGTAGATCACAATCGAATAGGAAGACTAATAACGCCGCATAGTATTGAATACTTGTTGAGACTTACTACTCCAAGGACATACTACGGGTAAAACAAATTTACAAGTTTTTCTCCTTTCAATAAGTGAATATATTCCCATTTATCATATTCTTTCCTATATAATCTGTTCATCTTATACACAAAAGTCGTGAAAGAATTAAAACGATTGTTCTTGACATGCACAAAAGTACGAAAATAAAAGTTATGAAATGATTATGCAAAGAAAATTATTAAAAACGCATTTTATTACAATGTAGATTGCTAGACTTGATGTTGTTTGATTGATTTATCATGCAGTACTGCTCTTTAATGTTCAAGGGCTTTAATTTTGTCAGAATAATGCAAATTGTGTTGTAACGAACTTTTCAGATTTGAATAAAGGACGCAATAAAGATGCAAACTCAAAATGTTCGTTAAATTTGATTTTCAAAAAAGTCGCATCAAATTTTTTACATATATTTCAAATTTCTAATGACGGTTGCAACATAGGTAATATTTCAATTGAATTTTAAATCCACTTGTCAAATACAACTTTTAAGTTTTTTATGACGATTCCACAAATTAATCATTACCAAAAAAATCAGGAATCTGTGAAAATTGCTTGTGACAAACATGTGATTATTCAAACTGACATTCTAAAAAGATTAGCTGTTTTTAAATTTGTTTTTAAGCATTTGAATAATAATTTCAATTTCTCAGACAACCGATTTGTTGCAGAAATTAAATAAATAAAGTAAATACTCTTGATTGTGTATGATTAATAGTTTCTTAATAAAATTATGTTGTTAAACTCTTAAGGAATTTATCATGTTATAATTCTCATGAAATACAAAAGAATCTGTGTAAATATTTGTGGCTTAAAATCTTCATCGCGGTTCTTTTTTCACGAGAATGATTGATTAATAAGGTGCTTACAGCTGTGAATTGAGCTAATCATTTATTTTAATTTTTATTTGCAGGTACTCACGTGTCTTTTGTTATAACATCGCATGCTACTTGATATGTGCGTAAAATCATCTGATTTACCTTCCTAATCGTGTCTATATCCACAAATTCATAATATATTAGTAAAAACCATTGACCAACCACATTATGCAAGCTAATTTAAACGTTATTTAATTTTATAAGTTTGACAGTTATGAAATTATTCAAATTTATTGTTTGTTTACACTAGTGTGTGTGTGTGTTTGGAAAATTCGTACAGAACATCAATCAAACTTCTCAGATCCAGTATCAAGGCAATCGGTGCTTCCTTTTTGTATTAAGTTTAACGGTTATAAAAAAATTAAATGTTTTCAACGCCTTGAAGTTAACGCGTTTCTCATAAAAGTTTTGATTGAGATTTTTCGAGTGTTTCTAATGTTATTGAGTGAAATGTTTGTGAAAATTAATTAATAACAATGAAGAGTATTCATTGCTTAATCAATTACCTACAATCATTGAGTAAGTTCGTTGAGAATTTATAAAAATTCAAAAAAGTCGCATTGTAAGTAATCCTCAACTTGTTTTGGGGAGTGAGATAGAAAATAGCAGATCTAGCGCTAAGAAAGCTTGAAATATTATTTATCAAAAAAGCGCAAGTAAACATTAATTTTACCGGTAATAAACGTGTAGATTCCATAGTTAATCGCCTGAAATTCACTAAGAACATCGAGTGAAGTAACAGGATCCAGTTTAAAAGTGAAATTAAGCAAAACAAAATTTTTATGAAAATCAAGTGTTTTTTTCACATTAAAAAAATCAATCAAATAATGAGAAATATCATGTCCCTATCATGTTAAGTGGATAGTTTATGCTATTAAAAGTGTATAATATTGATATATTAGCCAAGTATTGATATGACGATAAATTGCATTTAGTATTGATTAAGGCAGACACAAAAAATAAGAGACTAAAAGAAGAAAGTTATTTGCTATAAAGTTACTGATACAGTGAGACGAAAAGGTGATTTTCAGAAAAACAGTTAATAGCTAATTGACGCCATAAATTTGTGAGATTTGCGCTTTTTTCATTCAACATTAGGATGTAAATAACGAAGACATTTGGGCTTTCGGCTATAAATTTCAGTCCGTGCGATCCTCTTGACGTAATGAAAATGAATGAAGAAGTTGTGAAAAAGTATCAAAAATTTTTCTCGTTTTCTCGGGCTTCGTACGGCTGTTGCGTGATGCTCGAGTGTATTTTAATTGTTACTGCTTAATACTCAGCAGTTCAGTGTCTAATTTGAGTAATTTGATGTGCATTGATCTAAAGCTAGTGATTTAATAGCTGATTATGGACTAGTTTATGTGATTAGAAGGAAATTGATAGTTTAAGTTGATAGTGACGGAACATAAAGTATGCCATAACGCACATCATCACTTCATTTAATCACGACATCTGGCGGTGAATGAGTGAATCATAAAACAATATTATCAAATGACTCTTGCTCTTTCCTTCTTATCTCACATTTCACAGTATAAGTTTCTTATCAGAATCTCTTTAACTAAATTTTATGAGTTCTTAAGCATAAGCTTGTATGTTAAGACATGTTAGATTCGATCGTTTGCCATTAGCAGCATAGCACTAACACGTCTGAATCATGATTATTTATTACTTTTAAAGTAATACACATTCAATATTATTTTTTCGAGATACGTATTCTCGTTCCTATAAACTTATTCTCCTTACCAAGCTCTTGTTATGCTGTATAAAGTATTCTACACTATTCAATATACATATGAATAATTTCAATTTGGTGCTATATTTAACATATTGACGAGTCTTTTTATTTGACTTTTTTATTGTAATCATCGATTAATTAATTATTCTGGGATTTCCAACAAGCTAATAACAATTTTTTGGAAGTAAATTATGCTTGTTGAGCACTGAATGAATTGCGAGCATAGTGTAGAAGTTGATAACGTTTCCTATAATTTCTCGTCTTCGATCATGCGTCGTTTTAGTCTGTCACTGCACTTCATACGAAGAAAATGTCTGCCTTTTCCTTGGATGAGGCAATCAAAAATATTAGAGATGAAAGAGCTATTAATCAACTTGTTGGTTCATTAGAGAAATCTTTAGAGCGTCAATCGGGTTCTGTGCAATATAGGAATGGCAAATGTGATTTAATAGAATCGTGTGATGACTTGACGACATCAGCAAATGATTCACAAAATAATGGTGCGCTAAAAAAATAAGAAATATATCCAAAAAAAAAAAAAAATTAATATATAAAGAGAGTTCGCTTAGTCAAAACATTTCATTGGGGGGATGTGGACATGAGAGGGATTTATGCATTTACTAACCCTTGACAAATCTAACCAAATCATTCATCAGTTTTCATTAACTAAGTGTGTTTACTTTATTATTTACTCATTGCTTTGTGTTGCATATAGCATATAAAAATAATAATAATAATAAGAGTTTTATTGAATAATATGAGAAGAATCAGGACTTAATACAAATAATAATATAATAATACATAAGCTTGTTTGCCCTCGTCAAATGTGCGAATATTGAGACAATTATTAATTTAATTCGCTCTTTGATTCATAGTGTCTTCGTTATCATCTATAACAAATAGCGCAAATCTCACAAAATCAATTGAAACAAATATAATTAATAGTAATGCTCAGTCGACTTTAAACAATAATAATAATCACATACAGCAGCACCATAATAAGCATCAAATTCAGCAAGGAGGAGGAGTCATAAGTCATCAGCAAATTTTTACAAATTTCGTTGCTGCTGGACATCAGCAAATCAACAACATTAACAACAATAGTAATAATAATAATAACAATCGCAGTCAGGATCGTTTAACAAATATGCCAAAGAATGAACCTGTGAAATTAGCATATCCTACGACACAGGCATCGAATATAGTGACTATGAATAATAATCGTGTCACATTTACAACAAGTTCCGCTCCCGTTCAAAATGGTACAATAACATTATCACCAATGACTGCAAATCAATTGACTCAACCAAATCAACAGCAGCAAGCTACCGTCATGCAACAACGTGCTGGTCAGCAAGCTCCAACATTAATCTTTAAGAATGCAAGTAGTTCGGCACAAGGCACGTTGACTTCAACGCCGGTTACGTTTACAAAGGCAAATAGTCAGGTGAGAATCAGAATCAATCGAATAAAATAACACACAGGCAGTGTTATTTTTTTTTTTTTTGCTGAGTTAAAAGGAGAGAAGAAGCGAAAAACTATAATCTTGTGGCATTGACCTGAAAACAAAACATATATCTTTCTCGTTTTCATTATAATACACATGTACACTTTTAATTTGTGTATTTGCATTCATTGATCAATTTTTAGCGCAATTTGCAGTGAATTTTGTGTTCCAAATATGTCTGTACATCCGTTATAATGCTTACTGATGTATAATTCTACTGGATCGTACAGAAAATTATAGTTGGGCCCCGACGAAAAAAAATTATTCGTGAGTGACGCTTTAAATCTTAAATATCTCCGAAACCACAAAAGTGGCAAATTTCAAAGTTATTTTATCCTGTAGGAAAAAACAATCCCCATCTTTTGATATACAACTCACTTAATAAAATTAAGCAGTTGCTTCAGAAAATCACTTTAATTAAGGGACACTCACGAATAATTTTTGGGAATTCTGCCATAACTTTGTCAGTTTTCATTGATATATCTTCAAATGTATTTTTTTAGATCAGAAATTTTATTTTCTTTTGTTTGGTTCCAAAAAAAGGAATAAATTGTCCCCGAAACATACTTAAATGAACAAAATTAAGTTAAAATTTTTTTAACGGTTTTAAATTTTTTTGAATTTTTTATGTCATGAGTTGTTTGTTTACAAACAAAAATTGAAATAAAATTTAAAAGGTCATGAAAATATCACTCAATAATGATGTTAAAGCTCTTAAAATCGGCAGAATAGCTAATGTATCATTTACTTTTCGTAATCATATCATAATATTTGGGAATAATGATTGAATAATTAAGAAATTTGGGAATTTAATTTTTGATGGGTTGTAAGATAGTTTTAGTGAATTTCAAATTTAATTTTTCCGTTGAGCAATAATCCTGAAAAAATCGTCGAGGCCCAGTTTCAGAGAATAACTTGTTAAAAGTACGTTAAATTTTTGAATTTCAAGAAAAGTTCGTCAAACGTTTGAATTTTAAAAAACCGTTGTATTTCAAATATTTTTTGACAGTTATTTTTAAATTTTTTTAAACTCTTTAATTCATCAATCAATGACCACCTCAATTCTTCTCTTATACATACCTTCTTCTCTTGCACACATATTCCTCTTATTTTATACTTAATTGACAATGATTCTAATTTTAGGGTACTGGTTCGAACATTGTTGCACTACCGAGTAATTTATTGGTAAATATTCGACCACAGACAGCAGCTGGTGCTCAAAATGTGCAAAAGAACACGGTTGGACAGCAGCGTGTGGTGAATGTTATAAATCAACCAATGGTTAGGCCACAAAGTAATACGGTGAGTGACAGAATTTCACCATTCTTTGGAATTCATCAATTATGATGAAATCAGTACGAGAGCAAGTGGTATTTGGATAAATCTGTTTAGTCGAATGTTCTTGCTTGAAGTGAATCTTTGCCTGTTCGAGTGAATATTTCGCGGATTTGAAGATTTTTTTTTGGTATAAAACTTAACTGACATTCTGAAATTTCCAATTTCTCTGCTATAGTTCATTGCGGGCTATCATAGAGACAACACAAACTATTATTCAGGCAACCAGGCAATACAAACTTTCTACCACACTAAAAAAAAAACTAGAATTTGCCAAGATGAGAAGTATAAACTTAACGAGAATATTTGTTTTTATTTATTTTAGATAACACTTTCTGGCCTTCCGCAAAATGTGCAAGGCAATACGATACTGCTGAAGCAAGATAATGGCTCTTATCAACTGTTAAGAATTAGTACGCAGCCAGGAGCTCAAGTAACGCCAGGCTTAACGCCGACTGCTGGAAGTACTATTCGTTTACAGACCGTACCCGCTTCTGTAAGTAGGTTTTCTGGACCAACACTCGCACTAAGAAAGACAATTCTTACGCAACAGGTGAAACAGAATAAGCAAAATGTAAATTCGCATCATCATCTAGTGTGTTTATGATCTCATTTTAGAGATCACTATTTTTTGCCTATATATCGATTATTTTTATGTTTTTTTTTTCTACTTCAATGTTACTCTCTTTTACTTACTATTACTCTCTCGTTTTGGCGCCAAAATAATGGCGATTTTATTTCATGCTTTTTTCAATTCTTCATTTTTACGACAGTGCTATGATTCGTTATACTATGATTTTTATTTTTCTTTCGTTTTTGTAAGGCATGAGAATTATTTTTTGATTTTTGGGCATTTTTCTGAAAACCGTTTTTTTGAAAACAGCTTGTTTTTCGCGCAAAAATTGAAATTTAAAAAAAAAGCTAGAATTCAAACTTTAAGAAGCCGTTAAAATTCAAGTGCTGAAAAACCGTTAACGAGATCTACAAAGAAAAATGCAAGTTATTCATGATTTTCTTGAATTTGAGAAGTGTTTTTTGATTGAAATACATTTTATTTTGCGAATGCGATACAAATTTTCATTATATATCATTTATTCCCATTCAAAACAATTAAGTTTCTCCTGTTGTCAATTTCTTAGCTTAAACAAAATCTATGAATTGAGTTAATAATGATTTTTAGTGCATGTGTTATAAGTTCGAGTGCATGTGGAAGGAAGCTTTTAATTGAAAATTGATTAATTTACTTCCGCTGCCTTGAAAACAATTGATTGACTCTTGAAATATCTCTAATTAATGTTCCTTTCTCTTCTTAATTTATTCTCTAAAATCTCATATTTATAATGAAAAAAATTTTAGTCAATAGCACCAAGTAGTACGATCTTAGTAAGCACATCATCAGCAAATCAACAGCAGCAACAACAGATTCTCACGACTCAATCTACGCCTGTTGTTTCTGTTTCCCAAGTGCCCGCTCTTACAACGACCCATACACATCAAGTACAAAGTCAACCTACTCCGACAGTTGTTGTACAGCAAACAGGAACAAATTCATCCATTAATACAACATCGACAGGAGGTGTCGTTGTGACTCAATCACCCGCTCAACGAAATGATAATGCCAAAGAAAAGTGTCGTAAATTTCTGACAAATCTTATTGATTTATCGAAACGTGAACCAGCACAGGTGGAAATGAATGTAAAAACACTGATACAAGAATTAGTCGATGCAAATGTCGGGCCAGAGGACTTTTGCAAAAAATTAGAAAATTTACTCAATGCTGCACCTCAGCCGTGTCTTGTTGGATTCCTTAAAGTAATTTAATCCCTTCAGTTTGTATTTACTGGCACTTGTTCTGACAATTTTTGTTTTGTGGTTCTTACAGAGAAGTCTTCCTCTTTTGAGGCAATCTCTTGTGACGAAAGAGACAGTAATAGAAGGAATTAATCCGCCAAGTCCGAGTGTGGCGTTTTCAGGAGCGACGATAACAACAACTCAAATTCCCGTATGTCAAAACTATTTTTAATCCACTAATACAAATCCTTAATTGAAACTTTTGTAGGCCCAGATACGTCCGATAGGTCAAACAGTGATGTCAGGAATAGGCCAAACGCAAATACGAATGGTGCAGCATGGACCAAGAATAGGACAAACTACAATTAGACCAACAACGCCGCAACAAATTGTGAGAACAGCCACTCCGACAATGAGACCATTAACAACAATTAGAGGACAAACGACTATTGTGCAAACGCAAGCAAATAATCAACAAGTGCCGGCACTTCATCCTGTGGGTGGTACGACGATAATTTCTAGTGGAACTGCTCAGGTATTTGACAAAATTTATTTTCTCTTAATTTTTTTTTTTGCTCCTCAATAAGTTCAATTGCTTTTAATTTTTGGACTATTACTAGTAGATGTTCGTTGTGCTGCTTATTATTTTAAGTTTGACCATTTATTTATGATTAAACAAGACAGTTTTTGCATGTAAAAAAAATACTTGAACGAATAATACCTAAAAGATTCCCGAGTGACATGCTTGCTAAGCAACTGTTGTGCAACATCAAACCATGCTGTTTGACATGATTGTGGCTGTGTTGCTCGGGAAAACCAACTTAATTATTGTTGTTATTATTTATTCTTGGCCATAAGATGTAATGAGAATCTTATGTACTGATTATTATTGTTGATTATTGATTTGACTTTAATTTCTTGAGAAAAAAAAATCTATTTTGGAATGCAAATTTTTTTATCGTAGAACTTGATTTTCGCTTTTATATTACTTATTTGGTTATTGAGACAATTTTTAATACTTTTTTAATAATTTTATTGCGTTAATCCTTCTCTTCTATCTAATCTAATCTAATTAATGTCGAAACTCACTTTTTTCCAACGCATAATGAACTTTTTTTTGGGCTTGACTACTAATTCAACTTAATATCAATTAATTAATGAGTTGATTTGGCTTTTAAGCACACTGCAAATTTCGTTTGAATGTTGTTTTCTTTTCTCATCTACCTCTGAAGTGAATTTTGGTTTTTGAGATGACATTTTCAGTGCATTTTTCATTAGGGATGTGACATTTTTGTCTTAAACAGAACTTTCCTTACCTGATACCTAATTGCTATATCTATTGTTTTCTGGTCGAATTTTTCATTTATTAAAGCAACTGATTACCGTTAAATTTTAAAATAATTTTTTACTGCTGTCGACTGTTGTTTTTCAAATAATTTCAGACCGTTATTTTTCAAATATTATTCGATTGTTAATTTTATTTTAAAACATCAGAACGTATCAATCCTAATTTAGAATGGGGGGTAAAATCCCCGAAAGATATTAATTTCACGATTCTGCGGGATAATAACCCCGAAAAACGCAAATTTTTATATGTACCCTACGGGATAACATTTTTAAATTTCTCAGTCTAAGAAAAATAGTTTATTTATCATGGTTCCATAATCCAAAGCTTTCATAATCCAAATTCAATGAGTTATGTTTAAAAAAAATGTTTTCATTAATTCCATATTACTGTGAAGGATAAATAAGCCAGAGCTTTCGGAGATAATAACGACAATTAATTCTTTAGAAACGATCTATTAAAATGTTGAAAATTCAACAAAATTAAGTGAAAAATTAAAAATATGTTTTAAAATTTTGTATTTTTTCACGGATTAGTACAACAAAAGCTTTTTGATAACTCGATGACACATGATATTTTTTAAAAGAATTGAAATATTTCATTATTTAATGACTGAAAGCATACAGAAAAACTACTTATTTGTAGATTTCAACAGTTTTCTTTAATTTTCAATTCTTCGAATGATGAAAATGGAATGGATTTCTGTCATCGAGTTATTTACATCGATTAGAATTATTAAATCAGGACCTCTAATGGGCCAAATAATAAATTTTCGATTCTTTCCTGAAATTTTCTAAAAGTCATTCAAAGAATTGCAAATTGCCCTTAACAAAATTAGATTTATAAATCTAATCATAATATTTGTTTACACATTTTTCTAAGAAAAATGTAAAGATTTAAACATAAAAAGAACGCAAAATTAAAATTCTGTTGCTCAAATTCTTATTAAATTAACTAGAATTTTAAAATGATGGCAGTTCTGATGCTGTTTAACCGTGTATACAAGCCCCAAGAAGGTTTCCAATGGTTTTAGACCATTTAAGAGATTTGATTGTTTATAATCTCAAAATTTCGAAATTATTCTGATTATTCAGGTATACAGGGTTACTTAAACAAACTGAAGGCTACAAATTTATTGAAAATGCTCAGCAAATAATAATTAAAGTGATTCGAACCTGATACGAACAATTCAAGAGTTTCGACCGTTAACATTTCCAAGAACACTTGTAAAAATGTCTTATTTATCTGTTTGCTTTGCAAAATTCGAAGTTTCATACCCTGCAGTTCGAAATTTTCGAAAATTAGGAAAAAATAAAAACTTAAATTAAGCAATTTTTTCATGAATTTTAGCTGAAAATATCATTTTATCATTTGATAATAAGCATAATATAGCTAAATCTGTTTTCAAAACTATCAAAAACTTGAATAAAATGACCAAAAATTGTGACGGTTTTTCAAATTTAAATTTTTCGAAAGTGCATATTATAACACCCCTAGACTTTCGATAAGTCTGTCGAACATGAATTGAACGTATCGGATTCGTACAAAATTCAAACGAAATATTTTGTAAGTTCTTTCAAACTTGAACTCTTTTGAAGAAAAGCTTAAAATAAAACCTGTCAGAAAAAAAATTTTATATCCTAAAATAGATTTTATATTCACACCGTATTCACTTTATTTTTGTTCAGCTTGAAAAACAGTTTTTTGCATTTTGAGGAAAAAAAGCAAATGGTCAAAAACAGAATTTAAATTGGCTGTAGCATTGATGGGAAAATCACATAATACGTAAGCAAACAAGCATCAATAACGAGGCATCTCAGAGACTTCTAATTCTTGCCTTTGATTCTTGCCATTGCTTCCAAAAAAGCAAAAAACCCTGCATCACGTGAACTCAAATTTTGCGAATGACAAAAATTATAAAAACGTGATTTATTAGTTTCGCACGTTTTAAATTTTGAAAGACTTCATTTCAAAACTATTGCAAAAACAAAAAATTGAAAATTTTGAGTGAATGTGATTTCTTGAGTGAATAGATCTTTGATACATTAAACATCTAGGCTCTAGGCTTTTAGAAAATTTACAAAAGGCATAAAAAACCAAGTTTTCAACTTAAAAATTCAACCAATATTTATGTTTTCTTCTTATTTAAGTTTTTGGAATAATGAAATTGACAAATTAATAAGTGGGATTTTTTTTGGATCAAAATCCTATTAGATAATAAATCCACTTATTAAAACAAGTGGAATTATTATCCACTATGACAAATAAGTTTTTGGATTTAATTTAATCCATAATTTTAATCGTGTTCCATAAAGATAATAATCCCACTTAGAAATGTAAGTGAAATTATTATCTACCTGGAAGATAATAATCCCACTTGAAATTATAGGTGGGATTATTATCTTCCCGGAAGGATAATAATTCCACGTGTATTTCTAAGTGGGAATATTATCCCGCAGGGAACATATAAAAATTTGCGTTTTTCGGGGTTATTATCCCGCAGAATCGTGAAATTAATATCTTTCGGGGATTTTACCCCCCATAGCAGATCCTATGTTTGAAAAGTGCACTTTTTTCGTCACTTACGAGTTCAAACGTCTATGCTACGTTTTTTTTTCGAGTGTTTTTATTACTAATGGAACTTTCGTTTGAACCAAATCTACCTCTTTGTCTGAGAATGTGTAAGAATGTGATTAATTTGAAAATAATACAGTAATTGCGTGCTGAGAGATGCGTTGATTAGTATGAAAAGAATTTAAATCGTGAATATAACGCGAGTCGTTTAAGAAATTACAACATTCAAATCGTAACGTAGTGCTAGCCCAGGGGTTTTGAGGAACTACCTTTTCTTCTATAATTAATTTTTTTGTTTAAAGTGAAGGACATTTTAATTTAATTAGATGTTTAATTTATATTTACCTATTTTTTTAATGATTGAAAGAAGTTAGTTTAAAAATCTGTCTGTTGGACGAATTAAGTCTCTTTATGCCCAATCACTTATTCCGCAGATTCGTTCTCAAGCTTCGCCTAACATAACACGTCCACAAAATCAAGCGTCGTCTGTTCAGATACGACCCACGGGTACGCAAGTGCGTGCACAAAAAGTCCCGTCACTTCCAAACTCTTCTTCCGTTCAAGTGACGAAATCGCAAGCATCTACCGGTGCGCAATTAAAACAAATTGTAACTAATAATAATGTAAATATCAATAATAACAATAATACAAAAAATAACAACAAGAATCAAGTTTCCATCGCTGTGGTTTCAACAATAAATAGCACACACGTGACGAATAGTAAACCGAGCACTACTAGTCCCAATAAATCACCAATTAAATCTAATGCTATTTCTAATTCCCATCCTTCCACGACACAATCATCCACGACTCCTACAAAATCACCAACATTCAATAATAATAATAATAATAATAAACCGCATCATGAAAATAAAAAATCTCAGGGTTCAGCTCAAAAGGCGAAGGATAAGAAGACCTCATTAGCATCAGTTGTAGCTGCGACAGCATCAAGTGGGAGCGGTTCCAATTCAATATCAAATAACTTCTTTCCAACATTCGGTGATGATGATATTAATGATGTCGCGGCTATGGGTGGCGTTAATTTGGCTGAAGAGAGTCAAAAAATTCTCGGATCGACTGAGTTTGTCGGCACACAGATACGTTCATGTAAGGATGAAGTCCTTCTAAATCTTTCCGTGTTGCAACAACGTATTAGGCAACAAATGGCTCGTCATGGACTTGACGAGCCCTCGACTGACGTAGCAGTTCTCATATCTCACGCAACACAGGAGCATCTTAAAAACATTATCGAGAAACTGGCGGTGATAGCTGAACATAGGATAGATATTCTAAAGGTAATGGATTGTTGAAATTTCTTGGAACCCTACAAATGTTTTTCAAACCCATACAACAGTTATATTTAATGCGAAACATTTGTACGGTTTTCAAACACTTAATACGCTTCTATAATCACGTATTGCTGCATTTGTAGATGGACAACAGATACGAAATGACAACAGATGTTCGTGGACAAATTAAATTCTTAGAAGAACTAGACAAAGCCGAGCAAAAACGTCACGAAGAGGTGGAGCGTGAAATGCTATTACGTGCTGCAAAATCACGATCAAAAACAGAAGATCCAGAGCAAGCAAAACTCAAAGCAAAAGTAAGCAGCTACTAGACATGAAATGTGAACATAAATAATGTTTATTGCTATAATTTTACAGGCGAAAGAGATGCAGAGAGCTGAATTAGAAGAGATGAGACACAGAGAGGCAAATAATACAGCCTTACAGGCCATCGGTACGAGAAAACGAAAGATTGATTCTGAATCAGCAACGTCATTGGTAAGGAGCTTAATTAAAATTATAAATTTTTCTTTAATTAATTTGGTGTGTGTTTGTCGACTAGACTGGAAATGGAACGAATGTCGGCTCAACGCCTATGGTTAAAACAACAGCAGCACCACGTCCTCGTATAAAAAGAGTTAACATGAGAGACATGATATTCTATATGGAACAAGAAAAGGATACATGTCGTAGCACAATGCTTTATAAAGCATATCTCAAGTGATTTTCAGCTGTTTGGTTTTGCTACGAGACGAACTTGTTATTAAATTTTTCTGTTGCTTGTTTAACATTTCATTAGAAATTTAATTTATGAATTTTTTTTCCTTTCTGTTTATTAATATAATTTTTTTCTAATATAATACAATTAACTAAATGCTGTAAATCTTACAAAACAAACAAAAAATAAACATTAGGGACATGAATATGAACCAAAAGTTAAGCGTGGCGGATTGAGGAAAAGAATAATTATGATTTCTTTACAATTTTAGTGCATTTCTAATCGAATTAGACGGTATAGTCCGCATTCTGTTCGTCTGTCTGTCGTGTCACTGCTCAAATTTATTGGTTTTCAAAAATAAAGGTTTTCAAAATTTGAATATTTTATTTGAACAAATTTGAATTTTTTCCGGTCGTTAGATTTTGAATCTAATTTTACCGTTGAAATTTGAATCTTTGCAAGGAAATTGCGCTAACATCAAAAATAATTTTCCCATGCAATAGAAAATGAAGGAAGAAAAACTGATAGTTGTTAATCTATAATTTAAATAGTTTTAAGTAAGACAGAGACATCAAATTCTTTTTCATCTTGATACAATTAAGAGGATGCTCGAACGCCACTAGAAGTCAATTTTTTTAAAGCCTCTATCGGCACTGATAATAATTTGAAGGAAAAAAATTAATTAAATGAAAAAACAAATAAAAAACGTGGAATGAATATTAGAAATTTAGTTTAGCCTAAATTAATTACTGTATAATATTAATATAATGAGAAAAACAACAGAGAAGAATATTTAGTTTAAGAATGTCATTTTTTATGAAGCTCTAGCATGCAAAGGGTGTATCACTCTTGATCACTGAATTAAGACAGTCATTACAGCTACAATAGAATTTAGAGATGTAAAACGTTCCCCAAATCCGTCTCTGGATCTCTAGATTCAATCTGACATTCAGATTTTTATGTTTGAGATCTCAATTGTTGCTGCTTCAAAAAACCACTTAAGTTTTGAATGCTTAAGGTCTCTCAAACTTAAAAGAACAAGTCTACAGGCTGAAGTAAAGTAGACAAAAACCAGGGTTTTTGGGGGGGTTAACATTATTTCTAAGCGACCCCTTTGCATGTTAGGGATGAAACTTTTCATGCTATTTCATTCGTTCTGTATCTGTTTCCTTTTGTTTTATGTTTGGACTTAAAAAATTCTTTTGAGTCATTTAAAAATTATGAATTTTAACGGTTTTTAAAAATTTGAAAACAACGGGTTTTAATTTTTTGAAAACTAGTGGTTTTCAAAAATTTGAAAATTCGACATTTTTAAAAATTTGAAAATCTTTAAAACTCAACGGTTTTAGGTATAAAAACTTTCTTTTTTTTATAATTTCAAAAAAGTAAAATGAAAAAAAATGTTGGGGATATATAAAATAAATTGTGTGCTGTGATACAATTTATGCAACAAAACTGAAGTAATAGTTTGTTTTTTTGATATGAAATAGGCCCAGAAAATTTATGTAATTCACTGCCTCTAAAAAAATGAAGAAAAAAAGAAAAGAACTTTACAAAACGTGACAAGCAAGAAAACTGATTAAAAATTAAAGAGAAATAAATTTGTATAAAGCAACACAGTCATTTCTCATTACAAACAAATAACGGATTATCCCTCATTATAAAGTCAGTAAAAAAAGATATGAAAATTGATAAGAATTTTTACAAATCTGTACATTATTATAGTTTTTAATAGTTGATAAAAAGAAAATGAAACTGAAAAAAAAAGAAATGAAATTTCACTATGTATGTAATTAATGCGAAAAAAATGAAGAAATAAGTTTTAACTCCTTAAAAAATTGAGAAAATGAATAAAAAAAAATCTTGTTATATTCAAAAGCATATTGTGCATAATATTTATCAGAAAAAGGGAAGAATTAACAAAGAAAAACATACAAAAAAATAAATGAAATGGTAAATTAGTAAATTTCCTAAAAAAATTATATAAAACTATTGGTTTTATAAAAATAAATCGATGACTTTTCCTCTTTTTGCAACTTTCAGAATTTAAAAACTTAACGGATTTATAAAATTCAAATTTTATTCGTGGAAAAATGACATTATCCTTTATCAATGATGTGCTATTTTTTAAAGATCTTTTCAAGATGATGACCGTCAAATAAAGCTTTTCATCAATCCAATAAATTGCAAAATAAAAAGCATAGATATTACAAACCATTTGCCATCTCTGCAAACTATTCATTCTTAAAGGATATTTTAACAACCGTCAAATATAATTTAAACTCATCAGCTGAAAAATCATAACAAACATATTGCGCGCGAAAAAGTGAAAAATTATTTTAAACTTTAACATAATTTAAATTTACCAAGAAAGTGACATAAAGTGATAGAAAATGAGTGAAATTCCATTAATTTATAAAGACAAGTGCTTGATTAGACGCAAAGTTTATCATATTAGTGACTCCTCTACCTTTTTCGTGACAAAAAAACTAGAATTTATTGAAATCAACAAAAACCAAGAGATTGTTAATTATATTAAGTTACAAAATAGTGATGAGACATTTAATGATGTTGATATACCTGATAAGATCCAGTTAAAGACATATGAACGATTAGATTCATCGTTAATACTGTTATTTCAATTAAGAGACAAAGTTTTTGTAATTAAACGTAAACGGTTTGAAATAAAGTTAATTAAAGTATTTCATGAAGTAGACAGTTTTAAAATTAAAGGTCAAATAAAGAATAATGAAAACGTCGTTGTTCTGAAAATGAAGGACGGAAGCAGTGAACAGACATCATTTAATGATGAGGAATTTGACAAAGAAACTCGCGAAAATAATGTTGAATTAATTAAATCGATAGATTCCAATATTAAGTACCAAAAGACATGCATGATAAAAACACTCAAAAATATTACACTCAAGCAGCAATTAAAAATTTATTTAATGATTGGGAAGCAAAAATTTCTACCTAGATTTATGAGGCTACATGTAAGTTCATTAATTTTTATGTGCTATGTTGTTCAATTAATTAAAAAAGTTCATGTTTCTGTAAATCCCACATGTGATATAAAGGATCCAAATGATGTATCTCCATTGGTCAGATTTGGCTGTATTTTTAGTCGAGTATGTAACGATAAACTTGTCATCGGAATTCCGGTTTTCAATGCATCCTCGCTGGAAAGGTAAGTGAAATACGCCACACAATAATACATAGAATTTATTACTGCAAAAATATTCGACATTTTATTCGTAAAATTTGGACAAACTTTAAAATCATGGAGGGTTTCAAATTGCCTCTTAAAAAATCTATAATTAACGATTTTTTTTTGTGGAAAACATAATCTATTAATATCATCTATCTATGATTTCAAACAAGTTATATTCCGTCATCAACTATGATTCATCTTCATTTTTTTATTTATTACGTCAATCTATTGCTTTTTGGACTTTGATAAAAATCAAATTGCATTATCTAATGAATGAAGTATTAGGAAGAAAAAGGAATTAAGTAGATATTTTATTTATTTAGAAGCTAATCTAAGAAGGAGTGGTTTAAGAAGATCTTTAATTAACTATCATCAATTTTAATTAATATCACAATTTTTTATTAAGTGGATCGGCCAAAAGTTAAATGCCTCAAAAAAGTTTCAAGCTTTGGTCTCTCAATTCTATTTTTTCTTCAAATTCCTACAATTCTGGGTAATTCCAGTAAACTAGAGTGTTGCATATTTTGAAAATCTGGCTGCAAAAAGGTTCTTTGGGGATGTCACTAGATTGCAAGCTGCGACTTAGCAACGGTTTTATATAGCTAGGATGTTGTTATAAAATGTACTCTTTGCAACCAATTTTCTGTAGTCATACTCAGGTTAAAAATCAATCAAATCACATTCCATCATTCAGTAAAGCTGATTTTCTAAAATTCAATTATTATCGCTATCCTAAACTACGATTTAAATGTATTCCTATGAAAACGGTAGTAATTTACTACGATCAATGTTCAATTCAATCCTTGGTTCTGCATTTACTGAATTTACTCCATTCTCCTCATCTTCGCGTGCTATTTTTATAAATTCATCAGGACTATAGTCAAATAATTCAAAATCATGTCTAAACACGTTGTACAACCCTTTCACTTGAGATTTCGTTAATTGTGCGTAGAAGCTCATTAAAATTTCATTGGTATTTTTTCCCTTTCCTGAATTTCTGTGCTCAGGCTTGATTATTCCCGTTAGGCTTGCTTTTTCAATCAAATAACGTTGATCTTCATCAAGTGTCTCAAACTTTAATATCAAATCAAAATGAACTTGACATGGTGTACAAAAGTTGGTTATCGGTTGCCAATGCATGTCTTGATGTGGAAAGATACAGAATAAAAAGGGATATTTAAATATTTTTTAAAGTGTATGTGACAAAAAAACAAACATAAATTTACCGAGATCCGCATCATGTGCTGCTTCGAACAATAAAAATTCAACAAATTCAGAGAATGTAGGCCATCTTGTTCCAACTTTTTTGGCCTTTGCTTGCAGATATGAATGTGCATTATTCATTAATGGATGATGCGTATTATCGCCTCGTTCATAACTCACCGGCTTTCGGAATTTTCGTACAATCATGTTGCCCAATTTCTGATGGAATGTGTGTGGTAAGGCATACTGTAATTTATCACGGTATGCACTCAATAAGCGCTCAAACGGATGTCGAGTGATTAGGAAACTTGTGGAAATATTCAAAGCTTCGTTAAGCTGTGATTTAAAATGTGGAATATATAGAAGATATGGATATAAAATAGACATTTAAAATCTCCATTGAATCAAACTGACTGACCTCCTTCACGCTCGGTCGAGGATACTTTTTCCGTGCTAAGCTTAATGGAACCATCTGGGATTTTTGTAGAAATTGCTCTGGATATCCTGCCATTAAATTGAAATTGTACATCCACGATGTTGATGCTGCTTTAAAAACATTACACCATACTAAATGATACTTCTTGTTGATTAAATATTCCCAAGAGTTTGGTTTGTGAAGACTGTCATTGCCTGCATTGTAAATTAATTTTATTTATGTGCTATTTTATATCACAAGTATGCTTTATACCTTTTTGGTCCAATCCAAAGAAAGTGCAACGTTCTGTTAAATGCAAATTCCTCATCATCATACGTGACTCGATGTTTTCCAATTCATTTTGTGTCAAAGGCTTACTCTGCGGATGGTCACTTGACTGAACTGTGGTGTCATTTCCAAACTAATGAATAGAAAAAAAAGGTTTGATTCTCAATTAAAAGGAGATTTTATACCCAAAAATAAAGTCATTATTCATAAATTTGATATCAACGAGCATAGTCAACTGTAAATTGCTGCAAATTATCCAAACGGAAAATATTTATAAAGGACTAAAATTACAGGAAATTCCAATGAGGATATATTTTTAATGCGGCACTAATTAAATAGTGTTAAATTTCATATCATCATAATGTTTACCATTCATAGATTCATATGAGTGTAAAAAGGAAGTAAAGTTATCGTCTATTAATAGTTTAGTTCCCAGGAGAAGCCACATAATGTTTCGAACAGCTTGATGAGCTTAATAAATTAAAAACTTTACATTTTCTCTGCCTTTCCGTCTCATGAATTCTGTAGCATCTGGTTATTAATTATAATTGAAAGTAATTCAGTGGGTTAAAAAAAGTTATTCCTTTAAAGCAGCGTCTGCTGAACTCTGTGATTCGGTTCTTAATTGTTTAAGCTTGATGTTATTACAGCTTTCTACTTTCAAGTGCCACCATTCAAAATTAGTTCGTCAGACTCTCCTTAATAATGATTCTAACGAGCTGTGCTTGATAAAAATTATAGGAAAACTTTCAAAAAGGGAATGTCTGGTAATCAAAGCTGACATTAATGTCAAAGTTCATAATCAAATCAAATAGACAAAGCATATACAGCTCATTATATTCCTATCGCTTTCCAATCACATAAAATATGGATATAGTATTGAACGGTGAGAAAGTTATTTTTGGGTTGAAAATTATTGTACCAAATATTTAATGAAGCTATATTGTCATGTATGTTCCTTCGAATACCTTTTTTTTATCGCATTATTTCAATCATATTGTCACATTAATCAGTAAAGTAGAACTTTTTTTATGATCTTGCGTGAGTAAAAGCCACATGATTTAAAAAGGACGAGTATTGTGCTTGTTAGAATCGTATGGCAAAAGCAAATAGCGCAAAAATCCTTGTCCTTTTTTTAGACCTCCATTCCGTTATCGCTTAATGTCACTTTCATAATAATTTTTCATAGCGAGAAAGGAAATGAGAAAGTCACGCAAGTTTTCACGATAATTTTTATTTTATAAGTTCAGCTTTTGTTGTTAAAATAACACACAATGAAAATTTCATTTTTCTTTTTTTTTTTTGATGGAGAAATGACTTGTCCTTTACCAAAAAAAGAAAGAAAACTGGCGATAGTCTATTTTCGTATGACTTTGAAAATTTGGAAAATGACTATTGTGATTACAGTCGATTATGGTCGATTTAAGTAATTTTCATTGCTGTTTATTTCTGGCCTATAATTGATAGTGATGAAAATAAATCAATATTGTGGAAACAGCATAGTCATTTACGTAATTTTATATTCAATTGTCAATTAACCAAATTATAATGCAACTTTTTAACCATATTTATTCATTCTGTGGAATTTTTTATCACTTTTGATTTTATATTATCACAAGAGTTCTGCAGAGTTGTGTTTGAGGGTCTAGCTCCTTTGTTGTCGTGGAAAAGCTCTTTTTAATCACTTTTTGGCTCAAAATAAGCTAGTTTTTGCTACCAGCAATTAATATTGCTGCAATAACAGATATATGGAAAATTATACATTTGTCTACACTACAATTTAGTAAATCTATGTTTAAAAACCCATAAAATTAATGTTTATCACAATTGATCAATCTTGCTTTACTTGTGCTCACTAAACATCATTTAAAGCACATAAAAATGCAATCATATTTAAACCATAAAGTTTCATCAACAATAATTGTAATTTATCACTATTTTTTTTTATGGTGTCACACGCACTTTAAATCATAATCACAACATAACTCTAATAAATGATCAGCATGCAGCTGACTGACTGTATGACATAGGAGCGTAAATCGAATTAAAAATGCTGCAAGAGTGACAGGCAATTTAATTGCATTTGTAAAAGCTCTAGTTACATGCAATCTATCTGAGAGACAAGTTTAGGTTCAGGAAAATGAATAAATGAGCTAATGGGCAAACGTGAGCAAGAAAGTCTACTTTTTGCATCATAATTCAGCAACTGTCAATTAACTGGACATCTGTTCTTACTTACTACAACATTGATGATGAAGCTTGCATTCACAATTAGAATAATTTGGTCAAGTTTGTCTTCAATTTTGTGTAGTTTCTAGTAGTTTCCGTAAATTGCTTTGTCATTAGCTGATTGACGCCATATTTATCGAAGGTAATTTATGAAATCAGATCATGGCATAAGTAATATGTTACCTATAATAACGCAACCAGTGTTGCAAATGTAGATGTCTACACTAGATGAAGAATGTAGATTCTTCAATAGTTTTTGTCTAGCTAAGAAACTTTCTTCATAAAGATCGATTCTACATGTAGAAAGAAAAAAACCATCTACATGTAGATTGTGTCTACATATAGAATCTGTCTACATGTAGATTCGATGTAGATGTCTATAATTCTACATTTTTTTCCAGGTCTACATCAGAGAAGAATGTAGAATCGTAGACATCTACATTAAATCTACATGTAGACAGATTCTACATGTAGACACAATCTACATGTAGATGGTTTTTTTCTTTCTACATGTAGAATCGATTTTATGAAGAAATTTCTGTCTCAGAATTTATCTGATCCAGACAAATAGCCAGAATGCAACACTGAACGCAACAGAAGCTGAATCAAAATAAATGCAATGCTATTTACGGCTGTGCCCTCGAGAAAGTAATGCAGAAAAATGCATAAAAGAGAAAAATATCTTCGCGTTTGAATTAAGCACATTTTGCACGCGCCCAAAAAAAATATTGCGTAGCGTGAATATTTTGTTACCTTAATGTCGAGCACAACATTAATTTATTGATTGATCTGACGTTGAATTGAAGGAAAAATATATTAATGACAACCAATCAACGCATAGTGGAGTAAAGTCAACTACTTGATTGCCAAATCTCATAGTGCATAAATATATTTATTTATATGAGCGAAAAGTGATCTAAGGGATGTTTTAGTTGCAGTTATGTTTTTTCTTATAAAAGTGTGTATATTCTCATAATTAAGATCAGTCTGTGTACGACATTTGATCAGAAAATATGAAATTAACATTTGCATTAGTCGGTTTAGTTTGCTGCGGATGCATAGCATTGGCAGAAGAAGTTGTGGATAATAAACAAAAGAAACGTTCTATTGGAGATGACCTTTATGGATTTGGATTATCGGACACATCAATTTCATCCCACACACATACTCATACAACAGCTGTTGTCGATAGACCCGTACCTTATCCAGTTCCTATAACAACAACTAAATTTATTCAACCTGCCGTTACGAAAATCATCAGCCCAGCCATAACATCAACTAAAATCATTTCTCCATCAACATTTTCATCGGCATATACTTTAGGATCATCATATCCATCGTTATCGTCATATCCATCGTCATTATCATCATATCCATATTATGGTCTTGGATATGGAAAATATTATGGTGGTTTTGGAAAGTATAACTATCCTTCATTCACAAAATATCCAAGTTTTGGAAAATATTATTCATCAAGCGTCTATCCATCAATCTATTCAAAACCATCCTATTCACCATCAATTTACAAGTGGTAAAGTTTGAAAATTGGATGAATCTGAATGTTTGCATAATGCTCAATCATGTATTCATCTATTTTTGTTAATTTTTCTTACATTTAAAATTAAAATGTATTTTACTGCTCTATTAAGGGGGTTCGTTCATAAGTGATGTTTGCTTCCTTTGTCTTGTTCCTTCAAGTATCCTTAGTTCCAGATCCCAACACTCTTCCTTACTCCCTTCCTTAAATTCCAATTATTCCAAAGACGTCATTTCTGAACGCTTCCCGAGCAAATAACCCCATTTAGTACATTGAATCATTTTATATCCATTGAGTCATTACTTGATTTCAACTCACAAATGTATTCAAATATTATTCATAGTTCTTTTTTGATGTTTATCGTCGATGTGATTTTTTACTTTTTTATATGATTATAAAATGTTCTTGTTTATAGCAATAAAATAACTGTCATTCAAATAAATATGAAAATTTATGTGAATAAAAAGATTTATATAACTGAATTTTCCTCATTTTCCCCCGCGCGCGAGGCATTGTCAAATTATCAAGTACAAACCTCCCTACCATACTTTTATTATTGAATTACATTTATTTTCATTCGTGTCTCAATATAAAACGTAAAATTGATGTAGGACAAAATTTGATTAGCTGTTGGCACGCAAAAAAAAGTTTTGTATTTCTTCTAGCCATTCTCATATTTCTGCCGCTTCTACTCAACAAATATTTAAGCTCTTGTTTGTTTTTCTCGATGTTTGTTATAATCTTAGTTCGGAGAAATTTATTTTTGGGGTCATTCATGAATGATGTTAATGGTAAATTGGGATTCTTTTACATTGCTAGCCCTTTCCTAATGTTCGATATTATAACTGAATAGAATCCTTTTCAGGAATAATTGAAAACCTTTAGAGAATTCATTTAAACTAATTTCTCATTACCCCATTTATATCCAATCTCTCTTTCTCTCTCTCTGTCGATTCTATATTTGGGATGCTGGTTGTAATTGATTCTTCTTCATCTTCTTTCATTCTATTCCTTTTTCATTAATAGCCTTCCTTTGGATTACATTCCGAGAAAATTAAATCGAAACTTTTTTAGACCGAATTTAATTTTCATTATGAAAGAAACGATATCCATAACAGCATTTAAGGTTGTTATTAGAATTGAATGAGAAAGTTTATAAATTGGAAAAAAAATCAAATCTCTTTTATAAAGACGATAATGGAAGGAGGATTCAAAGTTTCTTTTTGAATGAACAGAAATAAAAAGCATCATAAAGGATGTTCAAACAGTAAATCTTCTTTTTTACTTGGACAAATTGCAAAATTGATGAATAACCGAAGTTCAGATATGATGATTTTAAATGGGTTTAAAAATAATATATAGTTTAATTGGAAAGCAGAGGAGATGAGGCATTGTTAGAAGAATGTTGAGGGTTGGATCTCAGGCTTAACTATAATCAACTAAGTGCTTTGCTGTTCAAATTCACTAAATCAAAGTTTTCTCAACTTTCCAATGACTCTTGACTCACAAAAATACCCGAAATCCAAAGAAATAAATTTTTAGGTTCCATTTAAAAGATAAAATCATTTTAATTACTGTTGATTACGCTGTGGTTTACGACACAATTCTAACATTTTCGAAATTATATTGTACAATCTAGTTTCATTACTAATGCTATTACATGACTTGAGTCATTATTTTATCTTCACATTGTTCTCGTGAACTACATGCCACCCATCAAGACTGGAATTTGACAAAGTCATGTCATGAGTCATGTAAATCTGATGATGAATTTTCAAATCATCATAAAAGGCGCCAGCGTTAATGAAACAACATAAATTATAAAAGCCATGATAGAATTCTTGCAATATTTTTGTTAAATTTAATTTAGATAATGGCACTTCAATGATGGTCATGCAAGATAAGCATCAAATTGAGTCCAAATCAATACATCGGTTGTAAATCAAGCTTAAATTCCTGTTCCTTGTATGGTTAAGTTGTGAGTCAAAAGATATTTTAGCTTAAAAAGTGCTTTTATTGCCTCAATTACGATGAAAATGTTCAAGAAATAAATTTAATGTGCATGAAATCAGAAGTAGTAAATTAATTTCCTTATCTTACTGAAAAGCATGAAAAACTCTTGCGTAGCTTCAAGGCAATTGAACTTTTTGAGTATTTAATTAATCGTAACATTGACAACTTTAATGACAGATTGATTAAATTACTATTGACTGATAATAATTAGCCTGATGACCCAATGAAATGTCGTACTTAGTCGATGTGCGATATCAAGGAAAAACTTTTACTACCGTCAGTTGGTCTGATATGAATAATATAAAAATTATTAGCATTTTTTACATCGCATGTCATGTAAAAGAACTGCCTGTACTGATGAAAGTGCGTTATAATATGATTATAGTTATAAAAAGTCGTGAGCTTTGAAATAATTAAAATTGCATTAAAGTTGTTAAGTTGTGTGATAACTTGATATCTTTTTTTGTTTCTGCTGTCATTGTCCCTCACAGGCATAACATGAAACTTCATAAATCCATCAAATGCTATGCACTTTCGATGATGTAATATTTCGTGTATATGCGTAAACAGCAATTGAACATGTTTATCTAGTCTAGATTCCAATTGAACCATAAAGAGTAAGCTAGTTAGTGCAAAACTCCCATCATTAAATTGGCCTTCAAAGGTATGCAGAGACATAAATGCAAGAAAACATAAAATGTGAATGAATCGAGCGAGTCGTGTAAGCACAAGAGACAGTCAATGATGGATAGAAGTCAGTCATAAATATTACATGATTTGATGCAAGGCATCAAATTACATCTCTCACATGCAGTTGACAATTTTTCTTTCTCTCCTGCTATGCATTATTTGAAATTCCATTACATTGCATAACATCAGTCAGTCTCTTTTTTGCCATGTTTTGCTCTTATTTTTGCACTTTCAGTTGTGATATGACTGCTGTGAGCATTATGGGGGTTGTTTTGTGTATGACGTCAAGCATTTAGAGGAAGGGGGTGATTTGCAGTTTTGAGATACTGTTTATGATATGATGTTATAGCAAAGAAGTGAACAGGATGTCAACATTTTAAAAGATATCATTTACAATCGACCCTCAAACGGAAATATTTGTTTTCTTCTTTCGTTTTCGTTGTCTATATTTTTTCTGACTACATTGATGCTGTGTGTGCAGCTTGTGATGTCAAAAAAAGTCATTTTTCCGACTTTCCCTACTACTTCTTTTCTGCATTAACAAAATCTTGTGCATTTTTGATCCAAATACATATTTATGACCTAATGCATGTCTTTACTTATTATGTCGACCATGATATTTATGTGCAAAGACATTTGTGTGTACGCACAATTTCACATAATAGCCATACACATTTATTTGCCTACTCTTTTCTTTCTCTCTTGTTGTTGGACGGGGGATGATATTCCTTTTGATGAATAGGTAGATGACTTGGAGAAATGCTTTTTTCATCTACTCAACTTTCGATATAAAAATGAAATCAATTGCTTGGAAAATTATCATTCAACATCTGCATTTCGTAGAAAGAAGTTCAATCAATTCATTTAACAATTGTGTGTGCTATTCATTGCCTACTCCAAGTGACTTTATCTTGTGTGAAAAAATAAGTAAATACCAAAACAAAAAATAATCATGAAAGCAATTCTTGGATTACTATTTGTGCTCTACTGTGTCGCTGCTGATAATTCACAGTCGAAGAATGTAGAACAATCAAAACAAGAAAAGAGATCCTTAACTCATGGAGGCTTGGATATTGGATTGCCCGCAACATCGTATGAGTCTTCGCCATCATTTGGCTCATATGCACCTTCTGCATCGTTTGGACATTCATTTAGCTCCGGACCGTCATTTAGTTCCGGACCATCAGTTTCATATGGACCTTCAGCATCATTTGGACCATCATTCAGTTCCGGACCATCATTTAGCTCTGGCCCATCATTCAGTGCAGGTCCATCAGTTGTCTCAGGCGAGATTCCTGCTTCAATTCCATCAGGCGCAGAAGGAGCAGTTTTGTCAGGTGGAGCTTCTGCTGTCGGAGTTTCTACAAATACAAATACATTGACGACAATCAACCAAAGGGTTCCAGTCCCAGTTCCAGTTTATAGAGCTGTTCCAGTTGATAGACCAGTTCCATACCCAGTCATCAAGAACGTACCAGTCAATGTTCCAGTGTAAATAATTCAAATTTTGAATTCATGATTGTTTTTGTATTGAAAATCGTTTCTTAACTTTTTCTAGTCCACAACCATACCCAGTTGAGGTTCTTAAGCACGTTCCAGTCGACAGACCATACCCAGTTCCAACACCAGTGTAAATATTCTGATTCGAAAATTATTTTTAAAAGTATTCTGAAGTTTTGAGTGATATGAATTTAGTGGAGCTTTCATTCTGAGTTTGTAAAGTAACAAGAATCTTCTGCTTTTATTATTCATACTCTGAAGTGTGGCTGCTTTAATAATTTTAAATCACTCAAAGTCATTTTATGATTTTCGTATTTTATAATCATTTCACTTTCTCAACAAAAAAATATTAGACATGTCCCTGTCGAGGTTATTAAGCATGTTCCATTCGAAGTCGTTAGAAACGTTGATCGTCCTGTGTAAGATAAAATTCCTTAATATTCTCTAGAACAATTGTTGATAGTATTATCACACTTTATAGCCCATATCCAGTTGAAGTCATTAAACAAGTTCAAGTTGATCGTCCAGTGTAAGTTTAATTAAACTAATTTCAATTGCCTCAAATTAGTCTAATTGCTTTTTGATTTAAATCTTACAGACCTGTTCCAACACCAGTGTAAATATTAATTCTGTTTTTCTTAATATGAAATTTTACACTATTTGTGAAATTTCTCAACACAAATTAAATCTAAAATAAATGTCTTTCAATTCCAATTCGATAGTCATGTCCCATACGAAGTTGTCAGACACGTACCTGTCGATCGCCCAGTGTAAGTCCATTAGTAATATTAATGCTCATTACAGTCTCATTGATAAAAACGTTTTTGCTTTCTTTTTCAAATCTACAGTCCATATCCAGTTGCTACACCAGTGTAAATATCTTTGACATAAAAATAGACATAGCTATGAGCATTTTTGAGCATTTCGAATTTTCTTTTAATGAAACAATTTCGACTTGAAAATTTCATTAAAATGAAAAGCTTCAAAAGTGCTTTTAAGCTCTCATTATTTTTTACCTAAATGTGTTCTTTTCAATTTAATTTTTTTTTTGTTCAAATAACGCAGTCAAGTCCCAGTTGATAGACCAGTTCCATAGTAAGAGAATACTTTCTTTCATTATGCTTAATAGACGTTTTTTTTTTCGTAATTTGCAAATTTTCACATTTATTTTTATTATTATAGCCCAGTGCCTTTTGAAAGACCATCCTTGCCATCATACTCACTCTTAAAAACCGTCCATTACTCATCACCAATTCATTCATTGAAGTCTAAATTTTTGGGATGGTAAAGTGGGAAGATTCAGTCATGTGCCATAACTTCAAATAGTATTTTAAGTCCACATTTTTTACTCAGTTAATCAGTATATAAGCTACAAAATGATATTATTATTCCTTTTATTATACGTTAATCTCTGTTGTGATTTTATTCTCATAGTGCTGTAATACCATTTTTAATATAATAAAGCGATAAAAAGGTACCAAAATAAGAAGATTTGAATTATTACTTTTAGTTAAGGCTTTGTATCACAATGTATTTAATTTTCCGTCCTCACTCAAGATTTATATTCTCAATGCTTGTATACAATTATCTTAAAGTCTCTTCCTTTTAAAGGAATTTCTTGTTATTGCCTCGCTTAAATTGTTGTTACATCCTCAAATGTTTACTTATTTTCGACAAGAAAAGAAGAAAATCTTCTTGACTTTTTCGCAATAAAACAAAAAAAAATCTTTCATCTCACGAAAGTGCACTTGGAAAGGATAGAAAATCTTCTTAATGTTTGGGTGACCATCTGGTATATTTTGAGTAGGATTTCTATTATTAAACTAGGAATTTCTTTAAAAAATTATGATTATATACTCAACATTGCTTATAAGATTCTGAGATCTACTAAACTTATTTCCCGTTTTCATCAAAAACAGATAGTCATCTTACTTATACATCTCTTCGACTGCCAAAGGGATTTTTCACTTCGAGTTGCAGGAAAAGTTTTTACTTTAACAAACATTTAAGGTTTAAGAAGAAAAGTCTTAATTAAAATCGTTCAAGTTCATGATACAATAACGGTTTTCTGATCTTCTGGATCTTAAGTTCATACTTCTTGGAATCAAGAATCATCTTCTTAGCGTAGTAGAAGAAGATGTATAAATTTTAATATTAAGGCAGCATCATTTATGCTTCTATCTGTAAATATTTTCCGCTAATGAGAAATTTATTGGTGCTAAAATTAATTGACCATATATGTACGAAAATTACATTTTTTACTGCCGCTGCTGGTCGTGTGCTATGAGCAGTTTATCAAATTTAGATCTATAATAATTTGTCTCATAATCACAAATCCGAGAACACTAAATATATATTCATCATTAATTAGCAATATGTTTTATGACACTTAATTTGCAATTTTGATAATCACATCGCGAGTATGTGTCGAATCAATAAACTGTAATTTGTAATGTGACAGCTTATTGAGTTTCATCAGAATTGCTTGACATCTCCTCGAGTGTTTTCTTACACTTGGGTATTTACATTGCGAAATAAATGTAATTTTCTGTTGATAGCGTGAATTTTAGGTGGCTGAGGCTGCCTCGTGTACATTTTGATAAAACACTTGACAAAATATTTAACTTCATAATCTGTTTTAGATTGTTTAAATAAAATATCTCAAGGCGATTTGACATCCAGGTTCCCATTTTGCAGGAGCTATTAGCAACGAATTAAAACAGATATTTGCTAAAATTTAATAAAATGATGAATGTTCGACACATCATCAAAAATGCGTTCTGTATTACTTTTCTGCTGCATGTTTTGAGCAGAAAAAGTTATGATTAACTTGAACTCATAGTAAAGGAATTCCAAATATGCAATAATCATTTGACATCATCTGCAATTACAGAGTGCATGCCTTAAATCTAATATGGTAGGTCAATCTAAAGAGAACTACGATGATGAATCGTATAAATACTAATATGTTGTGCAGAATATCCATCATTTAGTTTGTGATCAGTCGAGTGTTAAGTGAATCCAACAAAAAAAAAATGATAAAAGTTATTGTAAGCATTAGTTTCAGTTTGAAATGATAAAGAGAAAAAAAAAATCCCATAAAAATCAAACTTTTTCTCGCTTAGATTCTAGTGCTCATGATAGCCGTCGGAACATTTGCGGCTGGCGATACGAAAAATGGCGTCAAAGCAAAGCGAGCATATTCCCTAAATTATGCTTATCATCCCGTAACATACGATCACGACTTTATTGCTCACGCTCCAACTCATGTTGTTCATCACGAACCCATCATATCTCATGCTGCCTTAGCTCAACCCATTGTACAAGCTATTCATGCCCCAGTCGTTGCAAAAACTTCAGTCGTTAGTACAAGCGTCCATCATGTACCGTCAGCATCATATATTGCGACACATCATGCTCCACTTGTCTCATCAGCTTATGTGGCACATCCACCATCTTTTGTACACACATCCCCGTTCCTTACTGAATTTCATAAGCGTTAATTGAAAATAGGAGGATTGTGTTGCGGTCTCGCATATGAGCGAGTAGGATAAGGAACTTATATGAATCTCAGTATTTGTATAATTATAAATCATCATTAATCAAAGCATAAATAAATAAATGAAGGAAGTGGAAGCTTCTATGTAACAGTTTAAAGCATACTCATTGATATCAAATTTCAATATTTAATCGTAATTTCTAGCATGAAGTTGTTCGTGAATTACGTAACTCTTTGAACAAAATTGTATGAATATTGTTCCATAAATTATAAAATTCTGCATTACGTAATTTCCAGACAACTCCAAATATTATTATTCATACTCACGTCATAATTCTTAATCCTATTGATTTGGTCGGTACTAATTAAGTAAATAAGTGCAAATGGAAGAAGAGAAACGGCACTAAACACCATTAAACATTTCACTAGACAACGCTTCATTACGCGACATTGTGTTCGGTTTCCTCTCATGAAATGTTAGTTTTTGCTCCGTTCTTGTCGATTACTGGTTGACTATTGCTTGTAGTTTATCTTCTATTGTTGTATTACACTGTATGATGACCGTACGCTTTATTTTGTAAATGTTTTGCTCTTTTTTTATTGGAACAAATGGCATGTGATTTGTATTGAAATGAGAATACTAAAAAGATTCAATTTTTTTGTAGATTTAAATTTTTTTTCTGGTTAAATCACATCGAGATTCTGATTATGCATTTATGATAATTGACACAACTTTATACACATCTCAATTTCGTGTTTGTCTCTTTTTTTATTTTTTGTTTTGATCAAATAAATTGAAACTCGCTTTTTATCGTTTCCAATTCACTGCACCTTCAAAATCTGGCAGCTAGGCCTATGAAGAAAAAAAAAATCGATGATTTAAAAAAAATGTGTTTAATATTTTTTGTGTAGAACAAATGTGCTTTATGTATTCATTCTAATTGACTGGCTTCTGTCGTATTTTTGATTTTATTACCCAGAATTTATCAAGAATTATTTCGTCGTGTGTACTCAAATTCAAAGGTATCATTATTTAAAGCAAGAATAAAAAATGCGTCGCATGACTACACTTTTTGGCAACATATTCTCAAGAATATAAACTTTATAAAACATATTATTGAAAAAATAAATAGAATGTATGAAAATTTGTTTTCCGACAGCAATTCAGAATTACAATTGAATTTGAAGGAAAGGATATGACGCACGGGGAACGAAAAGAATGAAAGAAGGCATGAAAAATCGATATAAGATGAGATTTATTTTCTTTAACAATATTATAAGAGACACAAATCGCTTCCAAAACGTAAAATCAAATTGAGATTTTCTGTAATTTTCCTTCCGTTGAATGCATAAGTGGAAAATAATGTAGATCAATTACGATTGAACAATTTAATTTTTCATTCCTTGATCCAATTGATGAACGAATTAGAATTGGAATGTCGACTCAGAAAAGGTTGCATGTGTCATGCACTTTCGAATGGTTTTGTGTGCTTATCTTGTAGCATTATAATTTATAGCTTACGGTCATTTAAGGGCTTTTGAAATACAAATATTGCTTATTGCTACTTGTACGGTATACAATGAAGGATATCAGATCAACATTTTTGTGTATAAACATATATGTTGAAAATGAATTTATGGTCCTCTCCTTTTCTTGATTAAATATTTTTGCTACTCTGCATATGTTCCCCCATTTGTAGATCCCTTGCACATAATTCAGGAAACTATTGAATCAGTTTTTGTTACATTAATCAAGGTTTTGTATGATTTTAGTAGTTGATAATTATAAGGACTCGAACGCACGTCTCACGTTTCTAGTTTCAAGATTCTTTCAATGAACTATTCAATATTGCTTTCTTGGATGGCTTATTTCTATATTTAAGTTGCCTTTTATATCGGCCATCTATTCACAGGAGAGTCAACCTCAACAAAATTATTTAATTTAAGTTTTAAGGATAAAATTCTATATTTGAATCTTTTAAAGTAATATTTTATGTCCAACTTTCTCTGAAAGGGACTGAAATTTATATAATACTCATGGATTTTATGTTCATTGCTATTCAGCTTGTTTGTATGTCTACATAATTTATTTGATGTACATTTGTTGCTGTTCTCACATCCACTTTAGGTCACATTTGCGTGAAAGCATCGAAAATAAAAACTGTCACTGATTGATTTTTTGCTAAATATCTCACCACATCATAAGGAAGTGAACGTAACTTGACAAAACATTTGTGAGTGTTTGGGACAAATAAAAAGAGAACATCAAATGTGATGTGTTCGTGACGAAAAAAAAAGAGCGTAAATTTGTAATATTTTTATAAATTAAGTTTTAGAAAGATAAAAATATACAAAATTTGTTTTCACTTTTGACGTAACTATTAAAAATAGCGCGAATGTCTTTGATAAATTTTTCTATTTTCATTTTGTGTGCCTACATATCCAATTTTTGAGATATACAATGTGAAAAGAAGAAAATCTTCTCATTTCACATAAAATTTTCAAAATAAAGCAGTCAACTTGTTTCTATAATTTATGATCTACTTTGATATGGTTTCATCGCTTTCATATGACACAAGTTTATTCATCAAAAAATTTGTTAATACTCTATAATAAAGTTAGAATTAACATGCCAAAACATATTTTTTCAATCAAAATTGCGTCATTTAAAAACCAATTAATTTTGTAGCTTCATCAACTAATTTTTCAATTATTTGATACAAATTAGCAGCTGAATATGAATGACAGTTTTTCGAAACGTGATCTGGATTAATTGAACGTGAAAAATTGGGAAAATGTGTTGCGGAACATGTCAAATGGATGAGGTTGCATGCATAAATTGTGAAATAATAAGCTGTTGTTGAGCTTATCATTTTGTGGTCGTTCATTAACGTATCCTTTTAAAAATTGAAAATCTTTAAATTTCTTCTTAACAATTCAAGCCCCTTCGCTCAAAAGATTTCATGCTATGACTCTACAAAGCTCCCTCCCCTGGTTAAACTTCTTTTTTATCTCCATTAAATATAAAATGCCATAAATTAATGACTCCGTTTATTAATTTTCATCAAAATAGAAACTTTTTATTTAATCACCAAAATCTACGCATCCAAAAACCTTGAAATGCTTAAAATGACAAATTTTTATCTCTCCAAACTAGAGGATTCATAAAATAAACTAGAAAATAAATTTTTGACATTAAGAGCATACAGAACATTTTAATTCAAATGTAGGTTGGAAGACATCAAGTAAATTCAGACTTATTGAGAAGATTTATTTGAATTTTCATCAAAAGTAATTAAGACAAAATTTTCTTCTAACAGAATTCCTCGAGAATTTCGTAGCTGGAAAATGAAGTCACATAAAGTCGACTTTCATTATGTGCTGAAAATTCTTTTGTGAAAAAAATTCTGCTTGCTTCTACACATATTTTATGTCTAAGTGAATCTATATGTATATCATTATTCTTATCAAATTCTTATGTATGCTTACTAAGTCGAGAACATTAAAGCCACCGACTTTCTTTTTTCCCATCAATTTCTCGTCTTTATGTCTTGTACGAGGAACAACAAAAAAAATATATATTTATATGAGAAGATAACAACAAAAGTCATTATTTCGACATTGAAATGGCGGTAGCATAACTGAATGATGATGAGTGAGTGAAATTTTTTATCGCGATGATGCAATGCTAAAATATTCTCGTAAAAAAATTATGAAAAAAAAGATTCTATTGAGACTAAAGGCTTATTTATATCTGACTTTTTGATACTCTGTCATCTGCTGAATAGATAATTGTGAGAACTTTTTATCGTTTTATTTTTTCACGCGATAGCTGCTTTGCTCTGCGAACCATTATCGCATAATTTAATATTTGCACATTTATTGAATGAGATCTTCTTGATGATTAAAGTTTATTGAGATTATGGTCGTGAAAATGGAATCAAATGGGAAGCAGAATTAGTTTTGATGTCTTATCTTTATTCATATTTGCGTGTCAAAGTGCCGTAGGTCTAGATTTGAGTGCTAAAGTCCTCTAAGCCCTTTACATTAATACTAAGCCAAGGTTTGAACAGCTCAAGTTTATTTTCTTAATAAATTCGAATCCTAGTCTGGATTTAAAACTGACCTTACATAATTAGTAGCTATCCACAGCGGTGGACTCAGAGAAGAAAAAATTCTGCTAAGAATATACCAAGATATCAAGAACAGTCGCGAACCAACATCAAATCAACGAGTCACAGTTATTAAAAAGTTTTTTCTTTCTTTTCTTTTTATTCTAAAAATAATCAACCTCAATTTGCTGACTTGTGCATTGTGTAACTCAACAATGTACAACTGTTACTGATTTTTCATCGTTTAGAAAAACTTTATAAGGGTGGAATTACATTGGGAATAATGAAAAAGTGTCACTTTGCTTTCATAAACATTTGTCATGATTTCACATTAGCTTACTAATCAATTTTATTGTATTTCATATTGAACATTTCCCACTGTTTAGACTTACAAAGTACGTGAAATGACAACAAGTTCTAATCAGTTAATTACGATTTAATGTAAATATTTATTGTTATGTAATTTTCACGATATTTAAAAAAAAATCTATTGCTGGTTAATTGAAATTCAAATATTTAAACATCACGTGTATAAAATTGTAAATTTAATGTATAAACAAAGTAATTATACTGATATACAAAAGCTACACAGTGCGGTATGTACATACGATATCTAGTTGAAAGCAATAAGTTTACTGGGCAAAGTGCCAAAAAAATTGAACATTTATGCAAGAGCGGCTCCAAAAAAAAATTGGAGAATCTTTTGCTATTGTTTTAAGGTTTGTATGCTTAGGGCTTTTAGGCTTTGACGCTTCTCTTACTTAAGAACTTGGATGAATTAAAAAAGTCATCGTGCATTTATGCCCCACGCTTTTAAAGTCATTGTGTTCTAAATCGCTATATATTGATGTAATAGTTGCCTCAAGAAAAGTTTATTATCCTAATTCGCTAAAAGTGCGATATTATTTTATTTTTAACTTTTTGAATTTTAGTCTTTTTGAAAAAGCTAGTTTTTTTTTAAAAAAAAGATTTTTTGCCGTTTTTTTTATTTTATTGATTTTTTCTGTATTTATTTTGATTGAAATTTAACACTTTATGACTTATACTTAAATAGATAATAAAAACAGGGAAGGTGATTTAAATTATGCGAGGTCAGCAAAAAAATCAGCTCGGTTTCTTCTCAGAGATGAAGGTAAATTATTAGTTGCAGCAGTTCTGTTAGGTTTTGCATTGTAAGAGATTGAGTCAAAGTCCTCAAAATATTTAATGTTCCAAAAACGCACATCATTATCATGTGAACTGGTTGCAATAAATTCACCATCATATGAAATGTCCATAGTTTCAACAGCTAATGAATGCTGTCCAACAACGCCTAAAATACGACCAGGAAAAAGATGCATTGCTCTTATGACTCCTTCTTCGCCAGCTGTAATTGCAATTCGTTCTGTAATTGGAATCATCATTGAGATTGGTGTTGAAGGACCAGTAAAAGAATCATTATGATATCCAAATTCGCCCCAATTAAATGTATAAAAGTTTCCTTTAGAAGATCCACAAACGACTTTACTCTCATTTCTAAAGATCCCGGAACATGTGAGTTCTTCATCATACGGTTCTGATTGAACATACATTTTTTTTGAGGCAATATTAAGTGTTGTCATTAATCCATCACCGCTTGTACAGACCAAAAGTCGTTTCTGATTATTTGTAGTAATGCTTGAAATATAATCTTCAACTTCTTTAATACTAAAGACTGGATCACTTCCTCTGTTTCTCAAGTCCCATAGTTTAATTGTTCCTTCATCATCACCAGTAACAATGAGATTTTCATCGATTACAGTAAGAGTATAAATCGGTTCTTCATGTGCATTATCCCAAAATCTTTTAAATTTACCAGTTTCAAAGTCTGAAAGAATTATTGATTTGTCACGTGAGGTAGAAAATAATGCAAGACCATCAGTACTAAACTCAATATCTCGAACAGCTTTACTATGAATTTCATGTGTATAAAGGAGCTTATTTTCTTCATTTTCATAGCGATAGATTAAAACATCGCCAGTAATTGTGGAAATCGCCAGGATATTTTGATTTGGATGAAATGATAGGTCTGTTGGATAGTCTTCTGTATCGATATTTGGTGGTTTTGATCTAGGCTTTTTAATTTCAGCAATAATTTTTCTCACAACTTCGTCACTTTCATCATTTGGATCATAATCATCAATTACTCTTCTTGTAGATGTTGTTGGACGTTCCTCATTATTTTCTGTTGGTTCCGGTGGTGCTTCACTTTCACTATCACTATCTGATTCCTGTTCATTATTAGAATTATACATTGAACTGTCTGATTCTTGACCTGTATAAAATTCATCGTCATCGGTACTTTCGTTATTCATCATTATTATGCGCTCTTGATTAAGAATGAATTCGTCTCCTAATAAATTATTAATTTCTGACTGTTCGCCTAAGAACTCAAGAATCCCCTCAACTTCATCAATTTCCTCGTCGTCTACTAATTCGTCTCTGTTTCCTGGATGAAAATCATGCCTGCATTAAATTTATAACAATAACAATTACTCATAATGATGAAATAAAATTTAAATGAATTAAACTTACATTTTATAAACTTTACATTTAGTTTTTCAAAATGTATTCTCAGGATTGAGCGCTTCTGTTGACTTTTTACGCAACAAAAAATTCACTGGATGTATTTTCAATAAGAAAAATGCGGAAATTTTAACCAAATTTTTTTATTTTTTTATTAAAACAGCTTTAATCTCGTATGATGCAAATATCTTTTAAATATATTGATAAAACTCGACGATAACAGTAGAAAAGTAATACAAATTGCCTAGTAAAATAGTTTCAATCACGCTTAATTTTAATTCTCTCACTTTTGTTTATATCTTTTTTTGAAACTTCCACGTTCTCTTTTTATGAACTTTTTCTCAAACGATTTTTTAAAATTCAAATTATTGATGAACTATTTTGCGTGGAAGTCGATAGTGAATAATCGTGCGAGATATTGAAATTAATAATTAACGGATCAAGGACAGTCTGACTAATGTTTTTATCATAGAATGTGAATTAAGTGTAAATAAAAGATGATTCTGCAAAAAAAAAAATAATAACCGAAATAAGACAAGGAGTGCAAGAAGAAAATTTATCTCATTCCAAGTGTTTTTATGTAGTGCACATTATAGGTAGTAAGTTTTATTCATTTAAATCATTTATTTTATGATCCAAGAAAATAATTTGAAATGTCACACAAAATTCTATAAAGTGTTAATTACATAAAAACCAACTCATTATGCTTCTATTTTGTCATAAATGTTCTTCAAATGCATCAATAGTTGTCTTATAAGTGTCCTGATTCATGCTAATATTATTATCAAAAATTATATGTTGGGATTTTTTCTCAACGGAAAAAAATATTTTAAATTTTGCACTTACACAATCAAAACGTCAAAAATTAATTTTTTTTAAATTCTCAATAATTCAATAACTTTGGGTCGTTCACTTATGACTTCCGAATTTAACGGTCATTTTTCATAAAAGAACAATGGACTTCCAGGAATTTCTATTGTTCTATTCTTGCTGACCCCCCCCCCCCCCCCAAGTTTTAAATAAGTAAAGCATTTGATATTAAAGCTATTCTATATATTCGAGAAGCTTAAGGGGCCATTCACTTATTACGTAACGCTTTTAGGGGGAGGGGGGGTCTAAGATTTTGTTACGATTCAAACAAGGAAATTTTTTTTTCATACAAATTTTGTTACGAGGGGGGGGGGTCTAAGAAGTCATTTTTTCGCGTTACGTAATAAGTGAACAGCCCCTAAGGGCAATTCCATGAAACGATTTGTCTACAAATTTTTCTCCAAATTGATTTTTACATCTTTAGACTATTCTACTGCATATAAGCTTTTTGTAGGTCATTAAAAACATCATTTTCTATTTAATTGACTGAAATTTTCATACTTAAAGTGGTTAATTAAAGAATTATTTCAATTCTTTTGGCGTTACTTAGTAACACAATCGAAGAAAAAATAATTTGGAGACTCACTTAAAGTGATTTTTCTTTCCTTTGCGCAGTTTTTTAATAATAAAGACTGTCACAACTCAAAGATTGATAATCAAGCTACTAAAATCTAGCATTAAATTAACTCAAAAGTGCTTAATTAAGCTACAATTTTAATTTCTATGTGACTTAAAAAAATGTTACTAAGTAACGGAGAGATTTAATCCGTGAAAAAATACAGAATTCAAAATTATAAAATTCTATTTTTTTAATGTATCTTTTATTAAAGTAATGTTTAACTAATCAGAATTACTCATTTTAGGATGAAAAATAGTTTAAGTTGAGTAAAACATTAAGAAAATAAGAGTATAAAGAAATATTTGAAAAATAATATTTCTTACTTAATAGACTTGGATCAAACTCAAATGTAAACAATGAAACTATTTCATGGAATTGCATGTTGTGCAAGTGAAAATTTCATGTTTTTCAAATTTTATTTTTATTACGGTTTGTTTGTAAACAAACAAATTACAATCGAAAAAAATTCAAAAATAAAATAAAACCGTTTAATGTTTTTAACTTAATTTTGTTCATTTAAATGTGTTTTAAAAAGACTAAAAATCAAAATTTCTAAAATAAAATTAGATCATACTTGTCTTTACTCTTTTTGGTAAAATCCTGATTTATGCAGTCAGATCTGCTTAAAATATCAAGTTGGTGATTAATAGAAGAGAGTCGCTTCTAGAGATTTTAAAGTTTTATGATGAGTATAAAAACTAGTTTTGTACATCAAATTGTTATCCAATGTCTAGAGACTTAAAATTCTGGAATATTGCTTTATAAGTTTTGGTTTCTGTACCGTATTGGTAAAATGTCTTCGTCGTTGAAACTTAATAATTTTAAAAAATTTTCATCAATGGAACTATTACATCGGATATTCAATTTAAGAACCAGTTCTAACGTATGAAATTGAATTTTTATGTTATTGATTTTTAAAACGAATTCAAAAAAAATTCAAGGAAGCACACTTGAGTTCAGAGACTTCACATATCGTTTATAAATGTAGCACAAATAATTATGATTTAGAATTGCAGACAAAACCATTAAAAAAACTTTGAACTAAGCAAAACTGTGCCACAGATAGAAAAAGTTTGACAGATACTAATCTAACCAGTTAGACATCAAACTATTCATGCAAATTTCCTTATAAATTTGCATGCGGCTACAAGAAGAATTAAACGTCATTCGCCAAACAATCAACTGACTATAAACATTCTTAATTTATTTCATCGGAATCTCGTTTTGTTGTTGATAAAAAAAAACCCAAAACCAAAAAAGTTGCACGTGAAGTCGATAAATAATGCAGATATACTTTTCAATTGCATCATGGAAATACGCTAAAGTTTAATGCATATTCAAGAGCGAGAGAAAGAATAACAAGCAAAAAATTATAGATTTTTCTTCCCACTACTGAATGTTTCATTCACTGCTTAAAATTTCCTCCTTTTTCCATTCTTTTCATTCTCATCTTTTTGCATCATACAATAATATAAAAAGCAAGAAAATTGGACCTAAATTCATTGTGGGGAGAGAAACGACGACGAGAAACTTTTTTGTTTCCTTTCACTTTACCGCAAAACAAGAAATTAAATTGTCAATGTTTAAGAATCTTTCTTCCAACGACTAAAAGCTAAGTGCTGTCGGACTTATTTGCATTTAAGTAACACGCCAAACAAAAAAAAAGTTCAAATGTTTACAAAATAAATTTCACTGCACTGCTGTCAAAACCTTACTTTTCTTTCTTCTGTTTTAAATTATTATTTTTTTTTGTGTTTCATTGAAAAAGAGGGAAAAAGTCGAGAGAAGAAAAATCTTTTTTTTTTCTATAAATTTTCCCTTTTTCACAAATTCCGTCAACAGAAAGGACTCGCTTATTTTTTGATTTTCACGTCTTTATACTCAAACGGCCCAATGAAAACTGAAAATCTCTCTATTCTACACATAAAAATTGAAAATTGAGCGACAAAAAAACTTTACTTTTTTTCTCCATTCGGGTTCTATGTTTCGGAAAAATGTGCTCATCGAGAATTCTCAAAATTGATGAGCTAGTTGCGGTATTTTAGAATGACACTATAATTTGATACTGTCAAGTGATAATGAGAATATTAAATTACTAGCTTTGATAGTCTACTTCCGATTGTTAATGGTAAACAATTCATTTATTAATGTTATTAAAATTATAATAAAATATAATTAAGTGTCAGTCGATTTATTTAAGAGATATTTATCATATGCTGATAGCGGGTTCGGAGAAGAAAAAAAAAATAGAGAAAGAGAAAATAAAAATTGCGCATGCCTTGATACAATAACAGTAACACATTGCACGGCGTGTATGAGAAGGAATGAAAAAAAAAATGAGGAAGAAGAAACTCTTACGATATAATACGTACTTGAGAGGAATAAGAATATAGGGTACGAGCATATAAAAAAGCTTTTAATTCATAAAAATTTAAGCTTGACTCAGCATTTTTGAATGTATTTGTTTGTAGTTGTTTCTAAGTTTGAGCTTTACATATCTCACACCTCTTTCGTTGTTCATTCAAAAACTTACTGAATAAGAGTAATGTTCTTGAATGAATGAAGTTATCCATCCATACTACTTGAGCTATTTCTTTTCTCCCCTTTCCACCAAACTGATTGATGGCGGAATGAATGATTGATTGATTATATCACTTTTATTTATATTTTATCTACTAACAGGGTCATAAAAAGATTTTGATTCCTTTTTTGATACTTATGCTGAATTATCTTTTATACATGAATTGTCATTTTCATAACTTAAGTTGTTTCTTTTTTTGGATATATTGATATGAAGGATAGTAAAACGTATTTTCATAAAATCGCCTAATATTGACAAAGTTTGTTCAGTTGTGTTTTTGTTTATTCTGCACACATGTCATTGAAACATTCAGTAAATAAAGAACAGTCAGTTTGGATTAGAAATTTGAATTGAATATTATTTTCAGCTGACTTGGCACTTTTTTTGTAGCTTTTTATCTTGTTGGGATTATTCAAGTTCTAGATGATAATTTTGGCAGGTGGTGTCTCGAGTTTCGAACTTGTCTAGATTATACTTAGTTTGATTACTAGTAGAGAACCAAAATCCCCCAAAACCCTTCCAAGCTTCTCTCCTTAGAAAGGATTTTCCAACAATAAACAACTTAACTACAAATCACCAAGAATTAATCAATTTTCAATCATTTCAATTTTATGTTATCTTAGCAAAATACTCTGAAGGTTATCAAAATTACGAATAATCCCCACAAAGTAATGGACATTTGTTTATCAAATCCATTCATTCACTGATAAGTGCTATCTAAATAAAGCTATCAACAGGAGAAGAATAAAAAGAAAATATATCGATAATGTCGTCATGAAAAAGCTTTTTTCGTCTTTATTAATAGAAAACCTTATCGTCTGTCTTGTATCGGAACGATTGACTTGATTTAGAGTTTTGTAAAAACCAGAAACGATAAATAATAATTTTTACACGTCAATATTTAATTGTGGGAAATTTTTCGTCTCAACTATATAATTTGCAAATAATAATTGAATGTCAATTTGATTTATTTGAGCTTCCTGTTCTACTATCTTCCTTTTTCCGGTTTCCATAATATTTTACCTTGCTATTTTACGTCGAAGAATTTAATTAAATCTAAATTGATTCATATTTCAATTTTCTATAGTATGTACCATATTTTATTCTTTTTCGGGTAGCACAGCATGAATATTTATTAAAGCTGCTCTCATTTTTTTTTTGTAGACGAATGCTTTTGGAGAACTTAAAGCTGATAACGTTCTGCCCAACATTGTCGAATGGAGCGTTTAGATACGACTTATTCAAAATGAAAACTGATTGTCCGAGTTTTGAGGAATTTGAAAAACTTTTTAATGAACAATTTGAGAATGAGGCGGGTGATGTTTCTGTGCCAGAAAAGCCTGAACATAAAGTTGAATGGAGTCGATGTTGTGAAGTAAGTTTTATTTTTCCATCTATTGTTATCTTTTCATTATTATTTAAAAAAATATTTCCACAACAATGTTTAGAAATCCTTATTGTATGCATGCGAGGCAGGAGTTTTTGTTGTTGTTGCTGATATCATTCAATTTGTAAACGACATGAATCATACAATAACATTCAATGTTTCTTATGAAATTGAAGGGAATCTAATGAACTCGAAACTTATTACAAATATAGGACAATTTGTGATCGATTCAAAGCTAATTTATAGCTCACAACTTGATATAAATCAATATAGTCTTGAGAAGTATAGGAATCTTTTGGCAATAACATCCACATCGGAAATGATTGCTGCTTTCGATATCTCTTTCGAGGAGAATGAGCGTATTGAGAATTTTTTCGTAAAGGAATTGAATTTTGAAATCATCAAGTCACATGAAGATATTGGAGTTGAACAACCGAGTGTAGGTTTATGACTATTTTCATGATAAATGATGATGACATTAGCACCCCTTCTTTTTTCCCTCCCATTTAGTCATATTTTGAGAATGTCAACACAAAAACAGTAAGTTTACGACTTCGGCAGGATTATTTCTTGTACGCATTTGATGGATATTTTAAAGGCACACTCATTCGTATAAGGCTTGAGAGTGACGAATTGATGAAAGCTAAGATTTACGCTAGGTTTGATAAGATATTGGAATATATTGTAGATAAAAAAATTTAATTAAAATTTTCCGATTCATTAGGGCTGCTCATCAGGTTATCATCTTGTTACAATCGATTTACAAACAATATCCACGTCATTGTAAGATTAAGTTGAAAAAAGTCTTTTAAAATTTGCATGAAAAAAAATTTATTGTCCTATAAAATGCACAATTTTTACATCTTGACTGCTTTTAAGTAATTTTTTTATTGTAAAAGTTTTAAAAATTTCTGGAATAAATCATTGTCATTTGATAAATATCTTTTATGGTAGCATGAAAGGTTTATTGACGACTTCGCCATGCTGCTATTTTTTGTTTTAATAATTCACGCATTTCTGGGTCTACAAAAGGAATGAATTCCTCAGTTGCTGGCATGATTTCTTCAGTGAATGGTTGGAATTCTTCTACTGGCATGTGCTCTGGTGCATTTGGGTCTTCATATGGAACAATTTCTTCAGTATAAGGAACAATTTCTTCTGTGTAAGGAACAATCTCTTCAGTATAAGGAACGATTTCTTCTGTAGCTGGCATAATCTCCTCAGTGTAAGGAACAATCTCTTCAGTAGCAGGTGCGATTTCCTCGACTGGAATCAATGGTTTAATGAATCGTCTATTTGATCTAAATCTTGGCATATGTTCAGGTGCATTTGGATCTTCATATGGAACAATTTCTTCTGTTGCTGGCATAATTTCCTCGGTGTAAGGAACGATTTCCTCAGTTACTGGTTTAATTTCCTCTCTGCGCTTCAACCATGCTCCTAATCTTTGTTTTAATAATTCACGAATTTCAGATTCTTCATATGGAACAATTTCTTCGGTTGCTGGCATGATTTCTTCAGTGTAAGGAACAATCTCTTCAGTAACAGGTGCAATTTCTTCGACTGGAATCAATGGTCTGATAAATCTTCTAGCAAATCCCAATCTTGGCATATGCTCAGGTGCATTTGGATCTTCATATGGAACGATTTCCTCAGTATATGGAACGATTTCTTCAGTATATGGAACGATTTCTTCAGTATAAGGAACAATTTCTTCGGTGGCTGGCATGATTTCTTCAGTAGCTGGTACAACTTCTTCGACAGGCATGTGTTCTGGTGCATATGGACTTTCAAAGATATATGGTGTCATGTCATCAGATCTAATAAATGCTTGGATTCTTTGGAATCTTGGCATATGTTCTGACGCATTTGGATCTTCATATGGAACGATTTCTTCAGTAGCAGGCATGATTTCCTCAGTGTAAGGAACAATTTCTTCAGTATAAGGAACAATTTCTTCGGTGGCTGGCATGATTTCTTCAGTAGCTGGTACAATTTCTTCGACAGGCATGTGTTCTGGTGCGTATGGACTTTCAAAGATATATGGTGTCATGTCATCAGATCTAATAAATGCCTGAATTCTTTGGAATCTTGGCATATGTTCTGACGCATTTGGATCTTCATATGGAACGATTTCTTCAGTAGCAGGCATGATTTCCTCAGTGTAAGGAACAATTTCTTCAGTATAAGGAACAATTTCTTCGGTGACTGGTGCGAATTCAGGTGCATTTGGATGTCCAAATGGAATAATTTCTTCCTCATATGGAACTATTTCCTCAGTTACTGGTACGATTTCTTCATTGATCTGTGATTCAATTTGACCAATTAGAGCAAATCCAGCTTTCAAGATGTCTTCTCTGTTGAATTTCAAGGAAAGACCTTCAAAAAGTGGATTGGCACTAGTCGAAGCCACTAAAAGGGCTGCAAGAAATAAAATTTTCATTTCAAATTGTTTTCCGTTTAAATCGCACAAATTGAAAATACCAACTGAGGAAAATATAAATGAGCAAGTGCTTTTGTTAAATAGATTCTTGCAATTCCTTCGATAAGATTAACAAATACTGATAAGACAATCAATTTCATGTACTTATCTCTACTTTTCTTTATGATAAGATTTAAGCACGGATTTACTTTCGTCATTGACATTTGAGATCTTTTTTGGAGTGTTTATGACTGATATGGCTTTTTGGAATTTTTGCAATTTTTAAAGATGACTTAAGATTGTTGATAAATGATAATTTTATTATCACATGGTAATGATGCATATATAAAAAAATTCTTTTACCAAAGCTTTGGATACTCTTTATTTGGATGTATCAATAAGAAAATTTAGTACAATCATAAAATTATGAGAAAAGCTTCAAAAGCTCTTTAGATACATACCTTAGTAAACTTTCATAACGTTTTATTACAATTTAAAACAACAAATGTAATGACTAATGATTAGTTTAGAAAGCTTTTGTGATCATTCAAGTTTCATGTTAAGCTTTTGTGGAAAAATCACATTTAATTGTCCGTTATTCGAAATATATAAAATTCATTTCATTGGCTCCATTAAACAATAAAATTTGAATCAGGGGGAGAACGACTGTCTGTAAAGAGAAAATTGGTGTAAAACGATGTAAAATAATAAAATTTTACACCGTTTTACATCGTTTTACAACAATTTTACATCATTTTACAGCATTTTACAACCATTTTACAACCATTTTATTTTACATCGGCTCTTTAAAAGCTAAAAATTGGCAATCTTAAAAGCTTTGAAAATTGTCAAAAATCAATTAAAATTCCCATAAATTAATAAAAGTTTATGAATATTGAAGAAAAATCTACATTATAAAAGCCCAATTCACTGAATCACTGACTCTAGAACGGAAGCTATGTGAAGCCATTTATGTAGCCGTATGAAGCCAATGATTTGGGGGGTGTTGATAAGGTGGGGAGTGGTGGAGGGTTTGACAAGGTGGGTGACGGGGGGCATGGTAAGTTGGGGGGGATTAAAGTTTTAGTGGTATTAAGGGGGTTAGAAACAGGCTAGGCCTTAGAAACATTATGGCTATTTGCGTCTTACAATTATTTACATAATAATAATCAAATTTAAACCCTGATAACAGGCGAATCCAACTCGATTTGAACTCAAATCCAACCTTATCTGGACAGTTCCTCCAATTTCATTATTTTCCGTCAATTTTAATAACGATTTAAACCACGAAAACGAATTTTCAATATACAGTTGAAACCACCACGTGGTTAGAAGATGTTATGCTTTGAATTTTAGGACCATTTAAGAAACCTCCAAGCTTATATCATTTCATTTAATCTTATTTAGTCAAACTGCTAAAGTTCTCCTCTTGATTAAAAATATTAATTTTTTGAATTTACGTATAAAAATTAAAAATGTTGAAAAAATATGAAAAAACAGTAATTTTTTATATTAAACATCATCAAAAAACCAAACAATATAAAAAGAAACCAAAAAAGAACAAGAAAAAAAAATTGGTTTTGATGAGACTCGAACCCGTGACCTAAGAAATCATTTAAAATAACAATAATTTCCATGCTGGTGTAAAATTTGCACCGATTTTACATCATTTTACATCGTTTTGCATCGTTTTACAACGTTTTACAACGTTTTACAATGTTTTACAACATTTTACATCTCCTGGTGTAAAATCGATGTAAAATGTTGTAAAATAAGCATTTTATTTTACAGACAGTCGTTCTCCCCCTGATTTGAATATACTTTAGAATATGCAAGAGATGCATTTGAAATCCAAGCTGACTCATGAAGGATCTTTCAAAGAGTAGTTCTCTCAAAACTGCAGGAAGGAAATTCGGAAAAATTGTTCAATAGTGAATTGCTGGATTTTGAAATAAAGAGCTTTGTGCAAGCATAAAATTATGAAAAAAGCTTTCAATAGTCACTGCCATAAAACTCAAATCTAGCATTTCATAACGATTTTCAAAAATTTAAAAGCATAAACCTCATGACACAACAATGATTAGTGTATTGGTATTTGTGAAAGCATAAGTTTCATTAGATAGGTTTAAAGAAGGAATTATAAATCTTATAAAGTGTATATACCAAAATATTCTGAGACTGTGTAACTCAATTATATTGGAATATTAGTCAGCGACAATTTGCTGTTCGAGTAGCACAAAATTATTTGTTGTCTATAAATATTTTAGACGAATTTATTTTTAATGATTTGGATGATAAGACTTTGAATCTAATTTTTAAAAGACAATATTATAATCAACGAAGATGACATTTGATTCTGCTGATCAAGAGAGACTTGATTTATTAAAATCTAAAATTGGAGAGTACCCAAATTTTCCACGTGATGGTATTCTTTTTAAGTAAGTAATTGAAAAATAAATTTGGAATCAACAATGTTTTAATTCTTATTTTATTCCTTATTGTAGAGATATTTTTACGGCGTTTCGAGATGGGAAGGTCTGTGTTGCAACAAAACACTTAATGTTAAACTATATACGTAAAAATCATCCATCTGTTGAAGTCGTTGTCGGTCTAGACGCTCGAGGATTCTTATTCAGTTTTATGATAGCATCTGAATTAGAAATTGGGTGTGTTCCAGTGAGGAAGAAGGGTAAATTACCCGGTGAGACAACAAAAGTTGAATATGCTCTTGAGTACGGAACAGACGTGTTTGAACTTCAAACTGACTCAATTAAGGCCGGACAAAAGGTGATAATCGTTGATGATTTATTAGCAACCGGCGGCTCTCTCAAAGCAGCAACTGAACTTGTAAGGAAGGCAGGAGGAGTTGTTCAAGAATGCATTGTTGTCTTGGAATTACAAGGTCTGAATGGACGAAAGAATCTTGACGTGCCGGTTTTCTCTTTCATCCAATATGATGACGAATAATAAAAAATTGTTAAGAATGCTTCAGTTGCACTTTGCAAACTAAATCGCACCATTCCAAATGTTGTTTTTAAATTTTTAACTATATTGTTACAACTACTACTACTTTTTATCGGATTCAATTGTGTTTGTAGCTTTGTGTAAATAGTCGACGAGACCGACTGAGTAATAAAATGTAGCGAAAAAAAAAACTCGTTTTCTTTCTTTTTCTTCTTTTTCCATCGACCAACTCTTTTTTCCCATGACTTCTTTCATCTCCAAGAAAATTCTCTTCAGTTGCCTTTGCTTGTGTATCGTGAGCAGTTGTCTGGTGAATACGGAAAGAAATAATTTTTAAAACGCGAATTGAAATAATGACGAAATGAGAAAAGAATTTTTAATTTCCTATTGTGATCCGCAAAAGTTGTAGAATATTTTATCCAAAAAAAAAATTGTATTGGAAGTAAGAATGAGAAGTGATCTAGAAACAAAAATAAGTTGTCTGATGGAGTTAAATGAAAATGAAAATAAGAAAAGTAAATCGTTAAGAATTCACGATCTCATGCAAAAATACGCAAATACAAAGTACAAACATTTATAAATCGATCAAGTATCAAGCTGTGATGTGTGATATTCACAACATATATTGAGCTGCTAAGTTAATTGCTGAAGAATAACGGGTTTCTGTAATCAATTCGGATAATGATCCATCGCTAATAATTGCTTTTTTATTTGCCACAACAATAGACAATTCTCATGAGATGTAAAGAATAAGTGACTAGAAGATTTTTGTGTGCGCTTGATTCTCTCGCAAACATCTTAGTGACCAAAATAAACCTCAATGAAATTGTTAAGGGGCCATTCACTTATTACTTAACGCTTTTAGAGGAGGGGGGGGGTCTAAGATTTTGTTACGGTTCAAACAAGGAAATTTTTTTTCATACAAATTTTGTTACGAGGGGGGGGGGGGGGGGGGGGGGGTCTAAGAAGTCATTTTTTCGCGTTACGTAATAAGTGAACAACCCCTAATTGAAAAGTTATAAAAACTTATAATTTTCAAATTCAAACAATGAAGTTTTTTTGATGCCAAAATACTTACTACGCCTCTCATCACTTCTTTTGATTTACTCACAGCATCAATGAATGAATTATATTTTAGCAATATGGTGCTAAAGTGTGATGCTCTTTCTCGGTGAAATTTGAGTGATTGCCATTTATTTTGAATTTCACTCGAAACCCCAGAGCTATATTTTATTTTTTTCTTGGGCTTAAATATGCAATTAAGTTCGAAGAAATGAGACTCTTTGTTCACTTATTCCGGATGACTGAGTGGTTTCGCGAATATTATTTAGCTACAGCCTACAAAAATTCTTTTTGGATTCTTGTGATCGATTGATATATTTTAATTGTGTTGACTCATATGGATGTGAGCTTTCTTATTGATTTAACATCATTAAAATCTTTTTAAAAGTTAATGAGAATCAAGAAGGGATCATTCAGTTGTTATGTCTAAGATATGAAAAGATTCTAAACGTTTGAGAGATTTTAGTCTTGTTAACAAGGCACAAGGAAATGCGATCAGGGAATAAAGTTTAAACATCACTCAAGAACTGCTCCCAATACTCACAAACTTAGTAGAAATCTCTTGAGTAATTCTCAGAAGACCATTAAATACTTTATGTGTTTATTCAGATTGAAATTTAAATTCTCTTATTGCCTGTTCTTTAATACTCTTCAGTTTCTCGACCTTTTCCGACATTTGAATGTGCTCTTTAGTCCCTCAGGTTTCCCATTAATAATGCCACAATTTTCGCAAGCAGCACAAATGAAAGGAAATGAATCAATAGAAATTTATCGCAACAACATCAACCCAAGAAGTGAAAAGAAGCCATCAAATAGATTTTCTCAAGTGCAATTTACTTTCTGAAGTAGGAAACTTTCCCGTTCTCTATATTGATAACCAGTCATACTGGCTTGCAAAATGCAGTTTTACTGCATCTTGTGCGAAGATCAAGATCAAAATGGGAATATGGGATACATTCTTTTCACTTCTTGTATCTCTTTTTAATTCCTTTTTGTATTCTCTTCTTGTTCATTGCTTGCTATTCATCATAAGACAATTGAAATGTACTACATAGGAGACTGAAAGAGAGAATTGTGTTTTTTGGGGATTGTACGGAAATGATGTCTAGCATTGAGGTAATCTTGTTTTTGTCACATTCCTTAAAGATAATAAGGAGAGGGTTGGATTAAAAAATCCAAAATTTTCTTGGACGTAACTCGCAAATGACCCCCAAGTCGAAATAAAAGAAAATAGTAAAGTTTATGATTATTATCATACACTTAAGATTTTCTGTATGTTGTGTACATACTCTTGGTGTAAACATCTTAAAATGAAAGATGATGAAGTAAATAAACAGATTTGATTATTGCCGTACTTAGTAGATTCATAAAATAATTTTAATAAAATATGAAAATATGCTTAAAGTTGGAAAAATATTTAATTGTGGCAAATAGAACAGAAGTTCAAAATTGTTATACAGCTGATCCGGAAAACGTGAGCAAAACGGAAATTTTTTCGCAATTCTCAGCAAATAGGCAATCGATTTCGCAAGAGACTTTATGCTTTCATTTTTTTACATAAAAGAAAAATTTGTGAATTAAAGCATTGAGAGGTTTATAAATTATATTTTTAATTTATATCAGTTTTGCGCTTCAACGCCAATGATTATCTACGGAGGTGTTATAATAATGTTGATGAGATAATCTTGGTCTTAATAATTTGAACTCATTAGCTCAGGCAGCAAACAGAATAGCTGTTCTCATTAAAAATCAAAAATCATGTAATTACACTAATTTGGTCTTAAAGGAATTAAAGATATCAATCTTTAAAGGCAGAACTGTTATGAGCAACATCAATAGCCACAAAGTGCTGCTTATTGGAGCTTATACAGAAGCGTGGTAACCTTTCGAATCATATTTCAAGATGACATTTTACTACTAATTGTATTGTGCTACAGTTTCTATACATATTGTGTGTATGTAAAGTGCTTTTTAACACGTCCATTGTGCCTCTCTTTCTCAGTCTAGCTTAGAAGCTCACAATGTTTCATTGAATCAGCTTTTATTTATGAAAATAATGCTCGACAATGAGCATAAACAATTGAGCTTTGTGTCAGCAAAACTAGTAGTGACCAAAAAAGTGCAAATTAAGACATTAAGAAAGATTTACAAAAAAAAAAACATAAGGTGTTTAATCAAGGCATTCATTTAACGTCCATCAGACAAGTGTGTTGATTTTTGCATAAATGTAAATAGTTCTGTTGAAACTTAATGGCTTATTATTCTTCTTACATGCTCACAGTAGGATACGTCAGTTGTACAAATAAAGTCAATAAAATATCATCGATATGGGTGCAAAAGTGATTGAATATGTCGAGGCATCGCAAATTTATGCCACAAACTACATCAGAAATTCAAAGGCGATTGCCGTGCTGTGGGCAATATTCACAATATGTTATTCAATTATAGTTATTGTCAGTTTTGTCACACCCGGTAAGTTTAAGTCAAGTGTATATAGCTCGCGCGACTAACCTTAAACACATTTGCATAATCTTTTTATCGCTTCTATGTCCATTTCTTTTGTTGATTAAACTCTTTCTTGCTAACGAGTTAATTAATTTTGCACAAATAAACTTATGCTTTCATGATCATCATAATCATTAGCTTTATTTATTGCCCAATTTATCTCTAATTTACTCCTATTATTTGCTTTGTTTATTTTTTCTCTTTCATTATAGACTGGATTGGAGATTTAGAGTCTGAGACTGGAGGCAGAATAGGCCTTTGGAAAATCTGTGAGAGAAATGAGATGAGTGATGTGTGTTTAGGGAAATTAGAAGAAATATTGGAGATGCCATCTATGTCATTTCAAGTAAGGAAGCTTTACTGATTGTTTGGCTGATTATGAGGACTGAATGAGGTTGTTTGGATCTTATTGTGGACCGGAATTCTAAATTTATGTGCACAGTTCAACTAATCGACAGTTACATGATCCAGGGTATATCAAAGCAATGTATCTTGACATATTTGAGTGTCACGAACCAAAAAACCTGGTTGTATAGTTACAACAGCTTAAAATCTGTCAAATCTGACTTAATAGACCCTAGGATCGACCCCAAGTCTATAGTCAATCTAGGTCTATAGTTTCTGTTGAGTCTATAGTCTCAACAGGAAGAGATACATGTAGCCTATAGCCCTATTAAATCTTAGATAAAAAGCATGAGAACTAGCATAAGCTACGATGAACCTTAATTATAGCATACCCATCAAATAATCAGCTTATGATCCATAACTTCTCATCATACCTCCAATCAGCCGCTCAAAGAAATAAACCGTATACTGAAAACAAAGCAGTACACTACTGCACTCAATATTGTAATTTATTCACCTTGAGTTCTTAATTAACATTTTTTTCTCTTCCGCAGATTGCAACAATATTTGCAGGAATAGCAGTATTAACATCATTATTAACAATATTATGCTTAGTTCTTATGATATTTCTTAAGTCAACAACAGTATTTCATCTGTGCGGATGGATGCAAATTTTATCAGGTAAGAGAGCCTGCTCGCATTGTAAAATCACACTAGTTTCTGCAAACTTTCGCTCTGTATTAAATGGATATACCAATGTATGAAACTCGTTGCATGCACAACATTATATTTAGGTTAGAAAATAATGTGGAGAAAAAAAAAGAATTAACAATTATTGTGATTCATCAGTTTCACTTTATAGTGATTTAATCTACTAGAAATCGAATGCTACTCGACTGCAATTTAGTTCCATGTGAGAGTTGTAGAACTGCCATTAACTTCCTCTGATCGGCCCATTTTCATTCGATACTTAAGAGTCAATTGTCTTGTTTTATGCTCACACACTTAAATTAAGTTGACTTTATGTTTATGCTTCTTTCATCCAGCGCATTAATTGAAGATTGCTTTCCAAGACACTTTCTGGGTCAACATTTTGAAAAAAGCTTTATGTACATCCATACACAATGCATCTGATGAAAAAGAATAAGTGATAATAATGGCAATGTAGCATGAATTGAGGAAATGATGTCGCATCGTCATTTCCAAAAAGAGTCGCACACTCAAAATAAGAAGACAATAACTATTTCGTCGGTTATTACATGACCATAAGATATACACATGTATGGCTGTATATTGTTCAGTTAATTAGCGATGATATTTTTATTTCACAGTGCTTTACTAAAAAAGAAAAGCTTTACTTTTCTTTTCTTAATTCAATTAATCACATTTTACCTTGTTATAAATTTTAGTAATCGATGCAGACCGGTGATACATTAAAAGTAAAATTCGCATAATCCGGTTCCTTGTCTTTACTTTAATGCGATTAAATTGTTTTTGGAGATTATTTTGGTGGTTCCAAACCACTTCTGGTTCAGTGAAAGTATGTTTACATATTTGAAACTAGCTTAAAATCTATCTAAAACCTATGTGAAGTCATTCTTAGGATACTAATATGTTCCATGGTTTTCCTTAGATAATATCTGAATCTAATCCTATTGCTTCTCCCAAAACATCCAGTTGATTAAAAAATCGAATAACATACGGGGCCATTCACTTATTACGTAACGCTTTTAGGGGGAGGGGGGGTCTAAGATTTTGTTACGGTTCAAACAAGGAAATTTTTTTTTCATACAAATTTTGTTACGAGGGGGGGGGGGGGGGGTCTAAGAAGTCATTTTTTCGCGTTACGTAATAAGTGAACAGCCCCTACTCGAATTCATAACATTGGTTATGCTAGTGATGCTTTTAGACTGAAAACACTTCTTTCAATCACCTGCTAAGATTCTGAACATCTCTACATTCCCATTACTTTCAAAATAACCTTTTACAGACCATCACGCAACCCTTTTTGGAACCACTATTTACCATGTTTATTGAAAAGAAATTTCTCACAATCAATTTCATCTTGAAATGCCACAAAAACACATAAATGAAAGGTCCAATTGTGGTCTTATAAGAAAGAATGAATGCAAACTGTGAATTAAGTACTACGGATGTGTGTATCATGATTAATAATACATTGTACACGATCGTAGCACTGCAATTAAGTCAGAAAGAATTCACCGGAAAAAAAAAGTACAAAAGCAAAAGTGCCGATCGAAAAATGTGGAAGTCAAAAATTTCGCCCAATGCCTTCAATAATCATACGAATAGTGTTTGTTTATTATGCAATCTCTACATTCGAATAATAATTATGTTTCTTTTCTTCTTGCTAAACAATTGAAGCATTGCAATTACATGATTTTTCTCCTCATTTTTAATCGACCAAATATTGTTTTAAGCAGCACTAAGTTTGATTGCTGTTTTCAGTTTCGTTTTTCTTTAAGCGAAAAGAAATAGAACATAATACCGAGTAATTGATTTCAATTTCTTAAAAAAAAATACTATTTTTGACGGCATTAAATGCTTGCTTTCGATTTCAAAACATTCGAAGCAAGCACATTTAGCTTGGGAAGTGGATGAAAAGATCTCAATGAGTGAATATTACGCATTTTGATAAACGCAATTACTCGCTCATTTTAACTTTTATTGTTGCATAAATTTGTGCTCACTTGATCTGTGACGAGATAGCTTTTGTGCTTTATGGAATGGATAATGCTTCGTGTTTTTTAATTATTCGGTGACTGAAATAGATACAAATTGATGTAATAATGGGAAGTAATTGTTTAGGAACCAATTTAATTTAATTTTGGATAAATTGCTGAACATTAAGATTAGTGTTAAGGCTCATTAAGTGATCCACGACTTGATTTAGCTGATTAGAGTTAACTCTTGGAATTTGAAAGATTATAATTTAAAGATCCAGATTGATTAGATATTGTGATTGTAAGGTTTCAGGAATGATTCTTGAGACGTCTTCAACTGTTAAATTGTTGGCAATATACAAGAATTTATGACATTGTGGTGAATCAGGGTGTCTAAGTCTGTCTGTTTGTCTGTCTTAATCTAAATCAAAATTAACAGTTCAAATACAGCATATTGAATTGATGTCAGTAACTGACCTGCTATACACCACAAATCTCATCATCCTATTAGATATTAACACCCTTGCTATAAGTAGTATTAAGTACTCGAGTAGCTTACCATTTAAGCTTCTTTTGTTCATAAAGTCACCAGATACATAAGTTGATAACCTTTTAAGTAGGAAGCGACTCTAATCAAGTAACATAATAGCCAATTCCCTTTCCATTTATGCATTGTAATCCGCCATCAAATGTTAATTCCAACAAATTTGAGGGTCGATGATCACGTTTGTCATTATAAGTATATCCATTTGTGGCTATTCAATACATCTTTTATTAACAATCAAACCCTTTCTTTTTATGTCATAATTTTTGTAAGGCTTCAGAAATTATGATTGATGGATTTTTGATCACGCACATTGAGCGAAGCAATTGCAATTGAAACTCACGATTTGATCGGTTTCAATTTGTGTTACTTATACATGAATCTACTGACTGATCCCAAAAAATAATTTCATTATTCTCAGACATTTTTGATTTGAGCAGTCTCAATTTGCATTTTTATGGTGGACAAAGCACCAAAGATTTTTTATAACAATAGCATGTGGACTAATGCGGCATAAAGTTTAACGTTAATTAATACCGGGTTATGACTTACATTTTTAAATAATACTTTATTTTTAGCAATCTCAATGATCGTGGCCTGCGTCAGTTTTCCATTTGGATGGAACTCGGATGAGTTTAGAAAGATTTGCAGTCCTGAAGCAAACCGTTTTGAAGTGGGATTATGTAGCATCAGATGGGCTTATGCACTAGCAATTATAGGTAAGATAATGATTGACAATTAGTCGCAGACATGAAGTAATTAAAACAATTTGTTTCTCTCATTTTCTAGCCTGCATTGATGGATGTATACTTGCGACACTAGCTTTTATATTAGCAACGAGACACATTAGATTACAACCTGACCCAACCTATTCAAGAAATATTGGAACTGTGAATAATGCATATATAACGGATGTACACTCGATTGCTGGTTCACGCAAATCTTTAAATTTAAAACCCGTTTTGCTCGTAACACCGCCACATTTACAGACAGCTGATGATTCCATTTCACAATTTTCAAGTAGAAATGGGACTAATCATCGGTTCCATAATCCAATGCATCATCATCATCACCATCATCAACAATTTCAACTGTAGTTCATTAATTTCAATTTTTGTAAATAACTTTTTGATTCATCATTATTCAGCTAGACTGTTAAATCATTTGCAATAATTATGTCAATATGCTATAAAGTTCAAGACAAATCTGAGTTCTTTATGGACGACTATTAAAGTGAAAGTTTTCAGATATCCAATATTTTACAATGTAGCACTAAAAGTATTAGCAACTTTATACTGCAAAGGATGTGAGAATCTAGGCTAGCGCCAGACTTCCTCAATCTAGTGCCTCTAATGTACATAACCGTCTCATGCACAAAACATTTACATACTTTAAAATCCCCAAAAAAAAAATCTTACATACTCATTTGTGATTAAATCATTGATCCTATCTGTATTATGGAATGTTAAGCATAAAAATCATAATAAATAAAGCAACATATTTTCAATGAACTTGTTAGAATGTTAATAAAATTATGCTTTTTATTACTTATTAAGAAAAAAAATTTCATTCCTAGCAGATTCTTACATTTTACGTTTATGGATGTCCAAACGAGCAGTCTGGAAGTTATTTGGCAGTTGAACATCAGTTTTACCCAATGTTCCGATTCCAACGCGTCCATTAACACTGTCTGGTGACTGGAAGATGGATTGTTGCTTTACAATCTGCTTCTTGCTTGCCTTACTGTTGAAGTTAAGCCATTTGTTCTTCTCCTTTTCTCTTTCTTCTTCGAGCTCTGCCAATCGTGCCTGTTTCTTGAGTTTTTTCTTCTTGAGATATTCTTTGTGATTCGGTCTAGCTGCTTTTGGACGTTTGTTGCTAGTTGATGAGAATACTTCTATGCGCTGCTTAAACTCCTTCAAATCTTTGACATTTGATTGACCTCGATTTTGATATGCATCGAAAATGACTTGAGCTTCTCCTTCGTTAGATATTGACTCGATCGTTGCTTCATAATATTGTCCATTTGTGGTATCACGAGCCATACATTTTTCACCGACTTTCCATATTTTAAGAGTTTGATTCTTTGCCTTCTGTTCCTTATAATATTGACCACTGTTTGTTGCTCTGTCTGAATTTGATGGTTCGACGTATTTTCTCGATTCACTATCTTGGGTCTTGATCAGTTCCTGTTGTAAATCAACGAGTTGTTCTGAAACAATTAACAGTAATCGTCAATAATCGTTATTTTTGCACCTATATTTATATCTATACCTATGTCTTCCTTTAATTTTAATAATTCAGTATTATCCGGATCAGTTAAAAGAGCTACTTCAACTTGCTGCAACTGGAGCTTATAGTTGCTTAATTCGTCTGCCATTTAAATATGAAAAGGATGACTGGAAATGGCTTAAAACTTTATATAAGTTAATTTATTTAATTTGGTTCAATGAAAACAACAAACGAGGGTCGCAACTATGCTGAAAAGTTTCTACTGAATTATTTGAAATCAAAAAAACCGTTAAAAAATTGTGAACTTATTCTTGAGAATTGTGCATTTTAAGCATTGAATTTTGTGATTTAATGTTTGTAAGTTTCATGTATTTGATGTAAATAAAAAGGATTAAGTAGATAAAAGACTTTTTCATTGATAAATTTAAACTTTATCAATTTTACGTAACATCTTACTTTTACGTAGGATTTTAGCATAAAATTTAAAATCTGAACGTTATTTTCATGCTGCTTTTAAATTGAATAATTCTCAAAAACAAAAAATTAAGACACAAAGAAAGAAAGAAAGTTTGATTGTGCGTTTATCTATAAAATATGTACTTTTACGTTTATTTGTCTGAGACACATTTTACACTTGTTTAATATTTAAAGAATAATATGGATCTATCTTAACTAATATTCTCATGATCATGTCGATAAGTTCCTCAGTTTTGAAGCATGTAATTTCCTAAATCATTTTTGTATTCAGAGTCGTGTAAAAAACTTTTTTTAAAACTGGATAAAATTGCTTCTCCGTAGTAAAAATCTGCGATGTATATTAGGTCCGATGAGATTTGAGATAGTTGCAATGGCTGTATTATCTTAGAAAAAAATTGTAATTGTATGCTAACTACGCAAATCTCATTGTTTTGTTCAAACATATTCTAACAAGGAATCTTAACCAGTTCCATAAATGATGAAGTAAAACTTTGATTATGCTAAAGCAGTAGTAAAATGATGAAATTCTTAATAACTTAATAATGAGACTCTGGACACGCCGGAAGATAGCAATTGGCATGTCACGTATCATTCAATGACAGTGTTCTGTTATGTCCAACATAACAGACTTTTTCCATCCGAACAACAAATATCCAACCATAGCTCCAAAAACGACAGAGAGGCATAGATATGAGTTATATGTCATGAATATCAGCATAAGCATTAAGGATAATGTCACTTGAATCAAATGAAGGAACGACTGCAGTAGATGATTGAGTGAGAACATTGTAGGTCTGCAAATAAAATACAGAAATGTTATGAATCAGCTTTAATTAATTATTTTTTTGAAAGGCATGCAGAACAACATCAATAAGTGCAATTAACGAGAAATCGTGCGGTTATTAGTCAAGTACGCAAATTAAGAAATCATAGTTTTTTTGTGTGTTAGTAATTAAAGTGAAAACACAGCTTGTTTGACTTACGGAGTACGATGAATAACATCTCCAACCATGCTATATAGTTTGTTGTTTAAGGAATATGAATGAAGAAGTAAAATGTTTAGAACCGAGTGGGTTTTGAAATACAGGCACTAGATGAAGATACTTACTGCACAACACGACTATCACCAGCTTCACCATTTGTGTTATTTTTATCAGTCACCGCTCGATACTGTAAGTTATTGTAAACCTTCCAGAACAAATGTTCCCGATAGAATTTGAGTCCCTCGTAGAAGACAGCAAGGATAAATATCACAATCATCGATCCCACTAATCCAGAGCAACTGCTTGTCGTCCATTGAGTGAATAAGATTGTCTCATTGCATCCGCCATGGAACTAAAAAGACAATAAAAATAAATTTTAAAGATCTAGTAAAAGATTTGGATCAAATTTGACTTACAGCCATTGACATCATATGTGACATCATGTCATGATGTCCTGAATGCGCTGAATTATCTACTGTATCCATCATATTGTGACCGGAATGCATGCTATGATCATGATCATGTGGCATCTCTGTTGAGCTAACAACATCCATGGAATGATGATTATGATGCATGTGATGTGAGTGATCGTCCATTATTTATGCTCTATATTGGAGAATATAAATTTATATTGTTGTAATCAGATTTGATTGATTTCAATGAGCAGTTATGTCCCACTAGCAGTACACGCAGCAATGATAATTAATTTGTATATTGAGTGGCTGTCGTTTTCAATAAATAGTTTATATAGTGAATCTTGAGCATGCAGTGCAATTGGCAAAGTCGTAATTAATACTTTAAGACAATGTCTATTAACAAAATAACAACTCAAGTACCAACAAATAGTTTATATCGACTGACTTACTCGACAGACTTGACTGATAAAGCTCAAAATTGTCTCAATGCAAAAAACACATTTATTGAGTCTTTAACGGTGTGCGTAAGTCATAATTACAAAAGCAGACGTTTCTCTGTGATTTTTCTCTCTATTTAAACTCTCACAAGACCTTGAAAATGTTTGAAGACGCGACATAATGCAATTATCAAAAAGCTTCCCATAAATTTGTTGGATTTTTAATTTTTTTTTAAATATTTGTTAAATGTCTCGACATGCTTATTTACACGATAATCGCACATTTTGGAAGTGTATATTGATAACTGATTCTTTTTTTTCCCAACCACACATGTATGGTTATTGAATAATAGGATAATAAAGTTGTTGTGGTTTAGATAACGAAACAAAGTAATTTCCAAACCAAAAGAAATAAAAATAAGTTTAATTGCAGTTATGAACTTATTAAGTAAAAAGTCGTGTGAACAGAGTTGAGGAAATGCATAGCGAATCTGATAAAAATGCATTAAATAATTTTCTTTAATGAAATGTAAATTTATTCGATTGGAATTTATTGACGAATGGAAACAAATTTGTGTGAACTTGACGCAATTAGGAGCAATTTTGGTGGGCTTTTTAAAAATCATTAAGATTTTGAAAATAATTTGAATGGTTTTCAAACACTTTTATACTTTTGAGAACCATACAAATGTTCTTAACTGGAGAATTTGGAAGGCTTTGAAGAAGAAAAAATCGAATTTGTATGGTTTTGAAGCATCAAAATTATTTTTTAAAAGAATGCAATAAAAATTTAAACTTGATGTTGACCGAACTTTAATTAAAAATTAAATCATAAAAAATGGAAAAGCTTATAGAAGCATTAAAAGTGCATTTTGCTAAACATATTGAATCTTATCAGCAAAAATAAAATTATCAGTAAGTCAGAACATGTTGATAGCTAAATTCCCCAACTCTGAGAATGTTTAAATTACATGGAAATATATTTTAAAATAAAATAACAATAAAGCTGGCAAAAACCCGCTTTTAGATTCAATTATAGATATTACTTTGCCTATATTACACACGTATAGATTTTAAATTCATCACAATTGAATCACGTTTATGTCACACAAATCTATTTTCAAACTTCTTTTGTGTCCCATTTAAAAATTTCTCGGTGAAATTAGCGATGGAACAATAAGCTGTAATGTGAAAGTTTGATTATCTTAAGCTTCATGCTCTCAATTTCTGTGTGGCTTTCTCAATTAACTTTGTTTCGAGCCCCAATTTCAATTCTTTCCATTTTCTTGCTATTAAAAAATAGTTGTTGCATAATTTTCTCTCTACCTCATTGCTGCCTGATCGCAATAGTTTCTTTTGCACATTAATACTTAAATTTATTTGGTCAGTGGAGGGAGAAACTGGATTTAAGTTTAATTGAATGGAATTTCCATTCACGAGCATGATTCAAGTTTATGTACTTTAAGTTCTATTTACCTAATATTTTTTCTTATCAGTTCTGCTGGAAAATATGTTGATAAATGTCAATTTTATGGATGTAGGTGGAAGAATGAAGCAGATTGTCCTTATTACGTCACTATTTTTACGGGATATTCTCTTTGTTCTCACTTTAATCTCTTATCATCGACTGATATCACCTTTACGATGCCAATTATTTGTGCTATTATGGCTATTATTATAATAATAAATAATAAATTCAACTTTATCTCCTAAAATCTAAATAAACTAAGTGAAATGTCTTTGCTGTAAACGAATACTAAATCACTATAAAAAAAGCACTTTTTGTCTGATGGACGTAGCGAAAAATTATTCTGTACACATGAGAAACAGAAATAATAATACAATAATTTTTTTAAGTCTTTCTTGTTGAACCTTCTCTTATTTTTTGACTGAAACGAGTTTCCTTAGCACATCTCATGCTAAAATCGTTATGGTATAAAGCTATAAACTTGCTTCGTTCATGAAAAATCAGTTAAGATTATGCTGGTTGATATATTGATGTGTCTATAGGGATGCTTCACACGTTTGGATTAATTATGTTCACTTAGGGGCCGTTCACTAATTACGTTCGCATTTTAGGGGGGAGGGGGGTTTTGAAAAATTGTAACAAAATGTAACAAAGGGGGGGGGGGGGGGGTTGTCAAGAAGTATGTAACGTTCTAACTGTCGTCTGTCTTTTAAAAAAAAGTTTACGAAAAAAATTTGTTTACAAATTCACACCAAAAACATTTTTTAAATTTTCCACCTTTTTAATGATAAAATAAATTATGAACGTTCAGGGGGGGTTGTGAGTTGTAACATATTGTAACAAGGGGGGACGGGGGGTGTGAAAAAAGTCGTTTTTTTGCGTAACGTAATAAGTGAACGGCCCCTTATTGAACTTATTTAAAGATGGTAAAGATTATGGTGACAAATTATCTATATAAGAACCCTACAAATGTTTTGAAACCACCAGGAAAACATTTGTATGGTTTTAAAATTTTAATTTTTCCAAATCCGTTAAATTTAAATTTCATAAAACCGTTATTTTTGAATGGATTCTTACAACAATTCACATCCTGATGCGTCCTGAAACTTGACGTTTCTTTGCTTTAACAGTAATTTGACAACATTGAACATCTTGATATCATCTTCAATAAAGCTAATGCTAAGACTTATTTATTATTGTTATCTGTAAATATGCAGTAAAAGTGTGTATAAATTAGTGTAAAGAATAGCTTAATATCTATAGATTAGTAGCACGTTAGATTTCACTTTCTAGGCTTAATGGATGCAGTTGGTGAGAGATCAAAGGAAGGTCCAAAATACGGTGCAAATTTAGCCCTTTTAAATGGTTGCCTTTTGGATTCTTCAAAGCTATCCAAATTTCCACGTGATTGACTTTCATTATTGCACAATGGAGTTTGTGTTGAATTTGAGTACGGCGCTTTAAATTCCCCGGGAATCGATTTTTCAGTAATTTGTATCAATGACGTGTTTAGAATTATTGTTTCAATTTGCATCATTGTGATCTTATCAGAACTTAATGACTCTGTAATCGAATTTTTTTTAATTAAGTAATTACATGTTATAGTCAGCATAGCATGTTTACTTGTGTGAGAGAAGAACAAATGGATAATGTCGAATGGACATCTGAAACTTTCCCAGTTTTCCGAGAGAAACCGAGATGAAGTTAGAATTTTTCGAGACCTCTTAGTTTCTGAGATCTGGAGATGCCCAAACACGTCTAATATCCATTTCTACTGCTGACGGGACTTTTACAAAAATCATCCAAATTTTATAAATTATATATTAAACATATCTACTTTTTCCGAGAGAAATGGAGAGCAAAAAATTCAAATTTTTTCCAATTAGACTTAGATTTTAGGATATGGCACTTCCAATTTTTTTAGACCAGTTTTAAATCTATCTTACATATCAACTTTTCGAGGTTAACTTTAATAATACAAATTATACATTAAATTTCATTTACTTTTTCCGAGAGAAAACGAGATGCAAAAATTATTTTAATTTGATCATTCTCTCTCGAGATATGGGCTTTCAAACCTTTCGACGACTTTAGATTTTGGACACAAATGGTCAGCTTTTTGATACACATAGTAATTAAACATATTATATATAAAAAACATGTCCTTTTTCCGAGAAAATACGAGAAGTGAAAATATTTTCATTTTGACTTGTAATATTTGAGTTATCAGCAATACGAGTCGCAAAGTTTTCAGCATTTCAACTTTAAAAATCTCAATCTCGAAATAATATTGAAGATTTAGATTTTAACTTAGAGGCCATTCACTTATTACGTAACGCTTTTAGGGGGAGGGGGGGTCTAAGATTTTGTTACGATTCAAACAAGGAAATTTTTTTTTAATACAAATTTTGTTACGAGGGGGGGGGGGGGGTCTAAGAAGTCATTTTTTCGCGTTACGTAATAAGTGAACAGCCCCTTACCTGAATTGTGTTTTTCAACTTTTATTGAGATTTCAAAGCAATATTTACAACCTTTTTTTTGTATACTAACCCTAATTACGACTTGTTTATCGGGTAGAAATCCGATAAATCAAGATTTTCACAGCATAAGTTTGAAGGTATTAAACTTAACGAATATGCCAATCATCCTTGCTTACAGAAAGCGTATTTTGCGATTTTCTCAGCAATGCCTCAATCAATTTGAAATCTGTTTTATGCAGATGTGACTCGCTAGCTTTATAAATTCAAAACTATGCTGAGCAAATCTTGGTCTATTCATAAGACTTTTGATGGTACGGTGTGAATATATTCGCATTGGGTTTCTACCTGATACACCAGTTTATTTTGCTTATATTTCTTTAAAGATGCATTTTAAGTATGAAGTAAAGCATGTTTTTCAAAAGGTATTGCTGATAACTCAAATATTACAAGTCAAAATGAAAATATTTTCACTTCTCGTAAAAAGTACATGTTTTTACAGTTTTTTATATATAAAACTAGGCTATCCGGAGGTGCCCGTGGCGCTTCTTATCAGGGTTAAAATTTGATTACTATTATGTAAATAACTGTAAGACGTAAATAACCATGTTTTTAAGGTCGATCCTACCACAAAACTTCACATGGCCTCACAACCCCCTGAAACTCGGATTTCCTTAATCCCACAAAAACTATATAAATGGCTTCACAAAACTTCACATGGCTTCACAAACCTCCTCAAACTCGGACTTAATCCCACAAAAATTTTATAAATGTCTTCACAAACCCCCTCAAACTCGGACCCCCGGATCCCACTAAAACTTTAATTCCCCCGATACCCACCATGTCTATTTCTGACACCAAACTTTTCCCACAAACCTCCAAATTCAGATCCCCCCCCCCCCCCAACTGACACTCACCTTGTCAGAACTCGTCAAATCATTGGCTTCACAGAATATACCTGACACCCCCCTTGCCCCCAATCCCCACCTGACAACCACCTTGTCAACACTCCTTAAATTTTTGTCTTCACATGGCTTCACAAATGTCTTCACATGGCTTCCGTTCCAGAGTCAGTGAATCAGTGAGTTGGGCTTTTATATATTAGATGTTTAATTACTATGTGTATCAAAAAGTTGACCATTTGTGTCCAAAATCTAAAGTCGTCGAAAGGTTTGAAAGCCCATATCTCGAGAGAGAATGATCAAATTAAAATAATTTTTGCATCTCGTTTTCTCTTGGAAAAAGTAGATGAAATTTAATGTATAATTTGTAGTATTAAAGTTATTCTCGAAAAGTTGATATGTAAGATCCATTTAAAACTGGTCTAAAAAAATTGGAAGTGCCATATTGCGGTTTCTCTCGGAAAACTGGGAAAGTTTCAGATGTCCATTCGACATTATCCATTTGTACTTCTCTCGCACTGTTTACTTACCATTATTGCTTCGAGGCATGATTAAGTTCATTTTAATGATCTGACTGAAATTTTGAGGATAATCAATTGCCGGAAGTAGCAAATGATCTGATTTAAATGAAAATAAGTAGAATGTATCTTCTTTTCTGTTAATTTCTTCAAAAAATTCGTGTAGCTTGAAGAAACTTGTGTCATAAAATTGGATATTGTCCAGATTCCGATTTCTTTCTTGTGACACTTTCTTCTTAATTGTCGGCTTCTTCTTGATCCTTGAATGTTTAAGCATTTGGTCATGTGACTTTTCATGCATTTTTGCTAATTTATCCTGGAACGGATCAGCCAAAAATTGATCATTGTTGACAGTTCCGTTATATAAATCAGGCTGTGGAATCCACGATCGTATATTCTCAATGTTTGCCTTACGAATAAGATTAGTTTGATTAAAATATAATGGAATTTTGTCTTCTACATCGACTTTATCACTAGAATTTGCAGTTGTCGTAAAATTAGCATATAGTAAATGCCTTGCACTGAAAACACTGCTCGGTTGTGCCGCCGGCTTCTTAATACTATTTGTTGATAAGAATATATTGCCAAAAAGTGGAATAACATTGAATCCAATCATAAAGATTAGTGCTAGCATTAGACTTGCATTTCTATTTGGTAATTTTCTCGTGATTGTGCTTGCACAACGGCATGTAAAATTGCTATAGCCCTTTAATCTAGCTTTTAGCAATGAATTTTCTTCTTTTAACATGTCATTCTCTTTGCGCAAGCTATTTACCTCAATTTCGAGATTTTGTAAATAATCTTTCTTCTTTTTCCTTGATATTAAAGCACTTTCACGGTTTCTGATTAATCGTGCCTGCTTTATCAGCGCTTTGTCAATTGGAGAGTTTGTCTTGCTGCTTATCAAGGAATTTTGATTCGTTTCCGAGTCTGAAGATGATGCATTCGACGGTTTTGGGATGATAGGCTTTATTTTGCGGGCTTCTTGACGTGCTATAGGCTGAATACTATATTGATTATGCTGCAGTGATTGTATTGGTATTATTTGAATCTTTTGATATACATTAGTATCAATTATAATTGGTTGTGGACTTATTGGAGGCGTCAATTGTGGATTTGAGATGTTTTCAAAGCTACAACTGCTTTCTGATGATATTGATTTTCTTGCATCTTCTGTTTCCGTCTGTAAAATAATGACAAATTCATTTGAATAACTAGTTTTATTGTATCAATGAAAACTGACAAAGTTATGGCAAAATTCCCAAAAATTATTCGTGAGTGACGCTTAATTAAAGTGGTTTTTCGACATAACTGCTTAACTTTAGGAAGTGAGTTGTATGTCAAAAGATAGAAATTTTTGTTTCCTACAAGATAAAATAACTTTGAAATTTGTCACTATTGTGGTTTCGGAGATATTTAAGATTTGAATCGTCACTCACGAATAATTTTTTTTCGTCGGGGCCCTGTATATATTCTCTACACACCTTTAATTCATTCAAAAAACTCTCATTTAGAAAATCATCTGGATTAATTGTATCGAATTCGCAACCATTTTCATCCATCTCAACATCTTCCGACTTGAAAATATCATACAGATCGCTACTTATTGTCGAATTTGCTGTAATAAAAGAGTAAATAAATCGATTGTTATTGAATATTTTTGTTATCACTAGAATTTATCTTATTTACCTCGAAAACTTAAGAACTCCATCATTATTGCGTCACATCTAGCTTTAACTTCCTGTGCACTTAATTATTGCATGATTATAGCTGTCATTTATGGCTATTATCATTAAAAACTTTATGCGAAAATTTATTTTTGTAATATGATTTCAAGTTATTGAAATCATCTGAGCAAACATGTGTGAAAGACGCATAATTATTACTTTCATATTATCATAATAAATTCTTGTGTAGACTGTGTGTAAATCAGCTAAAGAATCAATCAATTCACAGAAAGTTAAGAATTACATAAAATTAAGTGGCAGTTGGACAAAATGAAGCAAAGTAGTGCTTTTAGAAAAAAATTGGCTGGTGTGGGGTTTTCAACTTTGTGGTTGAAAAAAGTTCAACTCATTTCAGTTCATTTTAATAAAAATCCAAGACAAATTTTGTTGAAATAATTAATATAACTAATGAAAAGGAGTTTTAACTCGCCGAAAATTATTAAAACGATTAATATAATGGCAGAATTGATACGTAAGCTAGTTTAAAACGTGGGAAAATATCAATTAAGGTGTGAAAATCATAAATGAAAAATTTATTGAACGATTAGAGTTGGGAGAGTGAGATAGAAGATAAAACAGCGCGTTCATATTTTTTTTCAAGCATAAAAAAAACATCAAAAATGTCACACTCAAATTTTAAACTAATTCACAATGATGAGCCAATAAATAGTAATTTGGTCATTATTGTTAACAAAAATGGGGATGTTAAAACTGATACATTGGCTTTACAGAACTTATTAAGTAAGTGTTGCCATTTTGCCGCCGATTTGTTTATCTCTGTGTTTGTGACTTACTTGTAAAAACAATTATTCTCTGAATTTTAGCTAGTCGTGAGACTCCCGATACTGGAGTGACTGTAATTCGTGAAACATCACCAACGCCAAGCATTTCTGATGAAATCGAAGAAGATCGTGTAAAACAAATTGAACTTTTTCGTCAACAATACATTGCTGATCATCCAAACGCAAGTGAGGAAGCTGTAGAACAACAAATTAAGAAAATTGGTGGGATTAGTAATATTCCTCATGTTTCATTAAATCTGGAAACTTTTTATGCTCCAGATCAAGCGAGGAAGTTCGCTAATGATGTGCTTCACTTGGGCGGCATTGAAAATCCATCAACTTTAATGCCAATTGATTACAATTTCCGAAGACAAATCGTTCAAAATGATCACTGTTATACACCATTAACATTATCACCAAAAGAATCAACCTCAAAGGAATCTAAAAAGCCTAAAACTAAGCCTGTGAAAGACAAAAAGGATGCAAAACAATCAAAAGCTCGTCAATCGACATCAGTTAATGAGGAAAATGAAGATTCAAGTAATTCTGGTGATAATCAAAACGAGGACGACGAGGAAGCAACAGCAGGTGCCGAGGAACAATCAGAAGAAAGTTTCACAGAAACAGATGATGATAATGACATGGACTTTAGTGTAAACGATCGTTTTGGAAAGAAAGGCAAGAAAAAGCGTAAATATCGAAGACAGAAGCAAAAGAGCATGACATTTAAGGACTTTCTCGAAGGTACCGGTGATATGAGTTCTATGGACGATGAGCCTAAGAAAAAGTACGGAAAATCGTCTAAGAAAGGCCAAAATCCACGCGTATCAGGTAAAAATATGGGTCCATCAACATCCAAAAATACTCAACAATCTACAGTAAGGAAAATTCCAAATCCAACACAACAAAATAAGAATGCAGCACTAAGAAAAGAGATACAGACACCTCCTATCTTAACGTCAACTACATCAAAGTCAAATAATTCAACAGCATCTACTGCTTCTACCGTTATAGCACAAATATCCATACAATCAGCAGCTCCAGCAAAAAGTAGCCAAGAGATCGAGTTTGTAGAATCAATTGTAAAGGATCTTGAAAAGTCATTTCCAGAAACAAATAATAAGAAGGCACAAATAGTAGTAGTACCACCACCAACAAGCATTCCAAATATAATGCAAATGATGGAAACAAATACATCGACAGAAGTAATTGATCAAAGTTTATCGACATTAGAGCATATTGCAGACGGGCATGTAGGAATTGAGGAAATTGGTGATGCATTAATTGCAGCATTAGGGAACGAGGCAATTGATGAGCTTTTAAATCAAGGAGATTTAATGAATTTTGATGCAACAGCCACAACAACTCATGTAAAGCCAGCACAAAACATTGTCTCTTCATCATCTGTACTTTTATCACATACAGTCTCACAGCCAATACTCTCGGACGTAAATACATCACCATTATCAGCTCATGGATCATCTCCATTACCAAAGATTCTTAATAAACAAGTAACAATGGGAAAAGATCCAATTAAAGTCGTTCGCAATGGACGTGTCATTACTTTACCACCAATAGAAGCACCAGCAACCAGAGGTGCTAAAAGACGTGCTCAAGGTGATTCCACTTCACCTGTTGGAAAAGTAATTAAAACTGAAAATAATAAAACTCCATCGACAAAAGATCCAGATTCGAGAAATTCAAGTCGACGTTCATCACTAAATAAGAGTGAAAGTGGACGTAATAGTCGACGACAAAGTACAGCACAAGGAAATCCAGACGAAATGGATGATATTAATTCAGATGACGATTCATGGAATTCTGAAGATGATCCAGATCGTTTATGGTGTATATGTAAGCAGCCACATAATAATCGATTTATGATTTGTTGCGATAAATGTGAAGACTGGTTCCACGGTACATGCGTGAATGTAACAAAAGCAATGGGAAAGGAAATGGAAAAGAAGGAAATTAAATGGCACTGTCCAAATTGTAAAGCTAATGCTGGTGCTGTTCTTAAAAAAGATCCCAATAAAAAGACATTAAATCAACAGAAGCTTACGAAGTTTTTCAGTAAACATTCGAAAGAATTGACCGATGAAGACGTACCAATTAACAGTGACTCATTTATGTGTGCTGTATGTCATAAGAAACCAGCACGTACTGATTCCATTTATTGTAGCGAAGATTGTATTAGGAATCATGCAACAAAACATTTGGATGATAATACGCAGCCTAAAACGCCTACAACACCGACATCATCTACTAAATCGAATGCTGCTGATGGAAAGCGAGGAAATGTCCTGAAAGATCAAAGTGGAAATGTAAGATTAAGAAGATAGTTTAATTAAATTAAAATTAATATTTATGGTTATGTACTTTTTTTTTGTTGGATATAATATAGATAGTCACATGTATAGTGTGACTGAAGTTAGCCGGCGTGTTGTAACCAAATGATTTGAAACCTTTACTATAATTTCGTGATAATATCGTCGAATTTCGTCAAGCAAACCCCAAATTTCGTCAAGTCTTCCTTGACAAGCTACAGCAGCTTCAACTTTTAAGAATCTTGAAAACAAGCTTTAACTGACATATTATATATCAAAACACATCTCCTAATTTCGTCAAATTTCGTCATGCAAAAATTTTCCAAATCGGAAGTAACGGACAGGAGTTATGGCTTATCAAAGATTCGGAACAGACCGTACCTTTCTGGATCCTAAAATTGGTCAATTTTTAATATGGATTGTGACATGTCTAAACATAAATACTTTTTAATTGGATTCAGAATCTTTAAAAATATTTTGGATTGGACCGTCCACAAGTGACTTATGTCCAAAATAAGCTGTGGACCATCAAAAAAAAATTTTCTTAAAAAAATCGTCAATGTCATGGTATATGTTTAAAAATATCTATTTTCATTAAGAATTCCAAATTTACAAAAATAATCTTTAATTGGACCGTCCGCAATTGATTTATACTATCTACTTCTAGTTATGGACCAAAATTTGAAAATTTCGTCCAAACCGTGTCATCCATCGAATATTATGTACTCTTTTCAATGATTTCATATTTTCAATAATATTTTAAATTGGACTGTCTAAATTTGATTTATTTTCATCCAAATCATTTGGTTACAACACGCCGGCTAACTTCAGTCACACATAATATACATGATTGACATGAATTGTCCTGTCAAAAACGTTCAGTAATCCTGCATTTCATTTCACGTCAGTTCATTCAAATTATTAAAATACGTTATTTTATTTATGCTTCATTCTAGGTCATTGTTTACGATCGAGTCAGTGGAAAGTTGTTATCATCGAAATTATGGCCGCATTTCACGAGTTTGGGACAATGGCTTGGTCAGAATCCAAATTGTGAACCAGTAAAGCCTGGATCACAACAAGCAAATCAATTATTGTCGAAAGTATCAAAGAATACACAACAACAACAACCAGTCACTCCAACTGTATCATCATCAAAAGAAGCTATTACTTCTACTTCCTCTCATCCACCAACTACGTTACATGCAGGAACAAAGCATCATCACCATCCATCATCAATTATTCCAGCAGATGAATTATTCTCGAATCCAGTTAAAATTCATACAGGAGCTAAGGAAGTCGTTCCAGCTCCAGTTTTAAAGAAATCCATGTCTGTTCAAAGTCCTGCAATAGCTCGTTCAAACTCAAACACAAATAATAATGCAAAAAGTACACCAACACGTCCACCATTAATTAAACAATCGAGTGTTTCATCGTCAACATCCAGTAAAAGTGTCTCATCACCAAAAGTACAACCGGAACCGAAGAAAGTAAAACGAGTAGTATCGGATGAGAAGCCACAAAGTCAAAGTACGCCGTCAAACAGTAAGTTAAAAATTGAATATGAGAGACAGAATGTCAGAACAAATTTAAAAGCAACATTAATACAGAGAATGAAGGATATTGAAGACTCGTCAGTTACAAAGATGAAAGATGAGGAAATTGAGAAATTTGCAAATTCTATTGAGCATGAAATGTTTCGTTTTTTTAATAAAGATACTCGTGACAAGTATAAAGTTAAATTCCGTTCTTTAAAGTTCAATTTGAGTGATACAAAGAACAAGACATTGATTGAAAGAATATGTATGAAAAAATTGACACCAAAACAGCTTGTTGAACTTCCGTCATCGGAATTAGCGAGTAAGGAACTGTCTAAATGGCGTGAGGAAGAGAATAAGCATCAATTGGAGATTATAACAAAAGCTGAACTTGATGCATTGGCACAAACCAAAATGGTTATTAAGACACATAAAGGAGAAGAGATTTTAGAGACGAAAAACGCCTCTGCTGACATTTCACTTCCAGATGATGACATTGAGGCAGCAATTGATAAAACTGTATTAAGTATTGAAGATCCACATCATAAATATGACCTGAGTCGATCAATTTCTTTAAATGTCAGTGGAAATCATTCTGTAAGCTCACCATTGTCGTCTCCATCAATTTCGTCTTCAACTGGACGTAAATCAGAATGCCATCATAATGATTCGCATTCGAGAAGTCGCAGTAAGTCCAGAGGTCGTGAACATCACCATCATCATAAATCCTCATCAAAACATAAGAAGACAGAGCATAGACATCGAAGTAGATCTCCAAAACATCATCATAGCAGTCACCATCATAGCAGCAGAGATAAATCACATGAACGGGAACATTATTCACGTGACAAAAGTAGGGAAAATCATCACCATCACCATCATAGAGACAAAAGTAGAAGTAATGAAAAGGAAAAAACAAACAATTCCAAGTCTAAGGATCGCGAGGCATCGAAAGATTCCAAAAAACATCATCAAACTGCTCATAATAAGGACACAAAGGAAGCTGTTTCTATCAAAAAAGAAAAAGAAGATCAGTCAAAAGAGAAAATCGTGATAATTCCAGAGATTAAGCCAGAACAGAAAGATGTAGACATTGTGGGTAAAATCCTTGATTCTATGGGCGTTCATCTTGATACAAAGCTTAAAACTGAGGATGAAAAGATACCAATTACTGCTGAAATTAAATTGGAAGCGACGTGCTTAAATAATGATATTTTACCAGTTTCTTTGGAACCAGTAAATGAACATCAACTTGAAATTGAAATATACAGTGGAAACATGTATATGGCAGATGTAGCAAAGTTTGATGTTACTGCCAGTGTCGTGTCAGGCAATGTTGATGATATAATCAAGCTGTTTGTTCCACAAATGGAAATCGTTGGGAGGATTGAGCCTAAGACTGTATGGGATTATTTGGGAAAAGTTAAGAAACTTCCAGGAAAGGAACTTGCTGTTATAAGATTCTCATCGACAGATGAAGCTGCATACTTCCAATTATTCAGTTATTTGCATTCAAGGCAACGATATGGAGTTATTAAGTCACCTGCACCGAATATTAAGGATTTCTATTTGATTACTGTCGAAGCGACTCGTCCTTTACCACCTGTATTATTACCTATTGTGGGACCTGGATTTATTGAAGGAGATGAGCACAAACCGGATCTTTTACTTGGAGTTATTCTTAAATTAACTCCAGAAGCCAGGGTAAGTAATTAACGGTTATTTTAGATTTGAATTTTAACGGTGATTTTAGATTTGAAAAAAATGAGTTGCAAGTAGGGATTTCAATACCGGCCCAAAATTTCAATCCCGAGATTACGGTATTGGAAATTGTTGATCCCGGGTTTAAACCCGGTATTAGATTCCGTTCAGAAACTTGTATGAAATTGCGTTAAACACGTTCAAAATAAGAGCTTTCAATTACAAATTAGGTGTATTTCAAGTGTATTTATCATTAAAAAATTTTTTAATTTTGAAAACTTAGCCAGAAAGTTAAAGTTTTTCCAAATGTATCAATATTTCCTTTTCTTGTCTTGTCTGAACTTTTTAACTTTACAATTAAACCTTTTTTTTTTAAAAAAAAAGATTATCTTTTAACTTTACATATCAAAAATTATTTAAAATTTCAAAAATTGTAAAAATTTTGATTTTTTTTGTCAAGCTATGATGAGTTTTTGTCAAAACTTTTAAAACTTTTGCTTTAAAAAAAATCAATAGCTTTAATTTTTAATTCAAATAATAGATTTTATCGCAGCTTTTTTAGAGATGCATTCGAATGATCATAAAATCTATTTAAAATTCAAATTTTTTAAAAAATTTGGAAATTATAATGGGCATTTGACAACACTTATTTCTAACATTTTAAAAAAATTTTGAAAAGAAAACTGTAAGTTAAAAAGAATTCTTAAATTATTTGGTAAAAACTTACTGGTTATTATTATTTTACTCTTTAAAATTAACAAGATTTGTGAGAAATTCTAAGAATATCTTGATCCCGTAATCCCGGTATTGGAAAATTGCTCCGGACCCCGGGATCCCGAGATTGAAATCCCTAGTTGCAAGTTTGAATTTTTGAAACCCGTTATTTTTTAAATTTGAAAAAACCGCTTAAATTGTTCATAATATTTTTCTTACATAATTATTAAAAATATATTTTAATTCACAGAATGTACAGAAGAAGGTGCCAACAGTAAAGAAGTCTACGAAAACACCCAAACCAGTAGAACATACCGTTCCAATTAAAGTTCTTCCTTCAAAACATAAGCCGCACTCTCATTGTAGCGGCACAAGCAGTAAATTAACTATGGGACTTCCAGAAGTTGAATCTGGTCACATGAAATCTCCTAAAATATGTAAGTTTTTAAAAAAAACATGTTGGTTTTTAATTAAATTAATTATAATGGCTTACCGACATTTGCCCACTCTACATATGCCCACTGAAACATTTGTCCACTGGTACTTTTACCCACCGGCACTTTTTCCCACTGGTACTTATGCCCACTGAAACATTTGTCCACTGGTACTTTTACCCATTGATATATTTGCCCACTGATACTTTAGCCCACTCGTATTTTTGCCCACTGTATAGTTGATAAAAGTATTTATGTTCAATAAATAATTTTCAATGCATTTTTGAAACTTGATTCGGTACATTTTTAAGGTTTTAGGCATTTTGTCTCTTTATTTTTGATTTAATTTCTGTTTTTGGTTTTACTTGATATTTAATTTGATTTACTTGGTGTTTCGCTTTAAGTTTGCTTTTGACTTTCTGGCATAAACCTCTGGCTATTCTCTACAAGATAAATTGCGAAAACAAATTGTTTCAAATTAATTTTTGGTCGAAATTTTTCACTTAACTTAATAAGGGTTTCAGTACTCAATATACTTTTGACCATTTCCAGATATCAGATAAAATAATAAAAAACAGTTGCACTGTATTTGGATAAACCCTCGAAGAAGAAAAAGGGAAAAACTAGATTTTGACTAATCGCGCCCTTAGTCTACAATTGAAAATGTAACTATTCAGACGTGTTCCCTTCACTTTCACACTACACATTACTTTCGACAGTGTTGCTTTTAGCAGCCTTTAAAGCTTATGATGGAAATTAATTCTGCCTTTATATTCCAAAGTTCCTCTCTGTTGATGGTGTCATATGCTGCACGAAGATCAACGAAGAGATTTAGGGTTTCCACGTTCATATCATAACATTTCTAAACTATTTGACAAATGCTTAACAAATTGGTCAGATATCCTTCGTTCTTATTGCTTTAGATAACAAAATATTTGGATTTTTGTGACGATCGCCCTATTCCAAAAAATGTCATTCTGATTTCTCAAGCAAAAATGTGTGCTTTTAAGCGGCCTCATAACTATTTATTGTTATCGTGTACATTTTACTTTCTTTTAAAATTGTAAACACCAAATAAATCAAATTAAACATCAAGTCAAATCAAAAACAGAAATTAAATCAAATTTTAAGAGAAGATATGCAAATTGAATGCCTCAAACCCTAAAAATTAAAATCTTAAAAATGTACCGAATCAAGTTTCAAAAATGTGTTAAAAATTATTTTTTGAACATAAATACTTTTATCAACTATAAAGTGGGCAAAAATACGAGTGGGCAAATATATCAATGGGTAAAAGTACCAGTGGGAAAATGTCAGTGGGTAAATGTCCCAAACCCATTATAATATCTTTAAAAATCAGCTCCAGATGATGACGAGCCGTACGAGCCACTTGATGAGGATTCCTTAACTCCACCGCAATCATATGCTCAACATAAATCAACAGGACAGCATCAAGCACGTCATTCATCATCAGGAGAGAAATTAAATGCAAGCGGTGATGATTTAGAGTCACAAATGGAACTATTAAATCGAGAAATAGAACGACGTCAAATGGAGATTCAAACGCTTGCCCAACAAAAGGCACTGGAACTTGATGAAGAACAGGCAACAAAGATTTTCGAGCAGATTAGAGTGCCGCATAATTTATCAGAAATTTTATCAACAATTAAGGCAAGCGAGCCAAAACCTATGGAAATTGATGATGATGATGACGACGAGGAGTATGTACCGATATCAGGAGCTGCAAAAGGCGGAATGCATGAATATCGTCCATCATCAAGCTATCCTGTAATGCAGCAACAAGCACCAATAATGAGTTCAATGATGGATATTGACGAACGTATTAATTTATTTAGACAGGAAATGCCAATGAATAACATGCCAGCAGTTCCTGAGCAACCAAGTAGGCTTGCATCTATGTCTGATGCCGATTTATTGGCTTTAGTTCCCGAAGAAGCGCTTCAAGCTCCTCCACCGCCAATTATATCCTCTAATAGTATTAGCGAACCAGCAATACCTGGACTTGAATATGAGATGGAACAATGAATGAAAAAATATTTGTAGATTGAGTCGATATTCTGAGCAAATGATCAATTTGGGACTAACAGGCACTATTAAAGATCTATGTATAGACAATAATTTGCATTTAAATTTTTTTCACAGCTTAATCCCAGATTTATTATTAATCTTAGGATTTAAATTTTAATCCCGACTTTTGAAAAATTATAAAAATAAATCAAAAGTGTCCCAAATAGCTTACTTGCTGTAAGAATAATCACTGGAATTGGCAGATTCTTAGTAAATCATTAAGGTAGTATCTATAAGCATCACCAATCTCATTGTACAATTTTAATTTTTAATATTTTTTATGAAAACTTTTTTACACAACATTATACTAATAATACCTGACAGGGAGTGAGTATGCAGACATTGCATGAGCATGTTTTAGTGTATCTTGTTTCCTGTTCGGGAATATTTCCTTAGTAAATACAATAATAGTGATTAATAATTGATTGTAACTTTGACATTTGATTATATGCATTAAGAATGTACGTTTACATACACTAAAGTAAATTGAATTAAGTAAAAAAAAAAAAGATGAAAAAAACAATCTTTTAATAATCCTTTAAAAAAATACTATTAACGCTTAATAAAACTGTAGACAAAAAAAAGTTTTCGTATCTTGAGAACTCTCCTGAGTAAGAACATGATGGAATGTGAAACAAGAATAAAATTTGAAAATGTAAATCAATCCGATAAATCCTGTACATTCATATTTAATGAGTATGGAGCATTAGACGATTCAATAATCTTTTAAATATTTGCTAATAAAAAATTATGTTTAAGCCATGAATCAAGCAGTTATAATCCATTCTATTAAAAGGATAGAAATGTAATAAATAAAAGATAATTTAATGTGTACTTTTTTGGAGTTTTGTTTCTTTCTATTTTCAAATTACTTGTTAAATGACGTTTGCTGTCTTAACGAGTTTCTTACAGGAATAATTGCTGTTTTGCGATGTGTTGGATGGCTGGATTCAAAGAAACATATGGAAGATCATTGAAGTTTGGTAAGATCCCAAGAAAACTTCGAAATTTTCGATTAAAATTAACGGAATTAATAAATTTGAATTTTTAAAACCATACAACAGTTGATAAGTTTTCAAAACATTTAAGGGGCCGTTCACTTATTACGTTACGCAAAAAAACGACTTTTTTCACCCCCCCCCCCCCCCTCCCCTTTGTTACAATATGTTACAACTCAACCCCCCCCCCCCTGAACGTTCATAATTCATAAAAAAAGGTGGAAAATGTAAAAAATGTTTTTGGTGTGAATTTGTAAACAAATTTTTTTCGTGAAATTTTTTTAAAAGACAGACGACAATTAGAACGTTACATACTTCTTGACACCCCCCCCCCCCCATGTTACATTTTGTTACAATTTTTCAAACCCCCCCTTCCCCCCTAAACTGCGAACGTAATAAGTGAACGGCCCCTAAAGGGTTTCAGAATTGTTGAATTTTCAACTGAAAATCGACATTTAAAATCATAAAGCCACACAAATGTCAACAATTATCAAAACATTTGATAGGTTTTAAAAAATTTTAAGCTTAAAATTGACAATAAGTCTCCCACATCATGCAAAACCTTTACACTACATGAAGCGTGAATCACATCATGCAATTAAATGTTCAATCAATGCATTATGTCCAACATTTCATCCCTTATGCGCCATAATCACCCACAAACAGCAATAAAGTTCATTTTAACACGCGTGTGTGTGTAAATGTGACTGCAACTCACTGCCTCCTATTTTCATCCAAATAAATTCAGTGGTAAAGACCAAACAAACTTTACACACACCAAATAAAATTGTTAATTAATGAATGATGAAAAATTAATCGTGAAAAGTGCCAAAGCTAGAAGAGATCTACGTGATTAAAAGAAAAGTTTGATTCGTTTCATTTTTCATACTCATTACGCAGCATCTGCTTGACTGACAACAATGTCAACTTTTTTCTATATAAAAATCGGTGTTAGAGACTCAACAGGCATCATAGTCGATTGTTCTATCGAACAGTAAAGAGTGAATTTTTTTAAAGACACGAAGAACTTTGGTTCTGTGCCCATTAGTGGGGCTATAAAATATTATAGTGTGCATCAAAGGATTCATAAATTTATTAAACATTTTTCCTACCTCAATTGTGAATTTTTTTGATTTTGGTGCTTAACATTTGTGACTTTATTTTGTGCCGATGAGATGGACAGCAACACCATAGGAATAATTTTTCTACTCATTGCAAGTGAGTATCGTGTCCTTTAAAAATTTTTTGACACACAAATGCCAACATGTGATCCATCAATTTAGGTTGTAGAATAAAAATTTGTTCGGTTTTGGGTTTGGTTCTTCATTTATGATTGATAAAAGGATTGTTTGGTTAACTTTGGAAGTTGTAAGATAGCAAATGTCGAGTATAAGGCTCAATCAATCTTAATTTTTAATTTTGACAATTTAAGTATCATCTGCAGATAAAAAATTATGCAATTTCCCGTTATTTTGTTAAGGATATTCGTATAAAGCAGTTTGAAGATGTAAATGCTATTTATAAAGTTAATCAGATTTAATAATTAAAGAATGATTAAAATCTGTTTAAAATCAGTCTTTAAAGTTTCTAGAAGTAATAAGAAATAAACAAATTTTATTGTTTAGTGTTTCTGTCTCAAAAACTTACCCTAATCCACAAATAGCAAGTTTTGAGCTTTAAATCATACTTAATTCATCAATCAAAAAACTAGATGTGAGCTTGAAATTTTGCATACCTTGATATGATGCATAGATATTTTAACTTTGCATTCTTAAGAATTTGTTTTATAAATCTTTGAGTTTTCAAGAACCTGTTCTTGATCTTTAGTTATTTTCTTTAGCTTTTGATTCAAAAACTGCTTTTGTTCAAATCGTAAATTTCAATTTGAGTCTGTTTATTTGAGAGGCTTGGGAAGAAATGAAATAAAACATAGAAAAAAGGTCGAATTTCAATTCTTCAGCTTAGAAATGCACCAATCTAAAGCCTACGTAATCCCATAACCAAGAGACGAGTTGAACTTCCAGAAACAACAATCCAGATGTCTTGAACTTTAAAATCAAAATTACTAATTGATCCACATACTTCCATTGTTAAGAACATTGGACTATTAAAGCTATTTCAATAAATCAACCGCCTCTAAAGCTTACATAAATATCAAAACTTGTGGATCATATTCACCACTTAACATACTTTTGTATCCAGAAACTTTGACAATTTCCTTTAAATTCAATTAATTAATTTTACTACAAGCTCGATAAGTGAACAAGAATCAATCCATGGATGTGTAAAAAAAACAGTCTACATTGTTACTACGAGTCATGAATCATATACGACATTTTAAGCATCGAGAAGTAATCAAATTAATTTTTTTCGGATATAGAATATCGCACACATGGCATTACAAAGCGTATAAAAAGAATAAAGCATTAAAAATGTACCCACAACTTAAAATTGCCTCCTTATTTATCTTTTTACAGCATCATTTGCAACGTCAAAATCAATCGAAGATTATGATAGCAATGATGTCAACGGAAATATAATTAATGATGGAATACAATCATCACATGATTATTATGGAGATTACATAGACGATATGAAAAGCAGCAGTGAAATGACGAAGCGAACTCCGGAAATTTATTACAATGATAAAAGGAATATTCTGAGTGCATTACGGTCCAAGATGAGACGATCAAATAATATCAAGCCTATTGAAGATGTTGAAGATAAATATAAATTTGCACCAGTTCTATCAGTTGGTGAGTGATTTATTGATGACATACATGGAGAGTCTGACCGCGAATAAGGGTTTAATTAAAATATCAATCCACGATGAGCGCTGATTTGATTGAAAATTTATTAGTTTTTTTCTTTTCTATTACATCGTGATTGATTTTATTAGCGATGACTATCAATAATGTTACATTATTACTTTTATAATTCATATTGAATGACTTCAGCATCAATGACATTTCAATCTGTTCTACTTTAAACAGATGCTCTGAATAATCTGAACGGATTCTTTGATAATTTGGCATCAAATATTCACACGATGGAATCAAGAAACTTGCTACCAAATCAAATGAGATTGCTTGGTGAATCAGAATATCGTCCAAGAACTGATCCTTACTCATCATCGGCTGCTTTTATCAATTCAGTAAGTGATTTATTTGATGATTTTGAATCCACAAGTTCGTTAAAAACTGTCTCAAATTTTTAACGGTTCTCAGAAATTCAAACTCATAGCTTCAATCACTTTGAGTTATTCAAATTCCAAAATAACGTTTCAAATTTAAATTTATTCAATATTACTTAGGTTCGCTCATATGCTCCATCGAAAAGCATAAGGAAGCTGCTTTCCTATCAACCAGGTGCGAATCTACATAGCCATCCATTAATTACGAATCTTGTCCATAGGAAAGATAGATCTTAAACAATGCATATCACAAAAAGCTTCTTCTTATGTGTCTTCATATTATCAAAAAAAAAAGTATATTATTATGAACGTAATTTATGGGTGGTCGAAAAAAAAATATTTGATGTATGAAAAAGAATATGTAAGTGCTTACAATTCTAAATGTTATAAAATATTTACAGAATCCCATCGCAATTCAAATTTTTATGATCCAGTTTACAGCCGTCTCGGTTTAGGCAGACGCTAATGAAGCAGGAAGAACTTAAATGAACTTTCCTGAGTGCTGTCTGTTGATGCCATGTCCATCTTAATAATGGAAAAACTTTAAAGTTTCACTCAATTAAATGTCCAACGAATAAACATTTCTCCAGTATTATTCTCAAATTAAATATATATATTATAAGAGATAAAGCTATGATAAATTGACGATTAAGTTTTATGGGAAAAAAGGAATTAGCAGTCAACATTTAAATTAAATTATTAATCTTTAATGGAATTTACAGCATATTTTAAAGTCATATTTATGTAAAACATGCATAATTGTAAAGATTTCTCAAGATGTGCTAGTAAAATGTGAGATATTAGACAAAAACTAGTCAAGTTGTTTCATTTTGCTTCGTTGACACGTGGTTTTATTGATTTCACCGTTATTTTTCTATATTTGAATTTTTATAGCAAATCCATAGACATTTGAATTTTAGAAAACCGTTGAACGACATTATTAATTTTTCAGCATAAATCACTAAGGGCCGTTCACTTATTACGTTCGCATTTTAGTGGGGGGGGGGGGGGTTGAAAAATTGTTACAAAATGTAACATAGGGGGTGTCAAGAAATATGTAACGTTCTAATTGTCGTCTGTCTTTTAATAAAAAGTTCACGAAAAAAATTTGCTTACAAATTCACACCAAAAACATTTTTTCAAATTTTCCACCTTTTTAATGAAAATTTAAATGTTCTTAGGGGCCATTCACTTATTACGTAACGCTTTTAGGGGGAGGGGGGGGGGGTCTAAGATTTTGTTACGGTTCAAACAAAGAAATTTTTTTTTCATACAAATTTTGTTACGAGGGGGGGGGGGGGTCTAAGAAGTCATTTTTTCGCGTTACGTAATAAGTGAACAGCCCCTTACCTATAACCTATAAAAAATTATCAAAATAAAATAAATTATGAACGTTCGGGGGGGGGGGGGGGGTTGTGAGTTGTAACATATTGTAACAAAGGGGGGAGGGGGTTGAAAAAAGTCGTTTTTTTTCGACACGTAATAAGTGAACGGCTAAGTTCACATTGAAGACTATGCTATTTATGAGGATAATATTGAAGATCTTGATTCTGCATTAGCAATCCCACATGTGACAAATCATCAACTTCTGTAACGGAAAATTCAAACAAAAATCTCTTCGAAAAATTTAAAAAAAAATAAGTCGTTAAGCATTTATCGAGCATAAAAGTGAAAAAGAAAACTGTTCTGGAAAAATCAGCTATTTGACATTGTGTTGGAAAATATTATTTATTTTAAAAATCAGTCTCTCCGCAGTTAGCTTTAGTAAAAGTTGTGCAAAAAAGGAAGAAAATAAAAATTATAATTTTGAATAGATTTTTATGACATCTAGTGCAAAGTAGTAATAGAAGCATAAATATAAGTGTAAAGTTAACTAGATTGATTATGTAGTATTATGAAAAATAATGCATAAAGTTAAAAAATGATAATTTTCATTCAATCTGAAAAGTGAAAAAGCTACCGAGAAAATTTTTCTTTTTTTGTGCTTATAAGCAGCATAAAAGTGAAAGAAAGTAGATAGGAAATTTAATAAATTTTTTAAAATCCCAAAAAAAATATTAAAATTTAAAAAATTCCCCAAAACGTTTAAAAGAAATATTTAAAGGATATTCACCAATTTTTATCAAGAACTAGGAGATAAATTAAGGAAAAAATGACATCAACTACAACAACAAACAATGACAATTTCATCCTTTTTAAGCAGCCTGAATGTAGTTATGTTTCATGTTATTGGTAAGTTGCACATCTGATATTTTGAAAATAAAAAAGCTCTCATTCCATCCCGTGGATGTCATCAAAAATTTACGACAAGCATAAGAAAATGAATATTTTGAAGATTTTGCCTCCTTCTTACTTTCTCATATACCAAAAAATGTAAATTATTAATGAATGGAACATCCAGAGCTTTTGGAATTAAAATATAAAGAAATGAGCACAAAAAGACGATATCTGGAGTGAGACCCGAGCTACACAGGCTTTATTACAATTCTTTAAATTCACATTAAATGGAAATCCTTTGAAGGATCCATGCTGGTCTCTTAAATCGCTCTGATAATCCAGAGCATTTAAAATTTAAAAGAACATTGCAATTCCATATCTTATACTTATTACTTCTTAAATGAGACTATTTAATGCTGTAAAACATGGGGAAAAAATTAGATACGAGGCAAATGAGTTGGAGATTAAATTAAGGCAACATAGTGGTGAAAAGAAGAGATACAAATGGATATTTCAGCTAGATACAGCAACGGAATGTATCTTGGATACATTCTTTTTTAGCAAAACATCTCATTCCACCCTTTTTTCTAGCTTAATATCATCATCTCCCTAATTTACACCCCTCAACAATAACCCACAGAATTTTATTTACTTTTTCTCTCCTTGCTCTCTGTTCCATCCGCTTGTTTTTCTTTTACTTACTTACTTGCTTGCTCTTTCTTCGGTAAAGTCTCATAACTTTTTTATTTTGCCATCTTCTTCTATACTACATGCATTATATTAGGGGTAGGATGACTATAAGAGGGGCTTTTAGTGATAATAACTTATGTTTTGAAGAAGAATTGAGTTTGGGACATTTGGGAAATGGAACAGATTAAGCCAGATTGTTTTGATTTGGTTGTGGAGATGTCTGGGTGTAATTTGTGTTTGATTTACAGTTCTGGAACCTCAGAATTAAAGTACTCTTTATAAATGGCGCACTCAGCACTTCCAACTGAGTGAAAAACCATTATGTCTAAGATATTACACCAACTCAATAAGATATCATGCTTATATTGAAAAAGGCACTTGTACAGGCGCTTATTAAAAGAGTTGCAGGGTTCAAACGCTTCAGAAACGTATTTTTTCCCCAAATTTGCGTGAAAAACAAAATTAAACTTCATCAAAACGTTACAACTCAAAAACCGTACAAAAGTTTTAAGATTATTTGCGAATTTATAAGGTTTTTTGGTTAAAATTTAAATTTTTGAGCCAACGATCTTTTAAGCTTTTACTCAAAATCTCCCATACATCACGTTAATCATTCCTGATTCCATCAAAAATGTGAATCATCTCACATCCAAAAAAAATATTAAATATCAATAGCCACCCCAAATCAAAGGAAGAGTAGAAGAAGTCGATTATTTTTTCCATACTTCCTCTCCTCGACACGAAAAGAAAAAGCTTTTCTCATTCTTTCCTTTCACACACTTCGCCACAACTATTGGAACCTGTTGATTGAAATTATTATTATTGGAATTACAAATTTTTCTTTTCCATATCACGGATGTACTATGAAAATGAATTAATCCATTTACAAGTTCTACTTGTTACTCTTTTTTCTACATGCTTTGTTGTTAAGAATTATTTTTGTTGAATATGAAATGCCATAAATTAAGCAGCAGGTTGGAAAAAAAATCCACAAAAAAAGGAAATGAGCAGTTTAATGAACAAAAAATTAAAAAAAGAACAAAAAAGATATTGATAGTGGTGGGATTCGAACCCACGCCTCAAAAGAGACTGGTGCCTAAAACCAGCGCCTTAGACCTCTCGGCCACACTACCAGCAATTGATGTGTCGAAGCTTTGGCAAAAAACATACTTGAATCTGAACTGAAACGAATGTGAAAAAATTCTTTCTTTCTTTCTTTGCCTTTGTACACATTTTTTGACTGCTCTACTCTGTGTGCTGAGCTTTACACTTTTCTTGTTGATTTTAGAATAAAAGCTTTATTTCTTTTACAATATTGGGAAATATTTCTGATATGAAACAATAAAAGTCAATTACAATGGAAATTCTTTCTACCCTTCATTAATGCATATCTACGTGTATGAGTCTAAAGCATTTAACATATTAAATATTTAACCTAGCATGTCATTTCCTCGTAACATTAACTATATTAGTATCACAGTCTGTTGAATGAAATTAGTAAAAGGAGAGAGAAAGATGGATGTGGAAAAAAATGAATCAGGATAGGAATATAAATCACGTGATTGTTGCTTTAGAGCGCATTTTTGGCACAGAATCAAAAAAGATGAAGCAGATTTGCAATTCAAAAAGTGTATAATATAATACCAAAAATACCCATACAACTGTTGAGATTTAAAGATCAAGGATTCAAACCTTTTAAATTCAGTGACTTTTATTCATTGTTACAACTATTTTTGGAAATACTAAAGGTTTGTAAAATCATATTTCAAAATTCCTTTTTGATTGAAAGCATTTGTTAACGACCCTTAAAAAGAGAGCATTTTCACAGAAGGACAGTTTGTATTTTACTCTCGAAAATCCAGCTAAATAGTAAGGGGTTAGTGTAATTAACGCTTGAAGAAAATCTCATACATTAGATTAAATTACAAATACATATTAATTTTACTCAATGTATATCTCCTTGACCCTCCCTTACATTACTTCAGTTCACTCTATTATTCTGCTTCTGCTTTTTTTTTTGTACCTTGTTTTTTTTTTGTTCTAAAAAAGCATAACAAAAAGTACAGATACATTCACTTCTGTATGATATATACACTGTATCCGTGTATAGAATTTTTATAAAGTTACATGCTGCTTTACTTTATATTCATACTTCTTATTGTATGTAGGTCACAATAAATGGAAAGAAGGAAGAAAAAAAACATTAAAATGAGGGGAAAAAGCATTCAAAAGACGTTAAGTAAAAAGGAAATTTTTCAATGAGGAGTGACTGCTCTGTCTGTTCTTTATTCTATGCTCCATCCCACCCAGAAAAACGAGCAAAATTAGATTTCATGTAAACAAAATTAATTTTTATAATATTACAAAAAAGCGAATTATGGAAATATGATTTATGATCAGGGCTCGTGAGGAGTAAAAAAAATTTTGATTTTCTAAAATCAGTTATTTATGTGATTGAAAAAAATCATGATTTTTCAAATCTACGTAAATCTTTAAGGAGGATTTTATTACGTAGACAAAATCCCTGCGTAGTGATTTTGATTACGTAAAAACCGTTAGGATTTTAGTGACGTGAATTTGAAATTGTTTACATTTTTTTGGAACTATTGTTAAATTAAATAAAATTCGTGATGGACGCAGAAAAACTTTTTTGATTCCATTTTACTTATTCACAAAGCAATGGAAATTATTTTTGTCGTCATTGCAGTGCGAGATTTAACTGTATTAGAAAAAATAATGAAATGCTGCATTCAGCCAAGAGTTTCTGCATCCGTAAATAATTTTGATATTTTTAAGTTCTTGAAATTTAAATATTCCTAGACAGCCTTATGTTAGATACTTGTTTGGCTGTTGCTGCTACTCCTAGTAACCAATCTTCTCTAGAGCGATCATTCAGCGCATTACGATTTCTTTTGAGTCACTTACGATCCAATCTATTGTCTAATTCCGTAGAAGACATAATGTTGTGCCACTTAAATTGTTCGTTATTTTCTAACATTAATTTTGACTTGATATAAACCGTAATATTCTTATTAACACATACTTATCTTTGCTTTACGACTTTAAAGGTCAATCTCCGCTGCATATTAGCATATTCGCTGTACTTAAATGCTTAAATTTGTTAAATTTCAATAAAAAACAATCACCAAAAAAAGTAAACAATTTCAATTTCACGTCACTAAAATCCTAACGGTTTTTACGTAATCAAAATCACTACGCAGGGATTTTGTCTACGTAATAAAATCCTCCTTAAAGATTTACGTAGATTTGAAAAATCATGATTTTTTTCAATCACATAAATAACTGATTTTAGAAAATCAAAATTTTTTTTACTCCTCACGAGCCCTGTTTATGATGAATGTTTAATGAAAAATCATGTCAGCAATTCCTTTTTCCATTTTAGACATTGTTGCTTCTTATTTTCATCAATTTAGGACAAAGAAGAACATTTTTTGTCTGCAAGAATGATTTTTAAATTTTACCAGATTAATTGAAATTTTCTACAGGATGTGTATGATGCTAGGTAAACAACCTCGTCTGTGATTGGTAAACATTTTTGTAAATAAACAGTGTTTTGGAAATTCGATATGGAAATTTTAAGCGAAAGAAGCAGAAATTTAAACCAATTTTACAGCGGAATGGAAAAATATTGCTTACATTAAAGGTTGTGATGGTTTTTGCGTCATGAGAAGAAACAACCCTTTAAATTTTGCAAATATTTTTGGTTATTTTCTAAAGTTTCAAAAATTTGGTAAACGTTAAGAATTTAAAATTTTTTAAGATTCTTTAAAATTCAAAATTATTGTAAACGTTTGAAAGTTAAATTCCCTCTCAAGCACTCTTCATAAAAGTTCTTTAATCTCTTCCACAACTTTATGCTCATCATCCATAAACTCTCCAACAAAATATTTCATAAACAAGCTATATCAAGAAAGCTCTGTCAAGGTCATCAATCCTTAGAAGTTGTTGCCTTTAAGGTGTTTTCCGAAAAAAAAAGTAATTAGATGTTTTATCTTGCTTTTCATGAAAGACTTTCCAACATATTGCTTCTCTTTTGATGAAAAATATCATGTACAGAGAGCGAATTGTAAAGATTTTAAAATGTTGTGATGATGATGAAGCATAAAGGATTATTATTAAAGATATTTAAATTCCATTAAATTAAATGAGATTTTCACTTTCTATTTCTTAAAAATATTCGTAATAGAGTAAGCTGTGGGGTTGCGTATGCATAAACATATTGAGTTGTGAACCCTCATTTACGAAAGTACCCCCAAATTTGCATCAGAATATTAATGAACACATAAAACGCAATATGAAAATTT